CGTCTGTCTTTGTCAGTCCTTGTGGCACTTTAGTCTAGAGCGAGTTCTCTAGCCGTCCACCAAACCTCTCTCCGACGATCCTGCTTGTCTTTGCGCACTCTACACTCAATTGATCAAACGCAATGGCTCCACAATTCCTCAAAGCCCTCACCGCTGCGGCTGGTCTCTATGCCTCGCTCGCCGTCGCTGCTCCGCTCCAGAAGCGAGCCATTGTCTGGGAAACTGTCACCGATATCGTGATTGAGACCGTCGAGGTGACATTGACCGTCACCGGAGTGCCTGGAGGCCCCAAGACGATCCCTCCGCCAGCAATCACTCCTACCTCCACGGTTGTCACTACTACCTCCGCGGCCGCTCCACCTCCACCACCTCCACCACCTCCACCACCGCCGCCAGCCCCGACCACTACCCTCATCGAGAAGCCGTCCCTCCCACCACCACCACCACCGCCCGCCCCAACCACAACCTCTCAAGCCCCCCCGCCTCCTCCACCACCACCTCCAGCTCCAACTACCACTTCTGCTGCCGCCCCTCCTCCACCGCCGCCGCCACCACCACCACCACCACCATCACCCCCAAAGAAGAAGCCGGAAATGAACCCCCCGCCAAGTGCGCCGCCTTCTGGCAGCAAAGGCTTCTCTGGTGATATGACCTTCTACGATGGTGGTGTCGGTGCCTGCGGATCGAACGTTGACACGCACGGCGAGGACGCTGTCGCCATTTCCGTTGATCTCATGGGCGACGGAAACAACAACAGCCCCTTCTGCGGCAAATCCATCACCATTGAGTACGGCGGCGTCAAAGCCAAGGCTGTCGTTAAGGACAAGTGCATGGGATGCGTAAGTGATCATTGGACCGACACTTGATCGGCAGCAGCTACTAATTTACTCATTTAGGTTGGCGGTTCAATTGATATGACACGCCATCTATTCTATCAATTGTAAGCTTCTTCTTTTACACGTTGGCCGTATAACTGCGGAGTTCTGACCCATTCTATAGTGCACCGGAAGCTGCAGGTCGCTTGGGAGGCGTTAAATGGTCCTTTGACGACCCCTCCGGCCTTGTCCTCTAGATTTAGACCTGCAACTTGGCGTCTGGAATTTCATTTCTTGGGGTTTTGCTACCCGTTTACTTTTCTATTCCCCCTTATTCTTCCAACTATTCCTGGGTTACGGTTTGATTGAGATCCTCAGGCAGAATCTCTGTGTTACACTTGACGCTGTGCTTGTCATTCTTGTGGTTTTGACTCTTGTCATGCACTACAAAAGGGGAACAGTCTATCCAGGGTATTGGATATGTATGTACATAACGGGAATCTTTTCCACTGTTTGTCCCATGCGCACACATCTACCTCACCCCATGAGGCCATTGGAAAATGGGTTCACGATTGACGGCTAAGATCCTTGGCTTCCTCTTGGTGCCCTTGTCCCCATATCGTTTCAGACAGGGGTCTTGGGTTCCTTGTGGACTCGGACCAGGGGGTAAAGGAGAAAGAGGAGTTTTGGGAATAGGCTCAATTTTGGTTTCCTTTTGGGGGGCGGTTTCTTTTCACTTCTTCCCTTCGCTTGCCCTCACGGGCACTGACCTTTCACTTTGGATATTTTAGGGGATTTGTTTATAGAAGGTTTGCGCTATATGCATTCTGATTTCAAAAGTTTGGACCAAAGTAAAAAGTGCCCTTCTTGCCTGCCTCTTGACATCTACCTCGTTGCTCCGTGGACTTGAAACCGATCAAAATATTCATCGACCTTGCTCAGCGCGGAGAATCCTTGTCTGCTTTGCAGGCTCGATTCCAATCCTTCAGTCGGTGGGGAAAACAATATGATATCCAAACTGTGATCCGCTGTGGCAGGAACCTCGTCAGCCGGCCCTCATTCCTTCATTTAACCAACCTCCGCCTTGTCGATATTAAATTTACGAATCTGGATCCGCAATCCCGACCCCATGATGACTTGAGCGACCCCAAAATCGTTAATCAAGCAACCTCAGTGCTCCGTTGATTATCCCATTACGGCTCATTAATCTACGTATCAAAAAACATCGAAACAAAGTAAAATACAATAAATAACAAAAACAAAGAACTCTTCCAAAAGGAAAATGAGGGGGAGAAAAAAGGGGGCGCTCGGATCGTCATAGCATCGTTGAATCGTGAGCCCTAACCACTGCACATCATGCATGCTTCCTTGTTCTCAATGCTGCCTGCAAAAAAAGACCCATTGTCAGAGATTACGATCAACCAAGCTTATCAAGTCAAAGGATTCCACTTACACTGCAGCACCTTTTGAGAATAAATATCCTGCTCACTCGCTCCCTGTTCACCAGTAGCAGGCGCTCCTTCTGCCTCTTGGTTTTTCTCCTCAGCCAACGCCGCCGTTTTTTTCTTACCCAACTCCTCATCTGGAGGAGCCGTCACTTGGCTCCTTTCAAATGCGGGGACACCCTTTGGACTCGCTGGCCGCGGCGCCTCCGCCACAGGCCCGCTGGGTTGTTTCTGGTCGTACATCGGCCGTGGCACAGCGGAGTAAGCGCTAGAATAGCTGCTGGAAACACCGCCTCGCTTTTTAGCGATGCCATTTGTCCGCGCGACGTTTGTGTCGGCGACTTTGAGCTGTTCCTGGTCGACGGTGAATTGGATTGGCGCGGAAGCGGCCATGGTACGAAGGTAGTACATGCCGGTCTTGAGACCGAGTTTCCAGCCCGCAAAGTGCATGCTGGTGATTTTGCCCATGGTGGGTTCTTTGAGATGGATGTTCAGCGACTGAGATTGATCGATGAATGCGCCGCGATCCGCGGCCATTTGGACAATGGTCCGTTGGGAGATTTCCCAGACTGTTTTGTAAAGGGCTTTGATGTCGGCGGGGATGTTGGGGATGTTTTGTATAGATCCACCTTCGGCAATGATGCGGTTCTTCATGTTGTCAGACCAGAGGCCGAGATCAACGAGGTCTTTCAGAAGCCATGGGTTGACGACTTGGAATTCACCCGCAAGAACTCGTCGTGAGTAGATGTTTGATGTATAAGGCTCGAAACATTCGTTAAATCCAAGAATCTGGCTTGTACTGGCAGTAGGCATGGGAGCAACGAGCAGACTGTTGCGAACACCATGTTTTGCAATCTCCTTTTTGAGGGAGTCCCAGTCCCAAAGGTCACTTGGAGTCACATTCCACATGTCATACTGTAAAATGCCTTGCGAAACCGGAGAGCCTTCATAGGTCTCGTAGGGTCCATCAATTTTGGCCAAATCGCAAGAGGCAGTCAAACTAGCATGATAAATTGTTTCAAAGATTTGAGTATTTAACTGCCTTGCCTCAGGCGAATCAAATGGCAGCCGAAGAGCAAGGAAAGCATCGGCGAGGCCCTGCACGCCCACGGCAATCGGACGGTGGCGGAAGTTGCTCTTTCGGGCTTCAGGGACAGGATAATGGTTGCCATCGATAATTTTGTTCAAATTACGAATCAGCACTTGCGTGACTTCATGCAGTTTTCCAAAGTCATATTCGCCACGGACGGGATCAACGTAAGTCGGCAAGGCAAGAGATGCAAGGTTGCAGACTGCGACCTCGTCTGGAGCGGTATATTCGATGATTTCCGTGCATAAATTGGAGCTGCGGATCGTCCCAAGGTTCTTCTGATTGCTTTTGCGGTTGCAGGCATCCTTATACAGCATGAAAGGGTTGCCAGTCTCGGTTTGAGCTTCGAGGATAGCATACCAGAGTTTTTGAGCCTTGATTGTTTTTCTGCCGCGGCCTTCCTTCTCATATCTACAGACACAATCTTGTTAGCATCTATGCAACTTTGATCTCGAAGCGAGAACACCTACTGTTCATAAAGAGCTTCAAACTCATCACCGTACACATCGGCCAACCCTGGGGCTTCATTTGGACAGAACAAAGTCCAGTCACCATTCTTCTCTACCCGCTTCATGAATAGATCTGGGGTCCAAAGTGCGAGGAAGAGATCTCGAGCTCTCACTTCTTCCTTTCCGTGGTTCTTACGGAGATCCAAAAACTCGAAAACGTCCGAGTGCCAAGGTTCAATGTAAATGGCAAAAGCACCCGGTCGTTTATTTCCGCCTTGATCGACATATCGAGCGGTGTTGTTAAAGACACGGAGCATGGGAATAATACCGTTGGAGGAGCCATTAGTTCCTGCAATATAGGAACCAGTGGCGCGAATACGATGAACATTCAGCCCAATGCCGCCAGCCGTTTTGGATATCAGAGCACATGTCTTGAGAGTATCGTAGATGCCCTCAATGCTGTCTTCTTTCATATCAATGAGGAAGCAAGAGGCCATCTGTGGCTGTGGCGTTCCAGCGTTGAAAAGAGTTGGGGAAGCGTGAGTGAAATACTTTTGGGACATCAAGTTATATGTCTCAATTGCCTTTTCAATATCATCGCCATGAATTCCGACTGCAACACGCATAATCATATGCTGTGGCCGTTCGGCAACCTTGCCATTGATTCGCAGCAGGTATGATCTCTCGAGGGTTTTGAATCCAAAGTATTGGTAGTTGAAATCGCGGTCATAAACGATAGCTGAGTTTAATTCCTCAGAATGTTTCATTACAATCTCATAGGTCTTTTGAGAAATCATAGGCGCCGGACGGTTGTTTTTGGGGTTGACATAGTGGTAAAGATCATCAATCACCGACGAGAACTGCTTTTTGGTCTGTTTGTGCAAGTTGGAAACCGCTATTCTAGCAGCAAGAATAGCATAATCTGGGTGGGTAACAGTCATGTATGCAGCAGTTTCAGCAGCCTAGAAGCAAAGAGCTGTTAGAATGAGAAAATTTGCAATTGAGTTTCGAGAATTCACGTACCAAGTTGTCCAGCTCGATGGTCGTTACTCCCTGGTATACTCCCGAGATTACCTTTTGGGTAATAGCTGCGGCATCGACATGCTCCGGATCAAGGCCATAGCATAGCCTTGAGACGCGAGCTGTGATCTTATCGAACTGCACGCGTTCCTTGCGTCCGTCTGCAAGCAGGGTGGCGGTTAGCTGCGGTTATGATTCAGGTAGAAGGGACTGAAGCACAGTTGGCAAGTGAACAGAAGAGAGAAAAATCTTCTGTTAACTCGTGTACTGATATGCTGAACTCACCTCTCTTATAGACAAACATCTTGAACTGCTCTTGGAGATCAAGTCCTGCGATTAACCGTGTGAATCAAAAGTAGAACACCGGCTACGCTTTATCTTAAGGGATAGAGATTGAAGAGTTTAAGCATGCAATGAATGAGGAAGATGTTCTAAAGAAAGGAGTGCGAGGGGATGGTGAAGCTTAGGAGGAGGCGGGCGGATTTTTTCGATTGAAGGGCAAAGCAAGACGCGTTCCGAGCAACAAAACGCGTTGCGCCTAATTATTAATAGGACCACGTTCGTGTTATGTAAGCACGCGTTTCCTGTGCCAAGAATCCAGCCAGCGCATCCAAAGACGAGACACAGATGCCATGGAGACGGATGTTTATAAAATCGAAGACGGACACGGCTGCTTTCCTATAGACAGTCTAGGATTTGAGTGTATGACACTCGTTCAAATGCTCCAGATCAAAGAACAGGTTATTTCTAGGTTACGCCAGGAGATCTATTGCTAACATGCTATCGGAGAAATACAGAATGTGCTTGTAAATGGCCCAAAAGCGGCTCCTCAACTGTATCCATGCAGTCCACATATCTACAAGACCAGGAAACACACGAGATGATTCGCTCGTTCTCGTTTACATGGCAGCAGCTCCAACCATTGCTGCAATCGCTGCCACAGCGAAAGATTTGGATTTGAGGGAAGAGCCGGCATTTCCAGTCTCTGTAGGTGCACCGCCAGAGGCAGTGCCGGAAGCAGTTGTTTCAACTGGGATAGAAGAGCCGGTTGGCGATCCGGTCGCAGACATGGTGGTTAGGGTGGAAGGGATCTCAATAAGCGCTGTAGAGAGAACTTGATCAGCAAAAGGTCACAGCCGATACATATGTCCATAAACGTCAAGAGATGACCCCCGAGAATCAGACGCATTCGCGCATCAATGGGAAATATCGTCACATACCAACTTTGTTTCCAGACTCGGAGCAGGATTTGGAGTAGGCATTCAACGCCTTCTTAACATCGGAGTCGTCGCAGACTTTGAGGATTTCATTTTGAACTTTTTTCGATGCAGATCCCCATAGCACTTCCATGTCTCCGGGGTTCTTCTGAGTGCTATATGGAGAATCAGTACGGGGCTAACGTATTCGTGGGTTTCCAGCGCATTTTCGACTTTCGTCAGGGGCGGGATAGCGGTGCAAGAGCGGATCGAGCTTACTTGACAGCAGCAAGGAGACACCCAGGGGGAGTAGCCGCGGCGACGATATTGAACAGAGCCAAGAGGGCAACGATGAAAATGGATTTGATGGGGAACATTCTGGATAGTATATCACGGGTAGAGCTGGAAAAAAAGGTATGTCGAGAAACGGTTTCAAAGGAAGGTATATGTTCAATCGGCTCGAACTAGTCGGCAGCGAAGAATGAAGGTTGAATCGCGATATAAAGAATGACTTGGGCTGGAATGGGGGAAAGAATGAATGAATGATGAATGAGTGCTGATGTGAAGAAGAGTTGAGTGGGAGAGAAAGCTGTTTCACGGAGAAACAAGGTTGGGCGTTAGGTTTCCCCTGTCACCAAAGCCTAAAACATAGTGCCTGCCAAGCCACAACTGAAATATCATCTCCGGCCGAACTCTTCCATGGCAGCCGTTTCATATCAGGATCTATAACCATCCCGCATCTTCTCGACTCACAATCACCTCTGCAACATCCAACCTGTTTTCTACAATCTCCCTCCCGTTCACCAAATCGCTTTCCACCGCTTTCTTATCCGCCTCCGCTTCGTCCTTTGCAATCCCCGCCTCGACATGTCTCTTCACCAGCCGCTTCCTCGCTACCTCAAAGTCCACCTCCACGAACCACAGCTCATCCATCAACCTTGCGGCCTCCGTCCACGGCTCCTTGTTTAAGCTGAGATAGTTTCCCTCGAAAAAGACCACCCTCGCCGTTGCCGGAATGGGAACATCGTTCTCCACAGGGTCCTTCACCGCGTGATCGAAGCTGGGAGCGTATATCGTCGCTGATTCCGCCCCAATGTCCGCGCGCAACAACCGAACTAACTGGGTAAACTTTACGGGATCAAAAGTGAAAGCTGCACCGCGTCTGGCCATAGCATGCACGGGATCTGGCATGGCTGCCAGCTGGGCCCGCGTAAGGTGGTACCCGTCCATAGCTATCCAAGTAGCGACTGGCGGTTTGTCCGGATGCTCCTTTGCATAGTGGGCGTTTGTCTTCTGAGTCATGACTTTCGCCAGAGAAGTCTTGCCCGAACCGGGAATGCCACTGATGGCGACCATGTAGCGTGAGGATGGCGGGGTTGAGAGCAACTTCGCTGCCATGTGTTGCAAAGATCAGCCGTGCCCTCTGCTGAACGGGTAGATGCAGCATAGATCTGCCTCATCGAGACCCCCGCAATCTTCGATCATGGCTTATGCAAAATAGTTCCTCCTGGGTGTATCACTTACTCCATACTTTATCGACTAGCCGTTGAATTTGATCGTCCATGATGACGGGTAAATCTGCTGTGTTTGGCGGAGAGTGCGGGGTCTGCATCAAAGCCGTTTAATTTACCAGCGATTCTGGCGATATCCTGCTGGTATTGCGCAGGTCGTGTTAGGTAATCCAGGTCAATGTCCCCGCGACGACCTCAAGGTTCCTCTAGTGCGCCGTACCTCACTGGACTCTCAAGTACTCTGCAATACAGTCATGGCATCGGGATCCCAAGATCTTTGATCACTGGTATTCCTTTTTTTTTTTTTTTTTCGAAAATTTGAGAGTAGCAAGGTATAGCTTGGATTCCAACACTGGAAGGGAGTTGGGATGATATGACACCAACTGTCGATGATCTCACCGAGGTTTGATTAGGCAGGATGTTCGGGGGCTATGTCTATCATCTAGTGAACGGGCCATTACCCGCCGAAGGAAGAAACGACTGAGTTGTCAATCCGAATCACTGAATCCGATATTTTTTTTCCTCCCGGTACTAGAGAATTATTACTCTGCCATCGTGGCACCGTGGGCCTGGGGTCGTGGCTGGGGGGTTCCTTTCCTAAAAAGGGCAGCAGCCGACCACGTACTAGGTACAGCTTGTACCCTCAGTTAGAAAGTATCAGTAGCTGGTACGGGGACCGTGCCGGGTAATCAAAGTCATAATAGCTGACGATATAATAATAGATGATAATATTAATACTAGATTAGCGTTTGGCAAGAGTGAAGCCCACTTGAGCTCTCGATGTGGGTATATATGCACATATATCCAATAACTATATGGACAAACTGATTCTATAAAACGCTCTATCTCGAACCGCGAGTCCAGCCGCAGCGAGGCATCCCGTGTATGGGTGACGGAGTTTATCCGTATCGGTGGGAAATTTGAAAGCAAAAGAAAAGCAAAAACAGGACTCGAGGTCCTCAAAACAAGAAAATATAGTTGCCGACAATACTCCCGAATGTTCTCTGCTTTTCGTCAGACGAGTGCAGACATCCCCTGTTGCCGGCCTCCCAAGCTGCAACAATGACCCACATCTCCAATAACCCTGCTCGTAATTCCCAAGTACACGACATCGAAGAGATTCCAATCTTCGAGTCGAAAGGAGTGACCTGAATGCATGAGCAATCGCTGGGAGAGATGTTGAATTCATCCCGAGCCCCATACACCGGGGGAGCAACCCGTTCCCAGGGTCCCTCCATCAACCCCTGCTTATATGAGCAATTTAAGCCCATGCTCCAACCAGACTCATGCCAAAAGCGCCAAAGAAGACCAAAAGGCACGCGTAAACTCGCTGTTTGCCTCTCAGCGTTCGCCAGCTTTCATCGCTGAGGAAATCTTCCGACAAGAGCTCCACAAGAGAAGCGTAAACAAGGAGGCCTGATGAGATTGCATTCATGGTGCCGACCATGATGAGGCCAATCTCAGAGTCAGGATCATACAAGGAATGTGTGGCCAAACCGATTGCTTGGCCAAGGGGGGTTCTGGCAAAGCAATGCGTTAGCTCAACCCCACATAATAATTGTCGTTTCTGGCTGTATTCGACTTACGTGCAACCGTATGCAAGTGCCATGAGCCAAGGTTGGAGTGCGTCTGAGGTCCATGACAGGGATGCAATCCTCGCACCAAGAGCCAAGCCTTCAAATGATTCTTGAAGTTTCTAAAGTTAGTCGCGGTCGGGAAGAACCGGAAGGGGCCGTACATACGATGGAAAGTAATTGCAACAAGCAAAATGACAAACTCGTTTCCGACAGACACGCTTAATGCCATGCCAATGAAAACGCTGTGGAATAAAATGCCGACCTCCAATAGAACACATTGCATAAATGCTTTTTGGACCCTCTGCTCAGGGGTCAGATGTATAGGGGCAAAATCTTCGCTTGCCCTGATTTCGTCGATGTTGCGGCGGATTGCACCGTCGCTCGTCACGATTTCGGGCCTATCACCAGTTGGGCTTCTTTTAGGTAAATCACGAGCACCATTCCTGGATTGATCGGGCCGTGGCTCGGTTTGTATATGATCATGAGCGGTAAGATTTGAAACGGAATTGGACCGATTCGCGCTCCCAAGGGCTTCCACAACACTCGCATCCAGTTCCAGCTTGTCCTGTCCAGCAGGCCGTGAGCCCTGGTTGCATATCAAGTCGGTTACCTCCCTGGAACCGCCGCAGATATGTCGAGCAGGACTAAAAATCATCTCTACCGAGGCCACAAGGAAAACAGCACCAAGAGCAATGGCTCCAGGCATTGCAGGATAATCTTCGGTCCAAAATTGCGAGAGGCAGGGGTTTCCGAGTGAAAGAAAAGCCGTTGGCAAGAGGTGAACAAATGCCGTTGCAACCAAAACGCCGGTACCAAAGTGTCTCACAAAGAAGAGAAAAGCCGGCGGAATCCGTAAACGAGGGAATCTGACCACGAGCATAGGAAACGCACATGCCGTGAAGGAAACAAATAGAATAATCGCGATTGCCCCGACATGGAGACTGACACTGTAATTTGGTTTGGCGCTTCCGGTTTCGCAAGCGACTGCTCGCTTTACCATCGGCCGCTTTGTTGGTTTTGGTCCTAGAGAGAGTTTTAGAACCGGCACGGTAGCTGAACGAAAACACTCAACGTACGTTTTTCAAAAGTCGACAGAATAACTACCATGTAGTAAACAGAGATCAAGGCCATCGAGATGGCTGGCGTCCACCATACCCAACTTTGGCGGACCCAGGACTTTAACATGGAGGGCTTATAGCGCCTTGCAGAGCAAAATTCTATAAAAGTAACGGGGTTAGAGGCCGCCTGATATTTCTTTTGCGCGGAATAGGGGATTGGGGCAATCCATGCTAACCTTCGTAGTAACCACGACGGAATTTTGCGTCTGCAAGAGGTCGGGTGGCCTTGAGGGCGGGGGGGACGTCAAGACCCTTTTCAAGCCCTTCATTGCCGCCAACTGCGAGACCAAGGGCGGAGAAATGAGAGGACGCTTCTCGAATTTGCGTAGTATTCACGCGGCCATTAAGGTCCTCGCGGGCTGTGAGGTCGGGGGATAAGAATGGAGGGTTCTGATTCCAGTCAGGGTGGATTGGGTCATGTTCAGTGCGCGACGGGCAGTTCATTTTGAAGGAGTGACAAAGGAGCAAAGGTTATGCCGGAGGAGTCATAAGAAACGGGGAACAAAAGCGCAACGGGACTATTTACAAAGGGCGGGCAGGGAGAGGGAATTGGCGGTGTTCTTATTTATTCTTGCGATGCAACGATAATGCAACTATTAAATGATAATTGCGTTCCGAAGCGTCATCCCGAGTCTATTTTAGGGCCCGCCACGTGATACTCCGGCTTATCGATAACAAGGTCGAGATTTCTCGCGACGACGAGGCCGGCAACAATCGTGCATTCCACGGGCGATGAAGCGAGTCTTTACCGCGCCATGTCGTTTCCCTCAATTCTACTCCCGGGCGATACAGTCCCCAACCCGCTCCAATCCTCCAACAGCAACCCTCCCAAGCTGGGCTCCAATCTTCACATCCTATCGGAAGCCACATCACCGAAGCCAATAACAAGCACCCAAACCGGCCTCCTACTCCCCGACCACAAACGAAATTCGCTAGCAATCCTCCCCTTCCCACACCGCCGCTACATCCCACAGGCTAACGACCTCGTAATCGCCCAAGTCCAGCGCTCCAGCGCCGACTACTTCTACTGCACCCTCTCCCCGCACACGCCCCATGTCTCCCTCGCACAGCTCGCGTTCGAAGGTGCCACGCGCAAGACGCGGCCGCAGCTAAAAAACGGGGAACTCGTCTACGCGCGCGTGCTATCCGTGGGTGTGGGGCCTGGCGCCGAAATCGAACTCACGTGCGTGAATCCCGCGACGGGGAAGGCGGAACCAGGTGGATTGGGCCCTCTAACTGGCGGGATGGTGTTTGATGTCTCCGTTGGGCTGACAGGGCGACTGATGTCGTCGGGGGGGAGTGGAGGCGTGGTCGTATTAGAGGAGCTGGGGAAGAAGCTTGAATCGCAGGGTGGGTTTGAGATTGCAGTCGGGAAAAACGGCAGAGTGTGGGTGGATAGCTCGGCAGGCGGTGCGGAAGGGATCAAGGTGGTAGCCGCCGTGGGAAGGTGTTTGAAGGAAGTGGACGAAAGGTGTATGGAGGGTGCGGAGCAAAAGAAGGTAGTTTCAAGGGTCCTGAGGGAAATGGGGTTGGTGAGCTGATAAAAGGCCCGAAATTGTGATGGGGACTATTCTATGCTCCCTCTTTCCTATCTTTTTACAGAGTATCCTTGGGATGCCGTGGTAAGCCTGCATTTAATCGGCGTTTGTATTTGATATACTATCAGAAAGGGTTAACGTTTAGCTTTGTGACTTGTCGAGCTCATATATACACCCGAAATGGAGCAATCATCATTATTTCAGTATAAATTCCTAATTTCGCCGGATACTATCAACGCAGATAGCTAGCGTACTATATATATAGTTTCACCCATGGTTCAATTTATTGGGACCAGAGGTTGGATCCGGGATTCAAATCACGGACCGAGAATATATTACCACCATATGCAAGTTTTCGACGGACTAGATTGCCATGTGTTAGATATGCCACCAAGCGTAGGAGATAAAAGAAAGGGGCAACATACAAGAGTCCAACTCTTTTTCTCTAGTTTCCGCAATCACCATCTGCCAACCAACCCAGATTTTTGCACACCACCCGGTCACCAACACATCTACCATCTGGTCACCCAACTCTTTCACCACATGTAGGCCTGGCTTGCAGCCCGGACTTTCAGGGCTCGACTGGGACTCCACTGCCACAAGCTCCCTCCTCCCATCTTCCCACTGCAGCTTCTCCTCCTTGTGTAAATTTCTCACTGGTCGAGTACGAAACAATACTGTGGTCTTGTCAGTCGTGGGATTGTGATGAGATATCTCCCAACTCTGCTTCAGCAATGAGTGGGTTAATCGGAGATAAATCGTGCCACGAAGTGTGCTGCGACGCTTCCCGACGATTTCGACCGTAGTAGAAAAGACGTATTGGGTGAATGAATAGATGTGCTTGTTTCGCCTTTCTGCACTGGATTCTGTAAAGGGGGTGATGCGCGATACTTCGATAGTGCCGTACCCGGCATCGAGTTCGTGGGAAAGCTGATAGGATGGATATACCTCAGAGGGTGAGGAGCCGGTGACCGGGTTAATAAAAGTCCTGTCAATCGTAAGATTCGATATTTGGGAGGATATCGAGTGGGCGGGTTCGTGCAATGCTGCGCTAGGTGTTAAGTTCGAGTAGGAGGGGGGCGCAATAGACGGCGGGCGAGATCTAGGGCCATCACTTGTAAAATTGGATATCTGGGAGGATATTGGACGCAAGGACTCGCGAGATGTTGGTCGGGACGTTGATTCACTATAGGAAGGCGGCGGGACGGATGGGGTGGAAGATCTAGCGGCATCGACTCCAGACATCGCGGAGTGGATTCGAACAGCGATATGCAGCCCGCTTTAATCGCATAATGGTATAAATTCGCGCCCTGATATTTTGAAAGAGCCCGTCTCAGTGTGTAGTCTGTGACAGCGCTGGAGCCTCTTTCAAGGTAAACACACTGTGACATCACAGCTAACTAGTTATTCTCATAACGTAATCTACCACTCGACGACGGCCACCACAATGACAGGCTGACAGCTTCTGCAAAATGGTTCACATGACATGGCTCAGCTTTTCCGCAAATTCTTCCAGAAGCTCTCTTTGACAAATCCATCGGGGTCTCTGGTAGACTCGCCGACTTTATTCGGCTAAACTGCTTTGCTGCGTTCCTCCACCTCCGCTATATGATCTATGTGTATATGCTAAACTGTTTTGTACACTACAGGCCTTCATAGATCTGCCCTTCATGTATCCGATGCCTCCAACACCTTGGCACCCGTATGTAAGCAAATGCAGGAAAGCCGTGAAATCGAGGAAGAAATATCTTGCAAACGCGAGCGGGCCAGAACATCCGCTTGTACACCTCTTTATCTCGCTCAAGTGCCTCACGATTGTCTTCGTTGTAGTATTCAGCGCGTCTACGTTCCTTCTCGTCGTCGAGGAGTGTGAGGTTCAGGATCTTGGGCACCTTGAGCGCGAGCGTGCCGCGCTGGTACACGAAGGCCTCGGATCCGCAGCCGAGATGATGTTCATAGCGGTAGCTTGAGCCATCCGGATAGACGTAGGCCATTGCTCTACTTGCACCTTGAGCGCTTGCAAGAGGAACCGTGTGGTGCGGAGTGTGTTGATGTGCGGAGAAAAGCAATGTCGGAGATATGTTAATACGGAGTAGTTTGGGGCCTCCTTTGTTGAGGCTTGTATTAGCTAACTGGTTAGTCGTCGGGCCGAATCCATAACTAGGCGGACACACGATGGAACTAGGCCGGATTGGGGATGGGTCTTGGCAGGTGCCGAGACCGATAGGGCCTGCATAAATGCAACAGCCAGAGTCGAGTTGTCTAAATGGCAAGATGACCAGCTAATTACATACTCATTATTGTGCACTACATGATTTGAAGTGTTGTTGATAGCAATCACTTTCCTTAGATCATGCATCTGAGCGCTAGTAGCGAAAACAAATGAAGTATCTGCTATGGAACAAGGCTGGGCTACGAGCATTACGCTCGGCTTCCTGTAACGAACGGGAGGGCCAATAGATGCTGGGAAATAATTGCCATCGTCGACTTGGGTGCTGGCCTCTCAAGAGTGAGGGACGTGAACTATTTGGTCTCTGTTCACTCAGAGGTATGTAACATTCGGTACATGCTGAAGCATGGAGCTGGGAGCCACGGAAGGAGTCTGCTCACCATAGCCGTATAAGTCGATAGTCGAAGGTTGCTACAGCATCCGCTGAAGAGAGGAATAAGCCTCGTTTCATTCGTGTGTCGCTCCGATCAATGTCGCGATGTTGACAACTTAAGACCACTTTTAGTTTAAGAAGAGAGAGGGCCGGCTTCGTCAGGAGTCAGGATATTCTAATCACGAAACGGCATCGTAGGATGATAACGTTCTATCGCGATCGAAGATTTCCAGTCACTTTATTTCAAAGCAACCGCAATCTCCACCACATTGACCCAACGTGTTCGAGACTCCGGTAGCTCATCGGTTTCATCACGCTTCTGCTTCCTGCTATTTCTCTCTTTGGCCTCTTGTTTCGGTCCCCCCGGTGCAGTTGCAACATCGGTCTTCGCTGCTAGGGCATCAACATCCATCATTACGCAGTCCTGCGCTTGGTCTTCAGATTGTTTCACTTTTGCTTGTTTCCTCAACTCTCGGTTCTTCAAATCTTCATCCTCGACAATATCATCCACGACCAATATAGTCCCCGTTTTGACGTTGATGCTATACTCGTCTTTCTCGTCAAACCATTTCCCAATATCCATAGCTTTCTTTATTGCACGTCCTGTAGCTTTGATGAACACTTCCGCTTTTTTGAGTGCCTGGACGCTCTCCTGCAACTCGGTGAACTTGGCCTTCTCTGATTTCTTTGTATCATGTAGATTAACCTTGGCCATGGTGCGTTTTTCAACCTCCCGCAGAAGCTTTTGAACCCGTTTCACAGCACTCATAAAAGGCGTCTTGGTTGAAACAAAAACGATTTTGGGCACCGTGGAGCCAGCGTATGGGGAAGCTGCGGGGAGGTGAGGAATTGGGCGTTTCTCAACGCGCGCATCTGGGGAGAGGCAAGGTTAGTTTCTATACTGCTGAGATAAATCACGGCTCTTCAGATAGTACAATGGGAGAGCTTGGATTACACTTTGGCAGCTTTCGATGGCCATGGTTCTTCTTTTCGAAAACGAGCTCCGGGTAATGTTTATGTTTTATTTTGCCCATAGTCACGACCAAAAGTCACACGAGCCAGTTGGAATGAGGTGCTATACACTGCCAGTTATGTTCACATTGTGCATGAGTATGGACAAGGTTCTCAAGGTTGTCGGCGTCGTTTTGGTGGAAGCGGTTCTGATAGAGCTCATTCGTAAGCAAGTCTAGCCGAGCAGCTTATCGATAGCACGCACCGGCAAGTCGACCCGAGCATCAACTTTTTTTGATTTTCGCGATTCTCAAATCCACCAGCGGGACGACGCCAGCAAGTCTTTTCCACCTGTATCGAAAGACTGCTCGTTCTCTTAGCTGCCTGGTCTCACTCAGTTCTAAACACTTTGCAGCCTACTCAAAATGAGCGACCAACCCAACGGTGTCGCCCCCGAGGCGACCGAAAAATACGCTATTGGTATCTCCTTTGGGAACTCGAACAGCTCTATAGCTCACATTTCACAGGTGAGCAGATATGTTGCCTATTTCAACGTTTCCAAAATAGACGATTCTAATTATCTGTGGCCTTATAGGAAGGAAAAGCTCAAGTCATCGCCAATGAAGAAGGAGGTGTGTTTTTGACGAGCCAGCTTCGAGTGCATTGTCCAATTAACGCAATTATTCCTACTTATAGATCGCCATATCCCTTCCGTCTTGTCATATGTCGAAGGAGAAGAATATCACGGCACGCAGGCAAAAGCCCAGCTAGTCCGGAATCCAAAAAACACGGTCGCATACTTCAGAGATTATCTTGGAAAAGAGTGTGTTCACCAATAATCAATAGCTGTGGATAGATGCTAAGTTATGCTATTATTTAGTTTCAAATCCATAGATCCGACTCCAGCCCACGCTTCCGCGCACCCTCAGCTCCACAATTCATCTGTCGCTTTCACAATTTGCGACACAGCCGCTGAAGAGCCCAACACAATCACTGTATCGGAGATTGCCGCACGCCACTTGCGACGACTGAAGCAATCCGCCTCAGATTTCCTCGGAAGCGATGTCAACGCTGCAGTCATCACTGTGCCTACGGATTTCTCTGAGGCGCAGCGCTCTGCCTTGAAGTCCGCAGCGAAGGACGCTGGTATCGATGTTCTTCAATTTATCCATGAGCCAGTTGCTGCCTTGTTGGCATATGATGCGAGACCGGAGACCCCCGTCAAGGATAAACTCGTAGTAGTTGCGGATTTCGGCGGTACTAGATCGGATATTGCCGTCATTGGTTCAAGAGGAGGGATGTACACTGTTTTGGCAACCGTCCACGACCCCGAGCTAGGAGGCGCGCAATTGGATCAAATTCTTATCGATCATTTTGCAAAAGAGTTTATCAAGAAGCACAAGACAGACCCACGTGAGGATGACCGCAGTTTGGCGAAAATGAAGCTTGAGGCAGAGGTTACAAAGAAAGCTTTAAGTCTTGGATCGAATGCTGCACTCAGCATCGAAAGCCTGGCGAACGGTATCGATTTCAGCTCAACCATCAATCGAACAAGATACGAATTGCTGTCTGGAAAGGTGTTTGGCAGTTTTACCCAGCTTATCGAGCAAGCAGTGAAGAAGGCTGAATTGGATGTCCTTGACATCGACGAGGTTCGTTTCCGGATTGACTATTCGAAACGAAACTGCAGCTAACATATTTTAGGTAATTCTTTGCGGCGGAACTTCACATACACCTAAAATCGCCCGTCTCGTACAGTCTCTCTTTTCGCCTTCAACCACCGTCCTCGCACCATCCACGTCTCCTACCGCAATCAACCCCTCGGACCTTGCCGCTCGTGGCGCTGCCATCCAAGCTTCGTTGATAGAAGAATTCGAAAAGGACGACATCGAACAATCGACCCACCCCATGGTCACTGTCGCCCCCCATCTTGAAAAGGCCATTGGCGTCCAGCTCGTCTCAGCCGACGAAAGTGCCGAATCCACCGCAATCTTCAAGCCGCTCTTGAGCGCCGAAACCGCGCTTCCAGCTCGACGATCTGCACAGTACGCCGTCCCCAAAGACGGCGGTGATGTTATTCTGCGCGTCTGTGAAGGCACCCGTGAGATCAAGGTAATCAAGGCCGAGCCCAAGGCGAAACCCGCTCAGCCCAAGGATGAGGAAGACTCGGACGTCGACTCTGATGAAGACAGTGAGGAGGAGGAGGAAGATATCCGTGAGATTGTCTGGAATATATCGAAGCCGATTGCGGAATTTGCGATCAAGGGCGTCAAAGCGAAGGGCAAAGTTGAAGTGACGATTAGCGTGAACGAGCATTTGACTGTGCAAGTGACTGCTAGAGAAGTTGGTGGAAAGGGAGGTGTTCGCGGTGTTGTGGACGGCCCGCAGAACGGAGTTGCAGCTTAGAACGGGTGGGTTGGTGGCAGGGTAAAATACGAGTAATTTTTTTTTTTTTTTGCTCTGACGATTTTACGTTTAGAGAAAAGGATAGATTTGGTCTTTTCTTGATATCTTTTTTTTTTTTTGCTTTATTGAGTATGATGAGGCGTTTTTTTTCCATAGCAGCATATGTTCTACAAAAGAATGAGATGACCATCATAGTCCATGCGGTTTCTGATCGGGGCTCACAGCTATCCTCGATTTAGGAGTATTCAGCTCACCATGTAACAGCTGTAGAATATTTCTCAATCCCAAGGGAAAGAGGTTATAGCAGTCTGCTCACCCTGTCTTATGCCTGAGCTCCTGGCCCTGTGTCCTCTTGGGGCCATTTAAACAAATTCCCGCGCAAATGCAATGCAAGCAAGAAGACAAAACATCAAGAAAAAAATCCGAATTTTCTCACAAAAGCCTCCCCTCCATCACCATCGTCGCTCTCCCAGAAAGCGTAATCCTCGACACCCCCGTGCCCTGCTCGTTCAACCGCACCTCGATACAGAGCTGGCTCCTCCGCCCCATCTCGATCCCCTGCTCAATCGCATACGCATGTCTCGAGCCCTTCCCGCCCTTTTGCATCGCCAGATGCGCCGCCAGCGCGCAGCAGCCGCTCGCACTCGCTGCTTCCTCGACGCCGTCTGCGATCACGCGAACTTCTAGGCGCGTGATGTACGGCTCTTCAGTGAAGTCGGTTTGCAATTGGATAAAATACACCGCGCCGCAAAAGGAAGGGGGTGATGATAATGATGGTGGGGTGGTGGTGGTGGGAGTGGTAGCTCCGTTTCCTGTGGACTTTGCTGCTCTCCAACCTGCGTCGAGGTTTGGTTCCGGTGCTTCGCCGGGGCGGAGGAGAGAGATGAGTGCCGGGCTGGTGGTGAAGTCGACGAGGGTGAATGTTACGCCTTTGTGGATAGACACGACGGAGTAGGATGCTTTCATTTTATCGACGTGTGGGCTGGTGCCGAGCTTCCGCTGCACGGCGAGGATTTCATCTTTGGGCGTTTCTTTGCCGTGAACATGGAGGTCAAATGGCACTTCGATGGCGGCGACCTGTCTCGCAGGATCGAAATAAGCTTGAATCACGCCTGCTTTTGTCTGCAGGGCGCTCTTGGACAGTTTTGCCCCCGGTTTGTTCCCAGCGGCGATGTTGGGGCTGGGGAGGGCAACGGCATCGTCACTGGTCATTAGGCATTGGAAAATGTACTGCGCCGTTCCCAAGACAGCATCTGCCGCAAAATCGCGCTCGCCCTTGGGGCTAAATAGTTCGAGTTTGCGGGGCTGATATGGGTGAGGCCCGTCGTGGAGGAATGCCGTTGTAGGGTGGTTGAACTCCTTGGCGATTTGGTGCTTCTGTTGATAGGTGAGCGCATTGCTGCGAACGCTGACAATGGCCAGTTGGTTGCCGAGATATCTGTCTTTGATGTTAGAATTGGCTCGATGTGAAGGACTGGAAGGGGGATCTAGCTGCTGTAGCGCGGGGAGGCTTCTTTCATGAAGCACACCACGGCTAGGAAGCAATTAGGATATCCAAGGGAAAAAGCAAAAAGGTGCAATTCACCTTTCCGATGCAAAGACATCAACAAGAACTGTAAACTCGCAGTCAGATATTTTGCCTATAAAAGTCGCTGCAAGGAACCATGACCACAACAGCCAGTCTATGCTAGAAGGAACCCTTTTTATAACCAGTTCAACCATGCATACAACGAAAAACAGCCGGGGTTGAAAGAATAATCACAGCTCTCAATTGCGAATTCAACATCAATAATGGTCTAATTCTCACCAAACGTATGCGGACCTGCAGCCATGCTGGACCGTGTCAAGTCGAATCAACGACGAAGAGTGCCCTGCGCTTTGCTCTCCCAGGAAGCTCGGATTCAGAGCTCGAAACTGCAGATGCCAACCACCTAGAAACCATGATCAATGGTCAAATCCTCAAAAAAAGAACAAACGACCAATATGACGGCAAGCTTTCGTACAAGTTTAAGTTTCGGTCCACGATGAACTCGGGCAGACTCCGGGAGCACTTCGTTAACTAAGTCAACGGGATGCTGTGATTTGAACAGGCAAAAAGAAGTCAAACTGGTCGATCGACGCAGCCGTTGGAAACCGTGTTTCAGCGCAAAGTTGGAGAGAATCGTCGTTTTGCTTGGATCATGCTTGCTCCGGGTTGCCGCCATGATTGGGCGCAAGGCTCCACGCCGGACCTGGTACTGCTGGAGTCTTTTTTCCATACCATCGTCATAAGCACTCATCGGGGCGGAACAGTTCGTCAGAAGCTGTCGTTCGAGGATATTCCCGTCGGTTCTGTTCGGCGGGGAATTTTGCAGCGATTTTACAACCAATTTCGTCCTTTTTTCGCAGCGCTTGTTTCGATCGTTAGTTGATCGTGCTCTAGATCCTTGAGGAAGCACTGGCACATGCAAGCGTGGCGATCTCTGCAGATGAACCATGTCTATGCACCGTGACAGGACCCATGATCGAGCGACCTCTTTTCGATGCATGAGAGTTCTTTGCGCTTTTCGCGATTGCAGCAGGGGCCGGCTGTCCTCAATAAAAGAAAGCCATTGCTGGGTTTGTCGGACGCACATGTATTCAAGTGTCCCTGGCTCGATGAGGTCTGGGAACTGTCGGTGTAATGCCGACCAAACAGTCAACTTGCAGGAGTTCGTTGCATTGCCGCAGCTCAGAATGCAAGATGCTCTGTTTTGAGGACAGTTCCTGGTCTGCATGCGCACACATACATACCATGCCTACATGTGGGCCATGCACGGGTCTATAATTCTACGATGGCGGCTGTTGCACTGCGGTGCTCGCCGGAAAAAGGAGTTGGAATAACTTGATACAGAGCAATACCCTGAGAGAATATCGATCGGATCACTCTACGGTGAGCAGACCCGTCATCACAGCATCCATGACTATATACACTACCCCCTATTCGGAAGTGACGAGTTCGTGGAATACTCCACGCTTTTGCATTGGTGTTACTCTCTTTTGGAATCTCTCCCTACGACAGTCACCTATGGTAAATGAGCAAAGTAAGGTCCGTCGGATAGAGGAGTTGGGGATTGTTCAAGCGAGTTATCATACTCCCTCCACAACGGGCAAATACAACCCGAATCCGTCGACAGAAAACGTACTGGGGCGACGACTCGGTTACACTCTAGATGTCAGCCCCCAGAACACCAGGCTGTGGTTGCAGGAGAAACTAGGTAAGCTGCATAAACATTCCAAATAAGCTGTAGAACAGCCGAGGCGAGGACAGCCCGGTGTTTAGTTACCCAGCGATCTGGTCGTTGGAATTAGTGTCGGTCTGTGGGATGCCGCAGTCATTTATTGCGAACGATTTTTCTCTTCCCACCTTTTCTCCCGGCTGTGCCCTTTGTCCTTTGTCGTGCCTGATTAATAATAGTCAAGTCTGCAAGGGACAGAGGTTTTCATCGTCGCACAGTAACACTCGGCTATCCTGTGTCCTCCAGCAGAAACACGGACGACAGCGGAGCACACCGTCGTCCGGGGCCCAGGAGCACACGCAGCGGAAGTTCACTCCTTCCAATGACGAGACTGTTTGTACAGGATACGCCCGTCATAGCCTGAGAATCGACAAGAAAAAAATATGATAATCATTTCATGCAGAAAAATCAAGAGAAAACGCCTATCGTCTGAGAAAGTTTTCTTTTTTTGGATTTATCAGATAATTAATTTTCAATGAGCTCATGCGTCCAGGACTGCTGCAAATATATATCCACAAAGCAGGGGAGAGACTCGAAACAGAGGCCTTTTTTGGCACTTTCTCGCTCGTCTCCACCGTCGGGTCACAGCCCTATTTGCGCGGTATCTGAAAGCCCTCCGAGGCTCCCCATAAGCGACCGGGGATGCAATTCGCTCTGCTGGGAGGAACAGGCCGTGTTGGAAGAAGGCCGGGATGCGAGCTTGGCCTGCATCCATTGGTGTGGACTCTGGATCGGAACTGCTGAGCTTCCAGCAAGCTGCATTGTGACTGCATCTGCCGCGCGTTTTTAAACCGAGCTAACAATTGGACTGCGCTGCACATGTAACTAATAACTCGACGTCCCAAATGTGATTCGAAAAATACCTCTTCCGTTCCCTCGGTGTCCCCTTTGTAGTCGTAATGCCGTTTGTGCGCTCACGAATTGGTGGCCACGGCAAGGAATCGGGAAAGTCTCGCGAGCAATTTTCACGACGGGATGGGGCTTTCTCGCCCGGCCGGTGGAGCTTTTTGACTTCTGTTCCTTGAAGGTTGCCGGTGCTTCAAAGTGCCAACGAGAGCCGGTTCCCTGGTTCGTGTTTTAGCGTTGAGGTTAAGATGCCAGGAGGAACGAGGCGATTGATCTAGTTCCGAGTTGGAATCTGTGTATGAGTTAGCTCAGCTGTTAGCCTCATGGAAGAGAGGAGAAGACCAGGGATCGCCGCGACTTAAAGGGTTGCTTGCATCGGCCATGTGTGATTGGCGACGAACAGCCAGAGAGCAGAATTCGACAAGAGACAAATCTTCATCTTTTTCACTCTCTCGACTCGTCGTCTCTCGGACTGGATTTGCCTGAAAGGATCTGGTGATTCTTCTTTTTCGACATTCTTTTCGTTGTGACTCAATTGCTTGCCACCACTTGTTTCGCTTCACACTCCCTGTTCACCCCGTCCAGGCCTTCTCGTCTCTTTCGGCAGTGAAAAGCAGTCTCAACAGGTCAGGAACTTGGAGAAACACGCACTGTGTTATTTTAAAAAGTCTCTCAGCAGGACGGAAGACATTGCCGGAAACTGGACCGACACAAAAGATCTCTGACGTTCTTTATTATTGCTCAGATCAATAAATAAACATTGAAACCAAACAAATCCTATCAAGCCTGCCAACCCAACATCCGACGCTCCCTTTCTCTCCTCTGCCTCCCTCCCTCTCCCTCTCTCTCTCTTGTTCATCTCAGTCAGCTTGATGTTGTTCGTTCTTTAAATCCTTTACAGCTGGTTGTATTCCTTCACCAAAACAGTCCCTAATCCAATGGAGGGTCATTCAGGCCACGGCCGTCAGGCTAGCGCCTCTTCAAACCCAAACGAAGGCGCTGCTCTGCCATGGATCCTTGAACACCTCCTTGCGTATCCCGGAAACTACGAGATCCCTCTTCGAACCATGTACACGCTGAATTCGACCTCCATCGCGCAGCCGCCGGCCCTCTCCCAGCCCTTGGTGCCACCCACCTCGGCATTCGCACGCGACGCCCAGGGCAACGCGTTTCCCGCCACCAAGTCGATCTACGAGAAGCAAAACGTGCAGAACGTGTCTGATACCGCCGCGCTGTTCAAGGCGCAGCTGATGTCCCAGATTTCGCAGCTTCCTTCCCAGCCGTGCTCGCTGCCACCCACTTTTATCTCTTCCTTTGTTCGTCGATGCTTCCCGCCTGTTGTTGAGGAGGTCGATTTCCCTCAGGCATTGACTGCGTTGGACTACCTTCGAGATCTTGAAAATCGCAGAAAAAAGGGCGTCATGGAAGCCTTGAGCAGGCTGGGTATCTCTGGGGCTGAAGGGGAAAAGCAAGAACTTGCCAAACGATACCCCGGTGTCCTTACTTGGATCGATACTATGGAAAGCAAAGAAAGGGTCGCTGTGGCATTGTATACGCAGGTCTATGTCAGACTTCGTCACTGGGTAAGTGCACACTAAAACCAACGCAGAGGGAAAACTGACAATGTTATCCATAGACTTTGATCAATGAAATGCTGCTCGAACCATTCAACAAGGCTAACTGCATTGCCATGCTCAATACCCTCTTTCCCCCTGTCGCTTCCTCCCCACCGACCCCTCACCTCAATCCAAAGATCCTCCAGGAGCAGAGAATGCAATTTTTCAATCTCATCCTTGAGGTTGGTAAAAAGGGAAAGCAGGTTCTGGAACCGGTTATTCAAAAGGATATGCGTGCCGGCGACACCACCGGATGGCCAGTTGCTCAAGATTACATCGAAAAGTACCTTCGTGCTGCCATGGCGATCATTGACGAATGCTCTGAAGTTTCTGGCCGCCAGTCCTTCGAAGAGCCACCACCGTTTGAGGGGAAACACAAAGGAAGAAAGGTTGATTCTGGAATCAGTTTCTTGTCCATCGACCGACCATCCACAAGCAGCAGTATCACTAGCCACAACAACAAGCATCTGAATAAGCCGCTTCCCCAATCTCCGACCTCCAAACCCAAACACGGCGGAACAACACTAGAAAGAATTGCCAAAGAGATTCGCAAGATGAAATCACGTGGCGACATCGGCGATGCGGCGAAAGAAGAAAAGAGGATGTCCAAGGGTCTTAAAAAGATGAAATCTGGTCTTCTCAAGGAGAAAGAAAAGCGCCATTCTGGTATGTTCGGAAAGTGACCCGCCGTTCGATCCAGAGGAATTCAAGCAGCGCAGAAAGGAATGGGAAGCGAAGAATGCTGACAAGCTCGAACATGCACGCCGGATCAGCAATTCATAAGCTAGCACGATTCTCTTTTGGAAACGAGTACAATGAGTCTACGATTTGAGGTCGGCGTTTTTTTTTTTCGGAGCCTTTCACACAAAAACCCTTTTTTCTTATTCTATTTTAGTCGCGTGCTCTATTTTTCGACTGTACTATGGTGAGGAATCGTCCAAACTGCCTGCTGTTCCTGCAAATGTCTTACCAATGGCGCACGGTATCGTATCGAAGGTAGCTTCGGAGGAAAGATGGGTGCGACTCTCGCGAGCAAAAATATTCTGTTCTTCTAGGCGCTTTCTTTGGGCGCCGGGTGGTGTGCTTATGCCTTTGCGTGCCTTCTCTGGATGATTTCTCTTCCGTCTTTCTTCTTTTTAACTTCTGGTACATTGTATGATCCTTCACTTTCAATCCTGTCTTACTGACTGTGCGCCCAATTAACTTGTGATCAAGCTACCTCTGATGACCTGAAATGCTGATGCCAATGTATCTTCGATATGTTTACTGTTGATGATAATTAAATGATTTATTCATGAGCTCCTTTTGATTGTATCACTCACAAGTAATTCCGCCGTCGAGTTATATTCCACACAACCGTGGCATTCCAGGGGTTCCGAGATGGCCCCCTGGTACGCCGGCTACGGGAAGCTGGTGGGACCAACAATGCTGGCCGAAAGCAACATGTGGCCGCATTCATCCAGCTCCCAACGACGACGAGCAATCGCTTTACACGTCGCTATTGCAAAAGCTCTGAGGACTGGCTAGTCTGTACTATACTTGATCACTTTGAATGAGGCTTCAGTTTCTTCCCTGAATATGAATCGCAGCCCAGAATTGGTGAATGATATGCCCCTTTGACCTGTTTGACGATAGATCGTCAGAAGGAGAACCGCAATTCCAGCTTCTTCTCGGGACTTGAAATAGGCCCGGGCAAAGGTGATTTTGGCTCATGATGCCGTTTACATATCCCTCATCGTCATGGCCATTGGGACTTTTCCTAGGGACTCTTTTACTTCCCTCAGTACGCGCAGGCCCTTCGGTGAACGTGGCCTTGAGCGCCTCTTTTAGTTCTCCGCCATACCTGCTGGAGCTACTGTAGGTATATTCCAGAGCCGAGTTACTCTTTTACGGGCAAAAAGAAAAGAGGGTAATATCTAACTAGAAACAGGGAGACAGCCGCTGCAGAAAACTCCACCAGTTACTTCCCCCTCCTCGACCGTATCGCGAACGGAGTGTTTGTAGACTCTCGAACGGATAAGGACCTATACGACCAGTTTCTTCGTATCTTGCAGGATGATGGGCATATTAGCGACCCGAGCGCGTTGTCATCGTTTAAGCTTGCCATGTCGCTTCGGTCGACGGCGCCGAGAATACAGGCGCACTATCAGTATTATAACACCTCTGTCGAGCCGTCGTTGATGGGTGCTCAGGATGCAGTATGCCAGGTTTGGGCGCATTATGCTGGAGAACAATATTGCTCGCCGAGTCTAGAGCATGCGCAGCAAGGTGTTTCTGGAGAACAGTACGTGAGTTCGGAGTGGCCAGTTGATCTTGTTGCAAAGAATCTAATGAGTCTCCTTTATGCATGGGTAGGAGCAATCGTGCTTTGCCATTCGATCGCGTACTTGGTAGTGGCGATCAGTCGTTGGTTGTGTATGCTGATATCGCGTCGCCTATGTTCGGCGAATTTCACAAAGAATTAAGCCAGAGGGCGGTAGAAGGAGAGTTTACCTACAGAGTGCGATACCGCCCATCTTCATCCGGCCATGCAAACCAGCTTTTTGTAAGCGGTTATGGTGTTGAACTGGCCTTGAAGCGGACGGATTACATTGTGATCGATGATAGAGCTGCGGAGCAGAGTCCCAATTCAGAAAATGCAAAAGCAACACCACCGGCGGCTAAGGATTTGAAGGAAGAGTCCCCAGCTGATTTGAAACCATTGTCTGCATCAGAAGTATCAACACTCGGGCTTAATGCAGCCAGTTTCGCGGTAAACAGCGAGAATCCGTTTGAGACGTTGTTAAAGCTATCTGAAGATTTCCCCCGGCATTCCTCCGTTATCGCTAGTATCAACGCTACAACGGAATTTCTCGAGGAGTTTGGCCAAAACCAAGAACATATGTTTCCTCCCGGATACAATGTCGTGTGGATCAACGGGGTTCAAATCGACTCTCGCCGGGTTAATGCCTTCTCGCTGTTGGATCATTTACGCAGTGAGCGGAAACTGATTAACAGTTTCCGTGAACTTGGTTTCTCAGCAAGCGAAGCTGTGGAATTACTCTCTCACCCGATTATCGCTAATTCGCAAGCCGCAGAGGTTGGCCCGCGATATGATTATAGAGATGACACCGAAGGGGGAGGAGTGATTATTTGGCTTAATGATATAGAGAAAGATAAACGCTATCAGGGTTGGCCCAGTAGTTTAAATGCGGTATGTGCTTAGCCCTCAGACGAATCCGCGCGTATCTAACAGGTTACAGCTCCTTCAACGGATGTACCCCGGTCAATTCCCCCAAGTGCGCCGCGACATTCATAATGTCGTTGTTCTTTTGAATTTAGCCGATGGGCCGGACGTGCAAATGCTTGTGTCGCAGATACAGACATTCATCACCAGGAAGATTCCAGTTAGATTTGGTTTGGTTCCCACGGTTGTAGATCAAGCATCTATGCAGCAGATTAGGATTGCCTCCTATTTGCATCAAACATATGGCTTAAAGACTCTTCTAACTTATTTGGAGACCGTAAGCACACCCATCTTTGTTGCTTTTTACCCTCAGCCCTATTGACAAATATTCAGGTCTTGGAGAAAAGCAAGAGCCAAACAATATCACCGGACAAGAACAGTTTTAATGCTGCAATTCACGATCGTGAACACCGTGAGGGAGAGAATATATTAACGTTTGAAGAAATATTGTCTTCAGATGAATTCGAACCAATTATCACCAAAACAAAGGCATACCTAAGGAGACTGGCATCGGAGGAGCCAGCCCCACTAATGTTCGCTAATGGTGCTGTGATTCCTCGGGATGACAATTGGATTCAACCGCTCACAGCAAGGTTGTCCCAAGATCTAGTTAATATCCAGCAAAGTGTGTTTGCGGGTCTATATGAGGACGATTTTTGGATGCCCAACCACTATCTTGAAGGAGCGGTGTTGAGTCGCAACTCACTGATTATACCAGAGGATCCAAGCATGATTCAGATTCTCGACTTGAACGCTGCTTATAGGAGATATCAGTCTGAACTTGAAACGCTACCACGGATACCCGCATCTGGTGATTCAGATATGGGAAAATGGGGAAACCTGATGCTAATTGCTGATTTTGACAGCGATGATGGGCAAAAGCAGCTAAGCACCATTCTTGAGTTTCGCGAGAAGAACCCCGAGATTGAGGTCCTTCTCCTCCACAATTCCAGCACAAATACTCATGGCCGTGTGTCTGCAGAACTTTTTGACGTTGTAAAATCTACCCGTGATGTTGATGAGTCTACACTCAAATCTATCCTACAACCTGACTCTGAACGGCTTGTCAAACAAGAATCTGAGATGGAGCCGGTTCGTAATTACTTCGGATCGCTGTCTTCGCTGGCGAAAGACTTGGGCCCATTGCGAGATCGCACCAATATTGTATTCAACGGAAGGGTCGTCGGTCCAATCCCCTCAACTTCGCTTTTCGAGGTCCAGGAATTGGAACAACTCTTAGCTTACGAGCGAGAAAGACGGTTGGAACCTGTTGTGAAGGCTGTTTCATCACTTGCTCTAAAGGATAAAATCAGGGACCCCTTTGCATTTGCAAGGTTAACGTCTCTTGTTGCCCGTTCGACGGCATCTGACATGCCAGAGGATATATACGACAGTGGACGAGTAACACGCACCAGCACGTACAAAAAATGGAACAATATGCATTCCGGGTTTTCATTGTCTAATACAGATGACCCTCTGATTCAAGTTGTTGCTACTATTGATCCTGCCTCTGAAACTGCGCAGCGCTTCATTCCTATCCTAAAGGTCTTATCTGAGCTGAACGGAGTCTCTCTCAGAGTATTCCTCAGCCCAACCACGTCACTGAAAGAATTGCCTATAAAAAGATTCTATAGGCAAGTTCTAGAGTCAGAGCCGTCCTTCAATGGTGATGGATCCTTGCGCAGGCCCGGAGCATCTTTTACAGGAATTCCAGAAGACGCACTGTTGACGTTGGGTATGGACGTTCCTCCGTCCTGGTTGGTTGCTCCCAAGGAGTCAATTTACGATTTGGATAACATCAAGTTGAGCTCGCTGAAAGAGGGCGCGAATGTGGATGCCATTTACGAACTCGAGCACATTTTGATTGAGGGACACTCACGCGATACAACGCATGGAAGCCCTCCCCGAGGAGTTCAGCTTCTGCTAGGAACAGAAAGAAACCCACATTTTGCTGACACTATCATCATGGCAAATTTGGGCTACTTCCAATTTAAGGCTCAGCCGGGATATTGGCAGATTACCTTGAAACCGGGACCAAGTGAACGTATTTTCCACCTGGACAGTGTTAGCGGTACGGCATTCGGGGCGGGACCCAGTGACGGAAATAATGAGGTTGCGTTGCTGTCGTTTCAGGGCACAACTTTGTTCCCGCGGCTATCGCGTAAAGCTGGCCATGAAGAAGATGATGTTCTGGAGGCTGGGTCCAAACCAAACTCTGCAAAGAATTACTTTGCCAAGGGCCTCAATTTCGCTTCTGACATGATATCCGGCATGACTGGAACCCGACAGGATAAACAGGCCGATATTAACATATTTTCCGTCGCCAGTGGCCATCTATACGAGCGCATGCTGAATATCATGATGGTTTCGGTAATGCGACATACAAAGCACTCCGTCAAGTTTTGGTTCATTGAACAATTCCTTTCACCTTCGTTCAAGTCCTTCCTCCCACATTTGGCGAAGGAATATGGATTTTCGTATGAAATGGTTACTTATAAGTGGCCTCACTGGCTCCGTGCCCAGCGGGAGAAGCAGCGAGAGATTTGGGGCTACAAGATTTTATTCTTGGATGTGCTCTTCCCGCTATCGCTTGATAAAGTCATTTTCGTGGATGCTGACCAAATTGTACGTACCGACATGTACGAACTCATTAAGACGGATCTAGAGGGCGCACCATACGGCTTTACGCCGATGTGCGATTCCCGCGAAGAAATGGAAGGGTTCCGCTTTTGGAAACAGGGTTACTGGAAGAAATTCCTTAAAGGTCTTCCCTACCATATCTCCGCGCTGTATGTCGTCGACCTCAACCGTTTCCGCCAGATTGCATCGGGGGACCGGCTGCGAGGACAATACCAATCACTCTCCGCAGACCCAAACAGTCTCTCCAATCTAGACCAGGACCTCCCCAATAATATGCAGCATTCTATTCCAATCAAGAGTCTTCCGCAGGATTGGCTGTGGTGCGAAACGTGGTGCTCGGACGGGGCGCTGAAAACAGCAAAGACGATTGATTTGTGTAATAATCCGTTGACAAAAGAGCCGAAGTTGGAGAGGGCCAGGAGACAGGTACCAGAGTGGACGGAGTATGACGATGAGATTGCGGAGTTGGGAAAACGGGTTGCGAGGGAGCAGCAGCGGATTAGGGGCAAAAAAGGCCAGGAGGAGGACGTGGATGGCGAGGAAGACGGGGCAACAATTATGGAAAAGGATGAGTTGTAGGGTTTGTATGCTATGTATCTGGGTTTCCTGATTATAGGAGTTTTGACTGAAATAGAGCCTGTACACCAGCCATTTGGTTCAATCACTCTGATTGTTCTAACCGCCCCAGTATCAAACCAGGTTCCAACAAACCACTCGAGCGAGCTGACACTGCAGTTCCATCGCCAATTCTACTAGCGGCGAGTACTATGACATCAATTGACCATCATACTCCGGGGAACAGTTGCTTTTGAACCTGTAGATGGACTCGCTCACGCGAAATCTTGCTAAACGAGGTTGGAGCCGGTTTCTGAGTCCGCCACGCAGGTCCCAATGGTCTTAGTATATAACCTACTCTACATCGCACACAGTTCCAACTACCAGTAAATCGTTACCTAACTGCCTTTGAATAACTTCCCCACGAGCCCATATTACAACAAGCACCGACCAAAAAACACCAAAAATGTCTAGCCGCGCCGAAAGAGAGGCCGAAGACCTGTACGAGGCACAAAACGACCCGTCCCCCGTCGAAGGCAACGCCGGAGACGACAGCTATGCGCAAATGGGCACAGGCCGGAATGAACCGATTGCTGTGCAGTCCGATTCCGCAAAGGTGGAAGATCCCATGAAGCCGTTTTCAGCCAACACCGATGCACAACTTGGTATGTTCAATTTTCTGCTTGTTGTTCCGCGTTCTCCTGATGAATGAGGACGAAAGGCTTTTTTGTTGCGTAGGCTAATGGGGAGATTCGACAGCCCAGGACGAGAGGGAAGCCATTGACAAGTCGAATATCATGAAGGGTAGTAGGACTCGACGGGCGAAACCTCAGGGTCAGGGGTATTCTGAGGGTCCGGATGAAGATGATTTGCCTGATCAGCCTATGACCTGAGTTGGGGATTATGTTACGTATCGATTTTATGGGAGTTGTTTTGGGGTAACACCTAGGGTTAATCCTGGTTTTTGGGTCTGGCCTGCTGCGAGCTAGTTATTTGACGCAGGACTATCATATCTGAGTGAGTATTATGGCAAATTGGATTCCATCTAAAGACCTATTGTGTGCCGTTGTAGCGGAAATATGTGAGCAAGCGCATCTCTAGAGGAGTCGAGACAGCGTGAGAATAGCGAGTAAAAACAGAATCGTGTCTTCTGATTACGATTATCTGAACAAAATTGGCTTCACTTAGCTTTGTCGGTCAACTATACAATATGGAAGTTGACCCCAGAGGAAACTCGTTGACGTTCCAGGCGCACGATGACATCACCATCACCGGTCATAGTTATCCAAGCACTGCTAACCCTGAATATCGCAGGAGAGATCAGGTTTCTGCACAAGCCAGGGATTTATCAAGTTTCGATTCTCCTACCGAAACCGAGAGGGGACCTACGTAGCCATCAGCAAACCAATTAAACTGAACATATTTCATATCATCCTTGAGTTGCTGAGCACTAAGTCACTAGGTTATAGATGTCAGTCATTCTGTCTATACGGGACTTTTCCCTTATATAAAGAACTGACAAGCTCTTCTTTGCCTTTCCCGTCTTCTTCTTCTTTATACCTCACTATGTTTGCGAGGACTGCACGTGCCACAAAGGTAGATTGTCTTTTCCTCAGTCCCCGAATTAGGGCGGATTATGAGCGCAATTGTTGACCTTCCTCATTCTAGCATCTCACTCAGACCCGCTTCGCGCACCCAAGTATAATCAACCAAAGCACACGCCTCTTTGCAGCCAGCGCCATCAGCATGACGAAGATCAGCGAAACCATCAAGACGGACCATCGGGACCTCGAGGGGTGGTACCAGAAGATTATCAACCCAACCAGCGAGGACGAACAGGTTCGAGCACAGAACCAGTTTGTGTGGGAGCTTGCAAGACATTCACTTGGCGAGGAACTGGTTGTTTATCCGGCTTTAGAAAAACACGTACAGGGCGGCAAGGCGCTGGCTGATAAGGATCGGGAGGAGCACCAAGTGGTAAGCTTTTCATAACAACATTCTCCCTCCTATATCTTTTTGTAGTTTCCCAGCAATTGACGAGTCCGAGCCGTGAATAGGTCAAAGAACTGCTCAAAAAGTTCCAAAACATGAAGCCAGCAGACACGGAATACATGCCCACAATCAAAAGTCTCATGGACAACCTGTCACAGCACATCAAAGAAGAAGAGAGTGAAGACCTTGTACGGCTCGAAAGCGCGCTGGACCAGGCCGACAGCGAGAGCCTGACCAAATCATTCCATCGCACGAAAATGTTCGTGCCGACGCGAAGTCATCCGAGTGCACCTGCAAAGCCGCCATTTGAGACGGCAGTGGGTTTGATGACGGCGCCCATCGATCATTTGAAGGATCTGTTTAGGAAGTTCCCGGATCAGAAGATTAGTCCGAATCCATCGATGAAGTAGAGCTGTGTGGATGTTGATAAGAGGGCCGTCTTGGGTTAGGGAATCAATGATCTATGGACAGGAAATTGTTAGCATAGCTAGTTAATTGACAGGGCTGTAATGCTTGAAAATTGATTCCCATTGATAAGATCCCAATTTTCCGCTCTGGATTGATTTGTAGTTGGCGCCCATGGTGGTGAATTGTGATGCAGTTGATGACAATGGGAGCACTGGACTCTCGAGTGGCTCAACATCGGCCGGCTCCGCACCCCACCTTAACTGCACAGTTGATATACGACAACCGCCAACCCGCCGTGGATAAACATGGGTTCTACTCCGTGGTTTTGCTTTGCGAATCATGAACATTAAATAGGGTGCGGAGGCTTTACAAGAGACTCCTCATATCCCCGTCAATCCCAACACAAGGGCTGCAAAGAACCAGCTACTCATTCGGCCTATAAGCAATGGCTGCCGAAAACCCAGACACCATCGTGCTCTGTTCCTCACGGGCAGTCATCTCTGGCCGCCTCACCCCCGCGACTCTCACCATATCCAGAAATACGGGCAAGATCACTGCCATCCACTCCTCCATCTTATCCCGATCGCTGTTCTCCCCCAATACCCCTTACACTGATTATTCACCTTACATCCTTCTCCCCGGGCTTGTAGATGCGCATGTGCATCTCAACGAGCCCGGGCGCACGGAATGGGAGGGCTTTTACACAGGTACTCAGGCTGCGGCGTTCGGGGGCGTCACGACTGTGATTGATATGCCGCTTAATAGTATTCCTCCAACAACAAGTGTCGAAGGGCTGGCGGAAAAGATTATGGCAGCCGAGGGTCAGGTGTGGGTTGATGTCGGGTTCTATGGAGGTGTTGTGCCAGGGAATGTTGGGAAAGGGGAGCTGAAGAGGCTAGTTGAGAGAGGAGTTAGGGGATTCAAAGGCTTCTTGATTGATAGTGGGGTATGTTGGCACACGGAAACTGCGCCGTAAGGCGTTAGTAGAGTTGCCGTCAAGTAAGTGCTGATATGTATACCAGGTTGACGAATTTCCGGCTGTCGGGGCAACTGATATTAAGACAGCGATGGTAGAACTGGCAGACGAGCCTACGACGCTCATGTTCCACGCAGAAATGGTGCCTCCAGCTGTATCTGAGGAGAGAGTGTCGCCCTCCAGGGGACTACCAGCGGCATACTCGACATTCCTTTCTTCTCGTCCCCCAGAGTACGAGACATGTGCCATAGAACTGATCACGTCACTCGCGCAATTTGCACCGGATTTACCGCTCCACATCGTCCATCTCTCTGCAGCGCAAGCCATTCCCCTTCTTCGTGAAGCCAGACGACGTGGAGTGAAGATAACAGCAGAAACATGCTTCCATTACCTCTCCATTGCAGCCGAAGACATTCCAGACGGGGATACACGACACAAGTGCTGTCCACCGATCCGTGGAAAAGCTAATCAGGATGAGCTGTGGTTGGAATTATTTCACCATGGCTCCCATGACGGCGTGATTAAAACGATTGTGTCCGACCATTCGCCATGCACGCCGAATCTGAAGTTATTGCCCGACTACATACCTGGGAGCAAAAATCACGAGCATGAAAGTGACAAAAATGAAACCAAGGTAGGCGACTTCCTTTCCGCCTGGGGAGGGATCTCATCCGTCGGCCTCGGTCTTCCTATCCTTTGGACAGAGTTAAGCCGTCGATATCCCCACGACGCAGACTCACCTCCTGGCGGGCGACCACTGCTCGAACACATAGTCCAATTATGCTGCATTAATACCGCCGCACAGGTCGGTCTGCGAGGCCAAAAGGGTGATTTGGCGGTGGGGTATGATGCAGATATATGCGTATTTGATGACGAAGCGGACTGGACGTTAGAGCCAAATACGATGTTATTTCGAAACAAATGCTCCCCTTATCAGGGAAAATCTTTCAAGGGAGTGGTGAGGGAGACATGGCTGAGAGGCCAGCGAGTTTTTTCACAGGACGTAGGTTTCGGCGAACGAAACCCGCAGGGAAGGCTATTGTTGGCGCCTAGGTCATGTTAAACCCTCATAGTATCTTGTCTCCGGAAAGATATGGTAACTGGAGAGTTGTTCAGGCATATTTCTACTTATGTTTAGTGTTTAGTAATCCTTTGGGAATAGCTAGGTTGAAATGAAATGCACACGTCAACCGAATCCGAAACATAAAAGACGGATCAAATCTACATACCACACAGCCTGATCACTTTTCGCACTCGCTTTGAAGATCGATTGTCTTGGTCAGAAACTTCGTGGTACTCATTGATATCGTCACTCGTCGTCGTGCAACTCCTTCCACCTCTCCCTCACTCTTCTTCTCGCGCCACCGCGAATTCCTTTTCCCCAGATCTCTTCCTTTTGTACAGTGTCGTTGGCAACGGGTCCGCTTTTCTTTCTTGATAATCCCACGCCAACTTCTCGTACAACAATTTTGTTCTCCATCACCCGCTTTTCCTTCTTCTTTGCCATATCCGCCTTCCTCAAATACGCCGCGTAAACAGTCACTTCCGCTACCCCGACGGCCAAAGCTACCAGTATGGATATGAACACCTTGCTAGGTTGGGAGTAGATAGATCCTGGATAATTATGCGTATGTGCGCTCCCAGACCGTGAGAAAGTGAACATAGTGATGAGGAAGTGGGGAGTTCGAAAATTGGTCAGAGCCCAGTATGTAGCGAATCCAGTGAATAAAATTGATATAAGTATATTCAAGACCGAACGAGGGGGTAAGAGGGGTCGTCAAAAGTGTCTTCGGCGTGGGATGATGGGGTATTTATAACTGAGGAAGCAAAAATTGGTAATGGTTGACGTGTCGATTGCGAAACGGATGGGCGATGAAGGTATGACTGGTATTCTTTGGCCTGAGCTTCGGCTTCGAGACGAGCTTTTAAGGCAAGGTACTCGGGACTCTAGAAAAGTCGATCAGTATATTACGTGCGGTGAAAGTCCCTGGCTATCTGTTTGACACGTACCGGTGCGGGCGTGGGTGGCTGAGGGGGGAGATACAGCTTCGTCCCGCGGAGAAGAGCGTTGAGGGAGAAGTCGCGCACATGCCCATGTTCAAACTTCCCAGCTTCACTTATGCTTGTGCGGTGTTTGTAAGACACAGAAGAGAGCTTTCGCGAGAGAGCAATCAGCTGGCAGTGGGAGATAGCTTCATCAAGCTTGGGAGCTGGGAGCGAGAGTTCATCGCGCACATGCTGGGGAATGGATTCAAGAGCTGCAAGGATCAGAGGAGTAACAACCAAGAGAACCATTCTGAAGCATGGAGAGAAGCAATGAAAAAAGGTGAATTCATTGCTGTTCCATGCTGGATTCTGAGTTGCCTGTCGTTGATGCCCTTGCCGGAGTGCAAACATGCCAAGAAGGGTCCAATCCAAGCCCATCAGAAAATCCCTTGTTGCAGATTCATCATGACATAGGGGCGAGGAAGTCATTGAGCCCGACTGGAATCCTCTCATTATGTGATGGCACATGCAGAAATTCAAAGTGAGATTGTCTATCCTCTAAGAACCCTCCTCTCCATGCCCGGAATATGATTTTCCAATAGTTATATAGAGTAGATTCTGGTTGTAATTATCTAGTTAACTATTTTCTGGTTGCAAAACATGTTGCTCTTACTTTGATGCCAAGCTGATTTGCATCCAAGACATCAGTTTCTATGATCCTCCTGACATTCACAGGATGGAACGACAAAATGTCATCTGATGCTGCTGAACAGTACGATTTTGCAACCTTCATAACCTCCTACTGTGCACTAGCTTGCATGAAAAAACTATTTCAATTGAACCACCTACGATCACAACCTTCTATCTCCACCCTGCCCCATAGTCTGCATATTGTTACTGTCAATTATTGAATTCCAAATGCTCCTTGCTTGTGGAGTGATACGGCTGCCCAATATCTATTGCCCCTAATATATTCCTTAATTAAGAGAAGAGGAAAGTCCCGGAGGAGATCCAATAGTTGTACGAGAGAGAAAATCTGATATTCAATTATGATAAAAGCTGATTGAGGAGCTCGACGAAAGCCTACAAAGCATGCAGTCTTGGAGAGTTCCAATTTGCGCTTGACTAATGTGCAAGCTGATATGTCATTGCAAGGAGGATGGTGCTGAAATTTCTCATATGGTTCTTGTCCGATACCTTCCAGGGTCCGCATTCGAACATCGTCATTAGAGATGGACATGGGGCCGAATAACTGGGGTCTTTAAGATACTGTATATATTCCGCATGGTACTCGGCAACCATTAAGAAGATTTGATCCTTGTCTTGGGAGACCATATAACGCCGGTACATGTTGCTGGATATGTAGATGGTCAGAGCGCTATCTCAAACATCATAGAACAGCGAGCGGAGTACCAAAACATACCTTGAAGGGTTTCCAATTGGTTGGTGAGAATCTGGTTCCGCGTATATCCAGGCTGCCATCTGTGCGGTTTCTTGCATTCTGATACCTGGAAGTAATTTGCGCTTCTGCCTTTTGACCTCCACAATCACCTTGGGAAACTGATGGTTCTGCAGCGTTGAACAGGTGGCCATCAATCCTGGCTTCGTATAGTTTGTCCTTGTCCGTCTCCTTGTCCGCCCCAAATTTAAATGCCTTGCGACGAAGAGACCAGTGTCCCTTGCTTTTCGGATGCGAAAATGTAACGACACTTGCAAGACTGATGAGGGCAGTGTTAACAATTTGTTCGTCTTCAAGGGTCGAGGCCGATACGTTTTCGGTATAATTTGAATCGGTCGGGTCATCCGGGATCTCGGCAGATTCCGGCGTCTGGTCCGCGTCAAAAGAAGAAGACAACATTTCAATGTCTTTTAGCTCGGGCAGTGGGGGCGGCGATCCGCGACTTGGTTTAGAGGGAGTTTGGAGCTGTTGTTCACGCAACTCGTGCTCTTTTATTTTACTTCTTGTTCTCCTGGCAATGGGCGAAAAATCAACTTTGGCCGAGGCCTCCATGTCGTCGGAATCCACTTTGTAGACCAGCTGCTGGTAATACCAGACGAATCCGAATGCTCCCAATGAAGGAACGGGGAGCACGAGGTTGAAATCAAGAGGCCCCGTGGCACGGATATAGTCCTTCCAAGCCTGCTGGCTCTTTAGGTAGTCGTAGGCATGGTCGACATTCCGAATTCCCCAATCAAGTGGGTTGAAGTTCCTGAGATGTATTCTCACCCAGCATGTCCGCAGCGCAAGGAACTGTTCCTCCTCGATTTTTGACCCAGACTTGTATGCCTCCACCTTGTAAATGTTGAGGCCTGAAGCAAAGTTGGGGAACTTATCAAACCACTCATTTCGGGCATCATCGAGCTCGGATTGGAAAAAAGGAGCCATGATAAAGAGTAGAGAAACAGAGCTAGTAAAGTGTTCGGTAGTTAGTTGAGAAAGTGATCTTGATATCCTATTGAGAATGAGATATGGCCACTATTTTATAGCCTCCTCGGATCCATTTCCTCATTCCATTTGAAGGCCTGGGAGGGAGGGGGTTCTGCATCATCCACTCAAGCCCCTGTAAGGCGGCGGTTAGGCATCATTTGTGAATGGCACAGTCTCAGGCCACAGCCAGTTTCAAAGGGCCGTCACAAAGCACTCTCAAGGGCTGTTGATATGATGATAGGAAGATTGAGCCGGGCGGAAACTTTGGGGGCGACGAACAACCCGCTTCTTGCTCTTGGACCTCAAGAGTATCTGATCACCCTGGAATCTTGCCAAATCCATCTCCTGATTGGGAATAGAACAGTGGCAGTGGCTTTGTTGAAATAGGTGCCAGCATGGCATCCAGACCTTGAGAGGATCTGATCACCCTGGAATCCTTCCAAATCCATCTCCTGATTGGGAATAGAACAGTGGCAGTGGCTTTGTTGAAATAGGTGCCAGCATGGCATCCAGACCTTGAGAGCAAAGGGCAGCCAAGAATCCTTCCAAGTCCATCTCCTGATTGGGTATAGAATAGTGAGAGTGGCTTTGAGATATGCGCCAGCATGGTATTCAGACCTCAAGAGAATCTGATCATCCCGGAATCCTGCCAAATCCACCTGCTGATTGGGGATTGAACAATGGCAGTGGCTTTGTTGAAATAGGCGCCAGCATGGCATTCAGACCTTGAGAGCAAAGGACAGCCAATGAGTCTGGCAACTGCAACAGCCCCCAAACCTGGCCAGGCAACAACATCACATTTGGATCTGAAGCACCAATGAAATGCGATGTGACAACAGGGATATTCAAGAGGTCTTTCTAGGGACACCACGTTTTTTCTAGGGACACCACATCTAAGTCAGATATGGCTAGTGCCATACATAGCCTTACATACAAATTACTATGGGGAGGAATGAACTTCATGACTTCAATTCCTGCAACCCCATCTCACTCCCGCTATGTTCAATTAACCTCGCTGTCGCTATCAACTTGTACTAGAATCAGTGGATGTTCATCCACAGAGACATCCATGCCAGCAATAAGAAGGCAAATGGTCAATCTGCTGGGATGCAACAGCTATAATGGAGCACAATCTTCTGATGAATATCCACGCTGCTGGCAACAATGGTGTAAGAGGCAGAACACTCTGGTGTTAGAGATGGCTAAAACAAATACCACTCAGCATATGTGTAGTTACAGTGGCTATAATTGCATGCCATCACTTCACTCAGCCCAAGCTTGTTCACTGTAGCAAAAACGCCCGAGTTGAGGATGAGGAAAGTGAGAAAGTGAATGGTGATGTTGATTGACATTGGGTTGCCCATACCTCCCCATAGTAATTTGTATGTAAGGTGTACGGCACTAGCCATATCTGACTTAGATGTGGTGTCCCTAGAAAAAACATGGTGTCCCTAGCAATCCCTATATTCAAGGCCATCTCTTCCTTCGATTGACATGAGATCCAGAGTCCTCTCTTGTGTCAAAAATAGTACAGAGCAAGGGAGTAGCCTATTCAGAAATATAATCCTGATCAACTCCCCCTCTGCCTCTTTGAAAAAGGACCAGACTTCACATTACTTCTTTACCTACGGAGTACTCCTTGCACATTATCTGCCTTGCCTTTCCTCTCTAACAACAACAAGATGGCCACTGCAACAAAATTCGATGTCACGGATCCTCGTGTGCAGAGGAAGAAAGTCATGATTAAACAACTCAGGGCAATGTATGCAGATCTGAAGCAATTCAAACCCTCTTCTTTGAATGAGAGCTACCTCGAACGGTTTAACATCAAACTTCTCCCCCTTGATCTTGTCCAACCGGCGAAATCCGGCCCTTGTTTCTATAAACCCATGAGTGAAGACACACTCTCGACAAATGAAAAGGATTACATTTCCTCTCCTGATCCAGAAGATGGGTTCGATAGCAGGGCCCTTCATGTGGGCATTAACCTGGGTCGAGCTTGTCTAGATGGTAGCACTGACTGGAAAACAGGGCCGTAAGTCAGTCCTGCTTCACATTCCGCACTCATCCAAGACTAAGCAGTCAATCATAATATAGGATAGGTGCATGCTATGAGGGAAACCCCGGATCCGCCATTATTGGCAATGTGGCTAGTGGAGCACATTACGATTGGGGAGTGGATGAGCAGGTTGTGGCCTGGTCCAACGCAATTCCGCATTGCAAATTCCAAATCCACCATGACACCGCAGCTGAGGAACGGCTGAGACCCAGTGAAGTTCTTCCCATTCTTGCTGTGATGCGATGGAGGATGGGTCTATGGCGATATCTGCCACACGAGATATTCCCGGTAGGCAGCGTTGCGATGATGACAATGCTAGTGATCTGTATAACTGACTGATTTCCACTACACAGATCCAAGTCATATCTCTTTTTGGAGCCGAGGCACGCGTTCTCATTGCTTATTTTGATGGCAAGCAGCTCTGCATTCAAAAAAGCAGTCTCTATGATCTCTCCGATGCTCGGAATATGAAGAACTATAATCTATTTTTCAGATGGACGGATTCTGATGCTTGTGGCGACACCACAGTTTCTTTGCCTGTTAGGATTGAACCTCCGCAAAGTGCTGCGCATAGCCTTCCCATTAGATAATTGAAGGCTATTTTTGAATTGCTTGAAAGTGGAAAGGAAGTACAACAATGATTGTATATCGTTTTCACAGGGTCATGTTTGAATAACACTTATTATTATTGTTCGGGGAAGCCTTGAGCTTTTGAGAAAATAACTTCCATAGTTCAGTGTGGTGATGAACTTTTGCGCTTTCTTCCATAGTTTCTGGAGAATTCAGATTTAGCTTGGTCGGCTAGTTGGTTAGTTAGCTGTGAAGGACGAGAGCTTGGTGTGACACCAACACAACGTCACATCAATCAAATTTGAGAAAGCTGTACAAGCCTAATAACTCGGGTAGTATCCATCTAGCCTTGACAGAATGAGCATCTGAGCTCCAAGCTGAACCTCCGCTGAGCACTATGGCGGACAAGCCGGATAAGTACGTACGGCACCATCCCACCATCCCCTCCAGGCACTTAAACCATCTTTTATAGTATTCTGACGGCTGGTTACTCTACACTTCCACACTGAACTAAAAACGCCTTTTCCAGAGCCCTCTCTTCCACCGCTGCCGCCGCCTCCCCTGCCACGACCAACCCACGCGGCATCCCCACCGCTCCCTTCGTCGACAATGTCACCGACTACGTCTCCACGCGCGCGGACGTTGAGCCCACCCTCCGCTCCTTTCAAGAGATGATCTCCAAATACCAGTTCATGGAACTCAACACTCAGCGCCGCGCCCAGGGCCTCCGCGATAAAATCCCAGATATCAAAAAGACCTTGGAAACCGTGAAGTTTTTGAGCGCGAGGAAAAAGGTCGGTTTCCCCGCTCCCGCCTACCCCCCGCCGCCTACCCCAACAAAGCGCTTGAAGTACAACGGGGGGCTAAACGAAGGATGAAAAATTTTACCAGGCCGATTCATGTACCTCTCTCGAAACGGCCTTTGAGCTCAATGACACCTTGTACGCTCGCGCGATGATTGCTCCCGAGGACACAGACGAGGTATATCTCTGGCTCGGCGCGAACGTGATGCTCGCATACCCGATCGACGAGGCGCAGACGTTGCTGGATGACAAGTTGCGGGCGGCCCGCGCGAGTTTGGAAAACTGCGAGGAGGACCTGGAGTTTTTGCGGGAACAGATTACGGTGGGGTTTTTTTTTTTTTCGGCTTTGGGTCTTTGCCCCCTCCCCCGGCTATCTTGGGCTAATTGGTGTTGCTCCCTGTTCGGCTTTAGACGCTCGAAGTTGCTACGGCACGTGTGTATAACTGGGACGTAGTGCAGAAGCGGAAGGAGAAGGCGGACGGGAAAGGGGATGGTGAACAGACAGTGGCGAAGGCGGGATAATGAGCATGTGTTTAGAACGGATTGAAAAGTCTGATTTGGTATAGACGGAGGTGGAAACTACGGCACAGGTTTACATTCTCATTTATGCATGTCGAGCGTGATTAATTGGTCTGAAATCAATGCAAATGGCATGATATCTACCACCTCGAGGCGAGGTCCGCCGGCGGGACTCAGTCAACTAACTATTCCTGTGCACTAACTAGCTGTTGACGAAATTGGAATAAGCAGTCCAGAACACTCGAGATGTATCCCCTGGATCCACGACTCCAGTCAACATCAGCTACTTCAATTCCATTATTGACAGAAAGCGCTTGGGAGTCATTTTACGAGTAGAAGAGTATCCATCTCGCCAAGGAAGAAGTGGAGGTATTTGCTCGAAATGTGCTGTGTTGCTCGGCCGGCCGTTCAGCGAGAACCTGAGGGGTGATGGGGGCATCGGAACCACGCGCATTTATTATTCACCCGGCGGTGTTGTTTTTAGTAGTCCCGCAAGATAAAATCACTGCTAGAGAAACTATTTAATCCTTAGCGACATTGCTGGCGGTCTGCTCCACCGGCGTCTTTATGCGATCATGCTGCCATGCCAAATCAAGCTAGGACGGGCGGGTTTGGGGAGAGACCCCAAGAAACCCGCCCACAAGGAACTCCCGGTCGAAAATTCCATGGCGCATCGAGGACCCTTGTGAGCACCGGGCTAGTTGACCAGACTCTCCCTGCTCGTGTTCTTCCACGACTCTTTCGCCTCATCTCCGGGCTCAGAAATACAGTTCGAGTCCTAATTAACTCCGTATGCCACGCGAGAACCACACCCGCTGTGGTGGCCCGCTGGCCGCTGACCCGTGTGCGCTGGCTTGAACCGGGGGGAAGGGTGGTGCAAAAAATGTGTATAAATATTGTCAAGATCGCCCCGGTTTGCATTTGAAATGCGTGTCTTCCCCAGTCGTTCGTTTTACCCTTAAACAAATCTTCCCTTTGACTTCCAAGTGGTGTGGGCGTCGGACAATTCGCTGCATCAACATCTTCGCCATGCTTGGAAAAACAAAGACTCTCTGCCTTTTGGCAATCTGCCTCCTCGCCGACAGCGCACAATCCCTTGCCACACCTCCTAATCTCAACAATCTCGAGCCCAGACAGGAGCCCAGGTACAAGGCAGTTGCGGCCATTGCCCAGAAACGCCGCAATGACGCGCTCAACGCCTTCATGCCCATGCCTGCTGTCAACCAGACTGAACTCGGCAACGATGTTCGTCCCTATCTCCTGACTTCGGGCTTGTTGAGCAAGGACGAGATCAAGATCATCAAACTTGATGCTAAGGCTTTGGTCCGAAAAATGAGGAATCAGGCTCTGACCTCGGTGCAAGTGACAACGGCGTTCTGCAAAGCCACCGTCATTGCGCAGAACTTGGTGTGTTTTCTTCCCTGTCTGCGAGATGCAATTGATGATAGCTAGCTACTAATACTATCCCGCTTTTCAGACAAACTGCGTGACTGAAGTCTTGTTCAAAGAGGCCTTGGAGAGAGCTAAATTTCTCGACGAGCACCTCAACAGAACTGGAGAGCCACTTGGTCCGCTCCACGGACTGCCAATCTCTCTCAAGGACACCTTTGTCACGCCATCTCACCCCTCCTCCATTGGCTTTGCTGCTTTCGCCAACGAGCCAACCGCCAACAAGTCCGTGATTGTTGACATGCTCGAAAACCTGGGTGCCGTCCTCTACGTGAAGACCAACGTTCCCACCGCCATGTTGATGGGTGAAACTATCAACAACGTCTGGGGCGAGACAGTAAACCCTATTCACAAGAAACTTACTCCTGGCGGTTCTTCTGGCGGTGAAGGTGCCATTGGAGCCATGCGCGCTTCTCCATTGGGTGTTGGCACCGATGTTGGCGGTAGTATCCGTATCCCTAGCGCCTACACCCACTTGTACGGCCTAAAACCTTCTCTTGGACGTTTCCCCACGTGGGGAGCTAAGCCAGCTATTGCCGGTCAAGATATCATCTACTCCGTTTCTGGACCCATGTCCCATTCACTAGAGGCGGTTAAGCTTTTCGCTGAAGCCGTTCTTTCCGAAGAAGCTGCCCCCTGGACCCTTGACCCGAAGATGAACCCGATGCCCTGGAGAAGGAGAGTGCTCCCCGACGGCGCCAAGCTCAAGTTTGGTATCCTGCCTTGCAACGATGGTATCGTAACGTGCCACCCGCCAGTTGAAAGAGCTTTGAAGATTACTGCCAAGGCCTTGAAGGATGCTGGCCATGAGGTTGTCGACTGGTAAGCCTTCTTGCATAGAAACCACTTGAATTTTGATGTTAACGTTTGTTGAATAGGGCTCCGGTCAATCCCCAGGGCGTAGAAGCTCTCACCACTCAGGTTTTCACTCTGACCGGCTCCGACGCTGTCCTGCCCCTGCTCAAGGCGTATGACGAGCCCTTGTTGGGTGTCCTGAAGCTCTTGTTCCCTGGTGGCGAAACCGTTCCACAGCTTACCCCTGCAAAACTCCGTGAACTCATTATCAACCGCAATCAGCTCCAGAAGGACAATCTGGACCAGTGGAGAGCGACTGGGGTTGATGGCGTCATTGCACCTGCGAATGTCCCTGCTGCAGCCCGCCTGCAGATGGATCCCCAGAAGGTGTATGGAGGTTTCACTGGTTTTGGTAACGTTATGGGTATGATTCACTTTACTCCTAAGGAAGCGGTTCAAGTCCTGGATCTGGAGCTAACCTAACTGATAGATCTTACCGGATGCACATTCCCCGTTACCTACGCTGATAAGAACCTGGATCCCAAGAGAGGATCGGACTGGGTTCCCAATGGCTTGAGAGACGAGTTTGTCCAGAGTGACTATGACCCCGTGTTCTGGGACGGTGCTCCCGTCGGGCTCCAGGTGATTGGCCAGAGACTGGAAGAAGAGAAGGTGCTCGAGATGACCGAGATCATTGCCAACGCGGTCCAGTTCAAGGACCGGGTGTACGGATAAAAGTTCTCTATCGTTCCTTTCTTTCATTTCTTCTCCTGTATATATCTTCCCACCATAGACTTTTCCCAATTTCATTGGTTCGATTTCTCAATCACATGGCCCGGGCACTAACTACAAACAGCTAGCGTCTCCATCTGGTATCAATACACCCGCAATACCGCGGGCCCAGCCAGGCCTGGTGACGGCGCCATGGGTCACTGTGTATTGCTGACGTATTCTGTAACGTGCATGCAGTCATGCAGTGAACTCAGCACTTCTCACCTGCTGGTCACTTGGCCAGCAATGCTGCCAGCCTCGTCCTCCTCTCGTGCAGCAAATCGTCAGAATGTCACTGAGGTTTCAAAGAGCCTCCACCCTTGATCCTTCGTCTTTAGTTTCCTGCCCTGCGTTGTTGCGTCTGCCCGCCCCGACACCGTCCGTTGCACCCGTTGCACCCGTCGCATCAGCCCTGCCAGCCCTGAAACCCCGTCACCGCCCTATGACTCCGTGATGGATAATGAGAGCGTATTCTACCGAGTCCTTACCTCCATAACCCTCTCCCCGACTAACCAACGATCTATGTTGAAGACTTTCTGGCGGGTTTGCGAGCTGCTCGCCCAGCAAGAGACAGACCACGGCGATGACTCCGGTCCGGAAGCCTACGAACACGACGACGATGAGACCTTCCCGCCGGAAGCAGCCGCTGCAAAACTTCTCGACAGTGGCCTCGACCATGGTCTCGAAACATCGCAGCCATCCGATCCGTCCGCCCAAGAACCCGCCCCGTTCAACTTTGACGACCCGTACGCCTCGATCGTGAATTTCAAACCAAGCGAGTCGCTGAAGATCACTTGTCTCACGATCGGCTCCCGTGGCGATGTCCAGCCGTATATTGCGCTCTGCAAGGGCCTGTTGGCGGACGGCCATCGCCCCAAGATTGCCACCCATCGAGAATTTGAGTCGTGGGTGAGACAGCATGGTATTGATTTTGCACCGGTGGACGGAGATCCGGCTGAGCTGATGCGGATATGCGTCGAAAATGGAATGTTTACGTACTCCTTCCTGAGAGAAGCGACGCAAAAGTTCCGTGGGTGGATTGATGATTTGCTGTCGTCGGCGTGGACGAGTTGTCAGGGAAGTGATATCCTAATCGAGTCTCCCAGCGCCATGGCGGGAATTCATATTGCAGAAGCCTTGAATATACCGTATTTCCGTGCTTTTACAATGCCATGGAGTCGAACGCGGGCGTATCCGCATGCGTTTGCCGCGCCGGATCATTATATGGGTGGAGCGTATAATTATATGACATACGTCATGTTTGATAATATCTTCTGGAAAGCCATCGCGGGCCAGGTGAATAGGTGGAGAAAGCGGCAGTTGAGCCTGCGGAGTACAAGTTTGGAGAAGATGCAACCGAACAAAGTACCTTTTCTATACAACTTCTCTCCTTCCGTTGTACCCCCACCGAGGGACTATGGTGAATGGATCCGTGTGACAGGTTATTGGTTTTTGGACGAAGGATCGGACTGGACGCCTCCAGAAGAACTAACGGCTTTTATTCAGAAAGCACGGACCGACCGGAAGAAGCTTGTCTACATTGGCTTCGGATCGATTGTTGTTTCAGACCCAGCGACCTTGACAATGACTGTCATCGAATCTGTTCTCAAGGCCGATGTGCGGTGTATTCTGTCCAAGGGCTGGTCCGACAGGCTCGGGGATCCTGCAAGCACGAAAGCAGAATTCCCTCTACCCCCGGAAATATATCAGATCACAGCCGCACCACATGATTGGCTTTTCTCTCAGGTGGATGCTGTCGCCCACCACGGTGGTGCGGGAACTACTGGAGCCAGCCTTCGGGCGGGAGTTCCCACAGTTATCAAACCTTTCTTTGGGGACCAGTTCTTTTTTGGCTCGAGAGTGGAGAGCCTTGGAGTGGGCATTACCTTGAAGACATTAACTGTTAGTCTTTTTTCGAGAGCGTTATGGGAGGCGACGAATTCGGAACGGATGATCATCAAGGCGAAATTACTAGGTGAAAAGATTCGTCAGGTGTGTTCTCTCTCAGGGCCATTGCCTCTCAACTTCTACGCTAAATGAACATGTCCTTTCTAGGAAAACGGCGTTGCAGCGGCCATTCAAGCGCTGTACCGTGATCTCGAATACGCCAAGACTCTTGTTCGACGACGGGTCGATGCTGTAGTGTCAAACTCGGCACCGCTCGGATCTCACGAAGCTATCAAGAACTGGGAAGACGATTTAGTTGGTATCGAGGATACGTGGACCTTGATCGGGCATCCGGACACGGACATGGAGCTATCTCAGAGCAGTAAAGATCTCGGGAGTGATTTTGACCTCCGGGCCAGCGCCGCAGCCGCGACAGGAACTCGACCAAGTGCGCTTGTTGAAGAAGGCGATGAAGATGGAGAGGATGCGGGGCGGTGAAGATATTAATATTTATGCAGAAACGGGACGTAACGATGCCACGAATTAAATGGGTAGTACTTGGCGAATTGACATTGAGACTTGGGATTTTGGGATGGTTCGGCGCAAAGGGTCTCCACGTATCTGCCCGGCAAAAATAAATTGATGAGGAGTTGCTATCTTATTACATGAGGGAAGCTGATTTCAACGAATAATGCCTGGTCGTCCTTAAGTTTCAGGGGTTGATCTTGCTCTTGCGTTTTTGTTTTTTTTTGGGAGAGTGTGGTTTTATCCAGACTTTCCATGTGTTTTCACTTTTTCTGTGCTTTTCGTTTCCAAGTGGCTTTTATCATTCTTCCCCTCTGGGGATTTTTTGCTACTCTGTTCATGCAAAGCGATGGGCCTAGACACTTGCTCCGTTACATTTTAATATCATCTCCGGCGTGGTTTCTGGCATGGTTGTCGGATGTCCAGGCCAATTCCCTTCTGGTGTTTCAATGTTTGATGGGCGCGCAAGGTGACTGTTTAACGGTTTTTTGTTTCCCAGTCGAGTACCTCTAGACGCGGGTCTACTGGTTTGTATTCTTTAATAGACAATGGTTGGGCCACAGGTAGCTAGTTAATTCTCACACATGTGCATGGTTTTACAGGTGCTGGAAGGGGTCTGCTGGACATCAAACTGAAGTAGATAGTCACATGACTATATTACCAGGGTGTAATAATACGGTCTCGGGGCCGTTTCATTACACTGGAGTGTAATATATGACTAATCTGTGCAGTCGCCAAGCCCTTGCCAAGTCTCAGCTGGCGTGCACAAAAGCTGCACAAGTCGCCCATAAAAAGCACCGCCAACCCCAAAAAGGGGTAAATGGCAACATGGCATCCCAGGCCGGCCGATCATTCAGACAGTCTGAACAATTCTCCCTGGATGCATGCGCATAAAACAGCTTCTCTGGGGATCAATCGGGCACAAACAAAGCATTGCGTGTCGATCTTAACACACCACATATCAACCAGCTTCAGCGCACCTCAGCCGGCGCTGATCATGCATGCACCCAACATGGATACCCTATTTGGCGCGCAGGGTATGTTGTCGGCAGGATGGCTCTGCAGAAAAGCCAAGTGAGAATGGGCTCAGCTATATATCCAGTGCGTGCTCCGCCGTACTCTCTGCCGGTTCTGATCAGAGACTTCCGTCCGCGCTGGCAGAATTCACACAGTATCTCCAAAGACAATGGCACAGGCCCCTACCTCCAACGAACCCTTCGTCTTGAATGGGACAAAGGCAGATGCAGCAGGTGACACTGCCAATTGCAATGCCGATGCGATCAACCCGTCAAAGGCCGAGCAGATACGGCAAAAGTACGCCGAAGAGCGAGAGAAACGCTTGCGGCCCGATGGGTTAGAGCAATACATCGGCTTGAGCAACACAGACGACCAGAGCCTCAAGCGCCTGTTGCACGATCAATGGGACGACGGGACTACGCCTTCTTTGCCCCTCGAAGAGGGCGCACGCTACAAAATCGTCATCGTGGGGGCTGGGATCGGAGGTCTACTGTTTGCCGTGCGTCTGCAGGACATGGGCTTCAAACCAGAAGACATGGTCATTGTCGATTCGGCGGCTGGCTTTGGAGGAACGTGGTACTGGAATCGCTACCCTGGTTTGATGTGTGACACCGAGAGCTACATTTTCATGCCTCTCCTCGAAGAAACCGGGTATATGCCGAAGCACAAATACGCATACGGCCAGGAGCTCAGAGAACACGCGAATCGGATAGCGGAGCGTTGGTCACTTACGGATAGAGCAATGTTTCGAACGCGGTTTGAGCAATGTGCTTGGAACGACGAGACCCTTGAATGGACCGTGGACCTGACACAGCGGCCACCAGGTGGTCACTCTATCTCCGCCAAAATACATGCCGACTTCGTCATTCTGTGCCCAGGGCCATTAAACCGCCCAAAGATCCTGCGCCTTCCGGGCGTTGGAACCTTCCAGGGCCAGAGCTTCCATGCCTCCCGCTGGGATTACAGCGTCACCGGCGGCACCCAGGAGAAACCAGATCTGACCAACCTCCAAGACAAAAGAGTCGGCATCATCGGCACCGGCGCCACATCAGTCCAAGCAATCCCGCATCTGGCCAAGTGGAGTAAACAACTGTACGTTTTCCAGCGAACGCCCGCGTCCGTGGACGTGCGCAACCAGCGGCCGACCAACCTCCAAGACTGGGCGGAAGTCACCCGTCCCGGCGCAGGCTGGCAGCTGGCGCGCAAACCGCAATTTCAGCATCTTCACCTCCCACCTTCACACCGGGCTCCGAGGTCAACTTGGTCTCTGACGGATGGACCGACATCCCAATCCATGAGCGTCCTCAGCGGTGGCCCAACCCACGTCACCATGGACAACATCGCCGAATACACCGCGGCCATCCACGCCCGAGATCTGGTTCGCTCCGAACGCATTCGCGCCCGCGTCGACCAAATCATCAAGGACGCCAACGCCGCCTCCAAGCTCAAAGCCTGGTACTCCGCCTGGTGCAAACGCCCCGCCTTCCACGACGACTACCTCCCGTCCTTTAACCTCCCCAACGTCACCCTCGTCGACACCAACGGCAAGGGTGTCCAACGCATCACCGACTCCGGCCTCGTCGCCAACGACACCCATTTCCCGCTGGACGTCCTCATCTTCGCCTCCGGTTTCGAGCTCAAACCCGGCCAGAGTCCCGGCGCCAGCACCAACGCTCGTGTTTTCGGCCGCGGCGGCATGTGTCTGGACGAGAAGTGGGTCGACCGTCTGTCCACCCTGCACGGCCTGATGACGAGCGACTTCCCCAATCTATTCTTTACCGGCTTCGTGCAGTCCGGCTTCTCGCCCAATTATACCACGTGTCTGGAGACAAGCGCACGCCACACCGCGTTTCTGATCGCGGAATGCGCCAAAAGGGCCGGGCCGGAGGGGAGGAAGGTCGTCATGGAGCCCACGCCCGAGGCCGAGAGGGCATGGGAAAAACGCATCGCGGCGGGTGCCCTCATCCGGGCTCCTGTGGTGGGTTGCACGCCTTCGTATTGGAACGCTGAAGGCAAATTGGACCAGACGACGCCGGAAGAGAAGGAGAAACGACGAGGAGCGGGACCATGCCCGCGGGGTATGAACGACTTCATGGATGTTTTGCAGGAGTGGCGGGATGCCGGCGACTTTGGTGATCTTCGGATTGATGTAGTGTAGATCATTATGCCTTTTGACATATTAACTACAACATCAGCTAGCTCGGGGGCACTAAGCACATTTGCGGCACTGCCACCACCGGCAACGCCATTGAAGCAATAGCATGGGAAAACAAGAAGGTGGCTCTAGTTGAATTTCATTTTATTCCAAGAGTAAGAATGCGTTCGACACTTCGAGACAGGGTATGCGAGCACTTTCAATGCATTCCACAAGCGCCAACCAAAATCCCGGCTCACAGCGCTTGATACCTGTGCCCTGGAGAAGTGAACCATATGTACATGCTTATTTCACGCCTGTCATAAACATGAGAGAATAGGTTAAGCCCAACACTACGAGTTCTCTTCATACTTCTTCAACTTCACTTCAAACTCGGAGATCCACTCACTCAGAATAAGAGCGGCCACATTCATACCTGAAAGCGCACTTGTCTCCATCGTTGAAATGAAGTTTTCAATGGCGCTTGTGTACCAAAGGTTTGGCGCCAATTTGATATCCTCAAATGTTGCGCGGGGATACAAATATGGGTAGGATTGCCACTTCTTTTCATGAACCCATGAGATTTCACTTGCCGAGAAACCCGAAAGTTCGGAGCCCGAGACGCGGAGTGTAGTGTTATGGTCAGCATACAGATCCATTTCTGGGATACCAAAAAGGTCGGAAACGAATTGAGTGTTAAGCGGCTTGGGTGAAAAAATCTTGTATATATAATGTTCTTCGCCCGATGAGTATGAGGCCGTCGGCGGTCTCGCTTTTTTGATCGTACTAATGCTCCAGAATCCAGCGGGTCCTACGCCGTCACGGCGAGCTCCCAAATCAAGGCCATTCGGAAGAGTGGTTAGGATCACCTCCGGAACGGAGAATCCCTTTTCTGGAAATCTAAAAAAGCGCGGAGAGACTTTATGAGGCGAGGCTAGAAGGGTAACATGAAGTTCGACATAGGGAGCTTTATCGGGGAGGTAATCGAGGGATGGAGATATTTTAATGCCTGTAAACTGAAAGGGGCTTGCAATAACCACCTGATCGAAGTCGGAATGTCGCGTAACATTACTTCCTTCAGTCTTGTAGGCGAGGGTATAGGTATCATCATCGTTCCGATGGACCTCTTTTACTTCAGTCTGGAGGCTCAAGTTGGCCTTGGATACATCAATCATTCCCTGGAAGATTTGCCAGTTTCCACCCTCAATGAACTTTGCGCCATCGGTGGCCATGCAGACCATTGTTTCTAAGCCGTGAATTAAAGGAAGATTCTGGCCATAATTGACGCGAGTGCTAGCCTGGATGACTTCCCGAGAGAAATCCTCGGAGATGTGGTGGTCCCGTAAAAATTCGGCTCCCGTTGACCAAGTCGCTGCAGCGAGACCGGTACTTTGAGCTACCGCAGATAAAGACTTCCACGGAAAATAAGGCCATTTGTAAAGTTTGAGAAACTTTTCAATCGTAGATTTCATCACACTCTGGGTTCTCATCGGGGCCCAACCGTATTGCCAAAGCAGCCGGAAAATATTCCACCAGCGAAAGTTGGTAGAACGTTGCAGGAAGACAAATTTATGCCCATCCCATACTCCCAAACTATGGGTAGACTCTCGCGGGGCCCCGTGGTTAGCTTCTCGCACGGTCAAACCAAATTTCTTCGCTGCCCTGACGAGATTTTTATTGGCATTGACAAATATCGATGCGCCCAACTCCACGGGTTGGGTCGGGTCATCAAAGAGGTCAACGGTCGTGGATCTTCCGCCGACATAGTTTGCCTTTTCAAAAACCGTGATATTAAGGGGGATGGAGAAGAAATCGGCATATTTCCGAAGATGGTACGCGGTTGACGCTCCTCCAGCTCCGGCACCTAGGGAGCAAAGGGTTAGCGTCTTGTGCTGCAAAGAGCCAATGGCTTCAGAAAGTTCGAGAGGTTTGTCTTTGTAAAACGCATACCTATAATGGCTATCTTCTTTGGCTGTCCAACTGGAGGCTCCTTCTGAAGTGGATTTTGCCATTGAGACAAGACCAGCGGCGCATTGGACGCCAGCAAGAGATACACAAAGAGCGTACGAAGACAGATAGATATAGCGGGTTGCGTGGACATGTTGATGTTAGAGATATTAATAGAATGTATAAAGAATGCTCCAGTGCCGGGTCGGAAGCTCTTTCGAGCGTGGTGATAAGAATTAAAGTGCCAGTACGGAACGCAATATACCTAACGACGAGCACGCAGAAGAGAATGGAAAATGCGGATGATGGCAAATGAAAAGAAAATGCTACTCGAGTCAGCAGCAAAGGAACACTGCTGTTCCTGTCCGTGGGAGGGTCACACAGCAGGTGCCCGCCAACCCCAGGAAGGAGCTTATCTCACTCACCACTGCGGTTGACAGCGGCAGGCAGTCTGGATTGAAAGAAGGCGCATGGCCTCTGGAACCGCACGAGGGAGTGGCTGACTGGCTCTCCCCGTCAGTCAGGAAGAAGGAGGACGATGGCGATGACGACCTCCGGTGGAGTCCGGGCGAACTGGGAACGAAATCATCGCTTGCCGCTGGAGCTGACTAAGGCCACTGGGGCTCCGCTGCGTCCACGCTGCTACCTATCACAGGTCTTCTCTCCGTGCATCTTCTCGCTTGAATGGCGAGATGGAAGAGAAGAGCAGAGCAGAGGAGATGAAGTCACATTTACACACTCAGCCAATCAAAATTAAATGCACTGACAGCAACTCTTTGAATTTTGATTGGTCTGGATAATACCGTTATTACAGGGCTGCTTAAGGTTCCACCGCCAAGGAAGCTTGGCATTCTTTAATTCTTGCATGTTTTGATCGACATATAGATAGCGAGTGCTGAGCAGCGGCTGTGAGATGGTGATGGTGCAACACTGCTAGATAGGCTTGGAGACATTCATAAACGCATGGCTCCAGAGGAAGGGCAATTCGATTGATACACATGATTGAATGCAGCTTCCAATCGGCTCCTCCCCGGCCAAACACTCAATGCTAAAAGGAAAGCACAGTCGGCTTTCCCATTATCTAGGATTCGGCTCCTCACCACCATCATGCCAATGTACAAACTAATCTGCTCTCATACAAAGTGTCATTCACGCGATATCCTCCCCCCCCGAGCGATACCTAGCCCACCATGATGGAATGGCTCGCCGAAACCTGGATCATCCGCATCCTCTTTTTCCTCATTGCCTACTACGCCGCCAATTCCCAGATCGACCGTGCAACTCGCAAAGCAGATTCCGCCGAGCACCGCGCCCGCCAGGCCGAAAGAGCGCTGGAGAACTCCCTGTCGGATATCCGCATCAATGCCAATGAGTGCGTGGAGTTGCGGAAGAGAGTCAGCTATCTCGAGGAGAAAATGGACGAATACGGGCGGGTGCTGGAAGCCTTGAGTGTTCCGATACCCACGATGAGTATGGAGGACGTTAGCGAAAGGGTTGTGAGTCATAATATGCAGAATGGCCCTGTCGACGTGAAGACTGCGGTTGGAATGGTGGGCGCGGCTGCCATTCCTCTAGCGGGTGCACCGCCAAGAATCGAGAACTTGTCGATATTGCAACAGCATCCACAGCATTATATTATCAGATCCTTCGAGTCAACAAAAGAACGAGGCGAGAGATCTGCCAGCTCTTCCGAAGAATCGACTTCGTCCGCAGGAGAAAAGATAAATAACTCTCTCCGGAGCAGATTCGAGTCTAGCAAGGAGTCGGTAATGTCAGTGTTGAGCAACTTCCCCGGCAGGAAGAACAATCGAGGAAGCAAAGCTGGGGGCCTCTGGGCTGGCACGATCTACAGCCCCACGCCTGGTGGCACTTTTATTCAGAGGGTCAAAAGGTCACAGTCAAAGGCCACCACAGAGAGCTCTCTCTAAGGTGTCAATAGTGCAGACGCAAATTCTATAGTGACCACGCTTATTTCGATGAACCCGTTACTCCCGCATAAAGAAGACGGACGTTCGTATAGGCTGTACTTGAGAGGACAACGGTAGATATTCCTTTTTGACGCGTTGTATAGATTGGGTAATAGGTTCGCTTAGGTTTCCTTTAAGAAACTTTTGAATTGGCATTCTGGGTCTACCAATGAACAAAAGTAATTATCAAACGCAACAACGGCGAGCTATGAGCACTAGTTAGTCCTCAATATCTTTATATATTACAGCTTGGATAAGATCTGTCCAGCGTCTCCACTGCCCAACACGATCTCATCAGTCCGATAATCCGGGTTGAATGTCTCATTGTTAAGCGGATTCTGCCTGTGCGCCCTATCAAACAGGTCTTCGTATACCTTTCCGTCGTATCGACCCAGCGCACTACGTCGTGGAGTTAGCCGGTATTACGAGAAGAAAAGAGGACCAAAAACATACCTATCCAGCACGAAGTCCGGAATCTTCCACGCATCCACTAGCCGTACCGCGTGCGGACGAATCCGGCCCATGAGTTCTAACACCCGTGCGGGGAGAGCGTCGAGGTCTTCATTCGACACCGCGCCTGAGCTAGAGAATTCCCGTGCCTCGGCGTCCATGGTGGTGAAGGCGAAGAGGTGAAAGAGCTCGCGGAGTACGGTGCGGGTGGTGGAGTCTAAATGTGCAAAGTCGGGGTTGGTGGGTTGGATGGCTTGGTGGAAGTTGAAGACGAGGATGGATTGGGAGTATGCTGGTGAAATGTGCGTTAGTAACAGGTTGGTTTTCAATCCTGGAACGGTAGCTAAGTATTCTCACCTCGACTTAGTTTGTGAAAATCGATGAGAAGGCTGTTCCATGGCTTTTTCTGGATCTCTCGCGCCTCGTATGCTTTGAATACCTAGTATCATATCGAGTAAGTATGTTGGTTGCGAACTGCGGCTGAGCGAACGACTTACGAGATACGCCACCCTCCATTCATATGCTTGCAGGATGCTAGCATCGTCTTGAAATATGCCCAAATTAAAGGTCTTCTGTCTTGCATACATGTATCGCTCCAAATTTTCCTCGGTGCGGGTCGTTGCGCGGCTCTTCACGGAACCTGATAGAGCCTTGGCCTTCTTGATCAAGTACCTCGCTACCTGCTGCGTGATCATCCAGTTATCACCTTCCACCGTAGGTTTGGATAAGTAGTTAGCATTAAGCTGCACTAGGCCACTAGCCCCAAATCCATGTCCACCCATAGCTCGACGACAGGTTTCAATGCCGCTGGCCGTGAGATCGGTAGCAAGACTCTTTAAGCCTGAGGAGGTGCTGTGAAGCTCAGCGAGAGTTTCAAAATCTCCCTCTTCGATGTTCTTGCGTGTTCGCGTGTAAAGTTCTCCCATTGCCTTACCGCTGTAGTGAAGGGCAAATGCCGTGGCAAGTAGCGGTAGAATACGAATTTGCACGGTTGGGTAATCTAACACGGACATTTCAGGGTCAGATGGGTTGGTAGAGTCTTTATCTTTGAATTGGCGTCGAATAGATAGGTATCGCACGGCCACTGTGACTGCTCGAGCAAGGCTGAGCCTTGCTTCCATGACAATCGCAGCCCGGACCTAGGTTTTGTCAGGACACCAGAAGCCTCTATACGCTGGGAATGGAACGCACATGAGTCAGGGTCCCGTAAACGACCTCTGGGTTTTCAGGCTTGGTATATTTGCCAGTTCCTGGATCGACACGAGAATAGCGTGAGAGCATCGCATCATGAGGTACTCTATTCCGCCATTAGCGTTCAATGTGTGGGAACTATTGTGCAAGGTTATATATACCTATGGTTGTTGAATAGCATATATCCATTGTCCATCGACGCGTATCCGTACTTCGGTCCAATGTCCCCGATGATAATGCTCCCCGGGGGTTGATGAGTCTTCGAGTCTCGGATTTGCACGATGAACGGATGCGGCCCATATGATTGATATTTAGTTTCAGCTCCATGGCCCGAGACGGGCAGCATCAGCTGTGCGACCGCAATGGCATGGGTTGCGGTACGCCCCATGGTCCCATTCCACCACTTGCTCGCGGTCAGATGGGGACTGTGCAGAACAAATTCTTTTGCTTTAGGGTCCCATTTCGCTTCCAATTCAATTCCGCGAACATTACTGCCGTGACCCAGTTCTGTCTGTGCATAAGCTCCAATAATCTCCCATGCTTCAATCTTGGGCATCCAGTACGCCCGCTGCGCGTCATTTCCTTGCTGGCTAACAGTCGTAACGAACATGGCAGTATGCAAGTGGTATGGCAAGACGTCGTCACAGAGATAGACCGCCATATGATAGTCATCCTCGCTCCAGCCGAGTTTATCCTGAAGCTGGCGGAGTTTTTTGCCCCTTGCAAGGCCCAGCTTGTATCTATCTGGCCTCGAAAGATTGGCTTGATTCGTCTTTTTGAAAACCGGCTCTTTCAACACTTCTTTCAGCACTCGATCTTGCTGTTTGAGAAATTCAGGCGTCAGGAGATAGTTGGCCAAACTGTCCACCGAAATATTCGACCTCGCCCTCTCCTCCCCGATGATGGTCGCCCCGTCTGGGGATGCGGGCCTCAGAGCCGCACTCCAATCAACTTTGTGTGCCATTACTGTCTGCCTTGTCTCTCAGCCAGAATGGGGGTATAGTCGTAACGGAGAAATAATAGAAATTCGGTTTTCCAGCAAATGTCCACCTGAAGCAAGCGCCATGCTCGCTTCATAATGCCTCAGGCGAGTCCAATTGCCGGCAAGCAGTGGGACGACGATGGTGCTGTTTTACCGGGGCATCGTTAGTTGGCGTTAGGGAGTGCCGATGAAGCCACGGCTGATTCGGGATATCAGCAAGAGAAGTCTCGGCAATATCGCCACGAAATTCGGAGTCCAAGCTGTGTTATTCACGTTACTTTAGGCAATAACACGTCTTCCGCGTGGTGAGGTAGAAATGACCATGAATGTAATAGCTTCGGGTCCGAGCCTCTGCGACTCGAGCTACTCGACTTTGGAAAAATAGGAGAATTTCAATAACCAGAGTAAAAAAGACTAGCAAAAAATGCAGGTAAAAAATCAAATGGCCCGAGCCGCGATTCGAACGCGGGACCTCTCGCATGCTTGAACTTCATTGTTGAAGCTCGGGAAAGGAGACCCGAAGCGAGAATCATACCAACTAGACCACCCGGGCTACAGTACGGTCAAGGTTTGTGGTTTTATGATCTATCAATGGTCCTCTAAATACAGGGATTATCAACAGCGTAACTTCATTCTCTTTGATAACTAACTAACGACTCCGTAGTAATTACTCTCAAATTGCCGAGCGTCGGCTAACTAACTCAGCTTCGGCGCAAACTGCTTCCCCTTTCCCCACACCTAGTTACTTGGAAAGTCCCGACAACCCAAGCATCCCGCAAAAATGAAGTGCAGGGAGCTCAGGCGAAAGACCCTTTCCGGGAAGTTAATCATAATGCCGACGCTGGAAGCAGCGTTGCTGAAAGGGCCTGAGAATCTCCGCCAGGAATATCCGTTATGAGGGCTAGCTATTATCCAAAACGGATGAACTGAGGATACTCTCTACTTCACCTATGCTAGATTGATCCCTTAGTTAGCAATTCCAACGGCCCTACCCTTGCAACATGACCTCCCGGAATATCAGCACTCAACCAAGCGAAACGCCGCTATCAATCTTTCTCTGGGGCGGCAAAGACAAGTTTGAGGCCCGCAAACAACTTTTAAAAGCCCTAACCACCAACCCGGCCTTTACTAAACGCGCCGTGACCGTGCCATCGCTTGCCAGAAAGGATGCCTGGTTGAGAGCAGTGAATCAGGCGCGGGAGTTGATTGCACTCAAGCAAACAGAAAAATGGAGTCATGAGCAGTTTAGGCAGGCTGTACAGATGTTGGATTACTTTTTGCCTGTGCAGCCGCAATTTAGAAGTATGTTTTGCTCTAGGTGGCTCGTTATTATGTTTCCCCCATGGTACGAATGCAGGTCACTTAACATGGGTTCTAGTATTTATATCCAATTTGGAAAGACAGATGAGTGATGAGCAAAAGGCGATTTGGATTCCCAAGGCCGAGAGGCTTGAAATATTTGGCTCCTATGCACAGACGGAGCTGGGCCATGGCTCCAACGTTCGTGGCATTGAAACCACAGCGACCTTTGACCGTGGGACGGATGAATTTATCATCAATTCTCCGACACTTAGTAGCACCAAATATTGGATTGGGGCCACGGGCATCTGGGCGACTCACTCCCTGGTAGTTGCGCGATTGATCATCGACAGCAAGGATTACGGGAATCACCTCTTTCTTGTACAGCTCCGAGACCTCGACACTCAAGAATTGATGCCAGGGGTGGAAATCTATGAGATGGGCCCCAAGGCTTTTCATGGAATGGTAGGTGTAGATAATGGTGCAATGCAATTTCACCAGGTCCGAGTTCCACGATCCCAGATGCTTTCTAGGAACGCACAGGTATTAAGAGATGGGACGTATGTCCCGCCGAAAAACACGAAACATTCGTATGGCTCGATGGTCACGGTTCGTGCAATAATGGCGGAGGCAACGGGCTATGAGTTGCTTAAAGCAGTTTCAGTGGCGTATCATTACACGACATTCAGGAAACAGTTCTGGAAGAAGGGCCACAAAGAAGAAGCGACTGTGTTTGACTATGCCAGTGTTAGGTATAGGCTTTTGCCTCTTCTAGCGCAGGTAAATATCCTCTGTTATCTTATCATGCGAGATATTACTGACAACTGCTGGCTACAGGGCACTGCGCTGGTCTTAGTTGGCCAAAACATTAAGCAAGCGTTCGATGAATACAGCAAGGTGGTAATCAAGACTGGTGACTTTTCTCAGCTGGAAGATTTACATTTGCAGACCGTTGGGGCCAAGGTTTACTCCACTGATCTCACAGCGCGGGGGGTTGAGACCTGCCGAATTGCTTGTGGTGGTCATGGTTATAGCGCACTCTCTGGGTTCGGACGTATGTACGCTCATACTGTCAATGCGGTCACATATGAAGGTGACAACTATGTGATCTCGCAACAAGTACCACGCGCTATTTTGAAGCATTACAATGCGTAAGTGTGCCTTTTGACATCAACGTCCGATGTTAATGAGACTAGGAAAACCGAGGATACTGTTCCGAGCCTTTCTTACCTGGGTTTCCTCCGGAACCCGAATGCTACAAATAAACTTGCCGTGTCATCTGAATCTGATTGGTTCAAGCCAGAGAATCAGCAATGGGTGTTGGAACAGCGGCTGGCCACGCTGGTTAGAGCACATTTAGATGCCACTGAAAGTGGTAAGGACACAAGCTTTTCCGTGCATGAGTTGACAATGGCGCATTGTGATTATATATACTGGCGCGGTTTCTGGGACGTGGTTAGAAAGGCGGCAGGATTCCCCTTCTACACGTCATTAGATGCCCTAGCTCAAGTGGTAAGCTCCCCGAATGGTCGATTGCAATGCGTGGTTTATGGGACTGTCTTCCTTACCTATTTTTAAAGTTCTCCCTTTTCATATTACAAACCGCCCATAAAGACATCTACCACCCGTACTCTCTCACCGGACAGCAGCGCAAGACCCTTACCTCGGCCTACGACCAAGCCATCGAAACTCTTGCAGCACAGTCTAGAACAATCATTGACGCATACGGGTTTACCGATTTTGAGATGGATAGCGCTCTAGCGAGACCCGATATGAATCCTTACGAGGCTTTATGGCAAGGTGCGAAACAGAGTGAGATGAATAATATGAGAGAGGTTTGGCCGTTGATAGTTGATGCGAGGAAGATCTGGGGCCGGCTGGAGGAAGAGAAGGCTAAACTGTAGTGGCAAGGAGATGCATCAATGTCGAGTTTGATGGTGTACATAGTTGACCTATTCAATTTGACGTTCCTCCCATGTTGCCGTACTCGTACTGCCAGCGTTTGATAAATGTGCCTGGAGATCAAATTCGACCGAAAACCTCCTACCTAGTACGATAGGCAACCTCCAAGAAAATATCATCCAACCCCAACCCCATATTTTTGAACATTGCACCTTTTATTAGCTCTTACACACCAAATTCTTCAAGCATCACCAACAATTGATGTCTTGATTTACTAGGAGGTCACTGATAACAAAGAAGGCCAAGTTGGTCGCAACTATCTTATCTTATCTTATCAATCCAAGAATCATGTGATTTGCGACCAAAATATTTTGGGCGTCAAGTTGAGCTCAACTCTTATGAAAACCCGCGATTCAAGCGCTCTTTGATATCATTACGCGGATATAGGGGTTAAAAATGGATTACGATAGCGACTCTTCTGGCTTGGATGACGATGTTCAGGGAGATTACACTACGACCTCTGTTTTGCTGGGATTCGCTGAAGACGAAGCCACGGACGATACAACCAGTCACTTGGGTGGATGGCCGGTACGTGTATAGCCCTTCATAACTATTACTAGATACTCTTTTGGATTATGGACGCTGGTTCAGCTCACAAGCTGCTCGAAGAAATTGAATTGGCAGACGGCTAACATTTTTGATGCGCAGACATGGCTTGACCCCTCAACCCCGCCGCCAGGCAACTTCGCCAAATGCAAATCTTGCAACGATCCCATGCCATTGCTACTTCAATTAAACGCTGATCTACCGGAGAAATTCCCGCATGATGAGAGGTGGTTGTATATTTTTGCATGCACGAGACGGACGTGCAATAGGAAGCAAGGAAGCATACGGGCACTGCGGGGTGTGAAGAAACATAAAATGACGAGCAATACTCAGAAAGATGAGGCCAAGGCAAAAGACAAAAAGGAACCGAAAGAATCGCCGGTGCCCCAACAAAATATCGGCGCGACTCTGTTTGGCGTTGCGCCTGGAAACCCAAGCGCTACAACGAATGCCAACCCGTTTTCCACCACGTCAGGCAGCACTGGGTCGCTAGCCAACCCATTCGCGCAGCTCTCATCACCGTCCACGCTCGCAGCTATCCCTCCCCAAAAGCCAGTGGATGAAGCACAAAAGGAAGACCGATCCCTGCCCGAATCCTTCGCCGACAAAGTCCGCCTCTCACCATCATCACCATCCTCCTCCCCTCCCCCCACCAAAACGCCAGAACTCACCGGCCCCGTAGAGCCATGGCCCGCCCAATCCTCCTTCCCCCCTCCATACCGACACTACTTCCTCGACGCCGAATACGAAACCATCTCCCGCCCCTCCACTCCACGCGTCCCTTCCAACGTGCAAATCGGAACCCTCGACGACGACCCTTCTTCAGCAGGCGCAGCAGAGGGAAAAGACACCTTCGAATCATCAATCGACAAGTCCTTTCTCAAATTCTCAACGCGCCTGGGCCACAGCCCGGAGCAGGTTCTGCGGTATGAATTCCGCGGAACGCCGTTGCTCTACTCGACCACGGACGCGGTGGGCAAGTTACTCTCCCCGTCGACGGGTTCCGCGCATGTCAAGGTGTCCGCGGCGGCGAGGATGCCGCGGTGCGGCGTGTGTAGCCGCGAGCGGGTGTTTGAGGTGCAGCTGGTTCCGTATGCGATTACGGTGCTGGAAGAAGGGAGGGAGGGGATTGGTATTGGGAAGGATGAAGGGGGGATGGAGTGGGGGACGATTATCGTGGGTGTTTGCGCTGGGAACTGTGGGTTGGAGAGGGAAGGGGAGGTTGGATGGAGAGAGGAGTGGGTGGGTGTGCAGTGGGAAGAGAGGGTTGGGAAATAAATGAAAATCCCTTGTTGGTTAGGATCGACCCCTTGATGGGGAGAGGATAAAAGAGTGAAATAGTGGAATTGATCATGTTGCTTTTCAAGTTTCTCTTGTCAATATTGTCTATTTTATGCAATGCCTAATAGACCCGGAGCAGACAACACTCCAACAAACTGGTAAAACACCCCCTTAAAAGACTAAAAAGGCATCATTAGAACAGAGTAAACTGTAAACCCAGCTTTTTTTTTTCCCATCCTCTTCTCACTTCACGTTTGCAGGTAGAAAATCCCCCAATTCAGAAAATTAAACCATCATAAAGAACAAAGAGCACCATTTACGCAGGTTGCTCAAAGCCTCTCCGCAACACCCGCCCAAACATCTCAATCCCCACCTTCTCCCCCTTCACCTCACCCCTCGCTTCATTCTCCTTATTCCTCGGCACCCTCACAACCACCCCATTCTCCCCCTGCGCCTTGCTCCTATCAACCTCCCACCCACACACATCCACCACAAATTTCTCCAGCGCCTCCATCCCACGCATATCCAGCCATCCCATCAGCACATCCGCCCCAATCTCACGGAACGCCTTGCCCACCTCCACCGCGATACGGATGCGGATCAATTCTTCGAACCCGGCCACGTCAGCCGTGAGGTCGGCGTACAGGTCGTCCGAGTTCAGGGTGGACCAGAAGGTGGCGTATTGCGCGGATTCGAGCAGAGTGGAGAGGCGGGTGAGTTTCTGGACGGCTTCGACGAAATCGGTGATTTGCATGGGGAGGTTGGCGGGGGTGGTTTGGGAGCTGGTCGCGTATGGTTGGGTGTAGGCGGGGAGGAGGGCGAGGGAGAGGGAGAAGGCGGGGGAGGGGAAGACGGTGAGGGCTTTGGCGAGGATGTTGGTGGCGGTTTCGGTGTTGAGGAGGGGTGGGTTGAATTGGTAGCTGGGGTTCAAAGGATAGGACAGTCAGTATAATGTAGAACAGCGAAGGCGTGGAGCGAGAATAACAATCAAAAAAAGCAACTTGATTTCAGAGGCTGCGAAAGTCTCTTCATTGTCTCCTTTAGAGATCTAAGCTAATAGGAAACGTGAAAGATAGAGATAAAGTGTATTCATCATCCAAGCGCGCACACGTAGCAAAGACAGGGAACAACAAAAAGGCAACTCACAGCTTCAACAAAGCCAGGTTCGCATAGCAGTCAAAAGTCCGATCCTCGCACTGCTGCACGACATAGTCCTGGAACACCGCCGTCGTCTCTGGATTGTATCTATCCAGGCCGTTCAGGATCCCGTCAATGTGCGCGGGGCGCGTCTTGCATTTGTCGAACGCAGCCATTGGTGAAAAAAAAAGGAAGACCCGAGAAAGAGGCCCGTTTCCCAATCCGATTCCGTATTTCGTGTAAAACGCCGGGGGAGAATAACTTCCTCGCTGGATTTAGTCCTCAGTTGAGAAGTCTCGAGCTGTGAATAGGGCGAATAATCGCTGGTAAAGCTCGGCGAGCAAGTTCGTTTGAACGAGAATAAAAGCGAGTATGATCAGTTATTCGAATATTAGCAAATATTCGCCCTGTTAGCACTGTTCCGCGAATCGTCAAAGTGAGGTCTGTGGTGAGATGAATCTCCTCGATATTCGATGTTGAGTTTGTGCTTTCTGAGTGGTTTACGAGCGGCAGGTTTAGCCGCAGCGGGCAAGAGTTCCCGATGAATAAGCCAGTCTTACATAAGCAGCGATTCACGACGATTTCAACGAGCACAGAGTATCAGGAAGGAAGAAGTTGATATTAAGGAGAATCGCAGCCCAGGGAGAAGCGGCGGGAAGAAAAACTAAAGAGTAACCTGTAGCCCGAGTCCATCTAAAAAAAGCGCCGAGTTGCCATTGACCATCCTCTTGGTTTTCCCATCCAGCATGCACAACGAGCAATGTGATGAAATCAAAAAGTAGCGCTCGCCACACCATACGAAGGTCAAAGGGAACTGCACAAGCCACAAGAGGGAGAAGGATGAAAGCGAAAAGAGACAAGCCATAAAAACACAGTCGCTAATAATTAAACCAAGCAGAGAAAATGCCTAGAAATCAAAAGGCCCATTGCCTAAAGCAAAAAAAAAAGACAAATGCTGGTAGACAAAGATGAACGCAACAGAAAAACAGCAAAACATCATCGTCAAGAAATAAAAAAGCAACTTTCTCTGCTTGCCATCGTCCGTTAGGTGAAATTATTAAAAAAAGATAATGGTGAAAAGAGGAGAAGTCTATGATGAATTGTCACTTCCCCGAACGCCCTGTTCCGACCATATGCGATATGCTGAAAGGTGCAGAGCGGATAAAGAAAGGTAAAAAAGACATATCTTCCACCCCCCGACTGGTAAAAAGTCGGGAAGGGAAGCGATATTGATGCCGTTAATCGTTATTGAAAGAAAGCCAGGTGGAGTAATAATTAGGTGTGATATGGTTGGGCGAGTCGAGAGATCAGGGGTTCGTCGCGACCGTTGTGCTTCGTAAGCCATGTGAGAGAAGGGGGTAAGTTGTTTGGCCGTCGAATAGGATGTAGCTAGTAAAACAAATTCCCAGGACCCGGTCGCTCAAGTCCAAAGTAGTGAGGGAGGAATGAAAAGGGTTCGTAAAGGAAAATGAGGCAGAACAGAGGGGGTATCACTAGAGTATGGTACAAGGAGTTGATCTGAAAGTTAGGCTGCGTAATGCCGTCGGTGGGAAATAGGAATGGGACGGGGAGACATTTGGATCGGAGAGCTAGGTGAATCGCATCGAGCCCCTGATTGACTTGTGCCTCTTGCATCTTTCGGGCGTAATGGCACCTTGATGCTTGGGGCAGCAGCGTGTCGAGGATAATACTCCTCGGTTTCTTCGATTGCCGATTCCGGATTTAGCCGATTCTCGGGAATACGGCTTCCGCCAAACATACCGCCCAGCTGCTTGAGCAAAGCCACGAACTGTGCGTGGAGCTCAGCGAAAATGTACTCATTTCCAACGATTTCGGACAGATTTCGTGCACGGATCTGGCCAGCACGCCGAGGCTGACCATCGGGATCGAAAGTGCGGCCTGTGAGGAAGGAAGAAATCGGAGTGTAATTTCGTGTAGCGGCAGCATTTGCTCCGTTGGGTGTTGTGGTATCACAACGCTTCTCTTGCTCTTGTGATTTCTCGGCAGAGCTAACGAGATTATTCGCAATGCGACTGAATACGCGCCAGATAACTGGGCTTGCTCGAAAGGCTCTTCCTGCATCCTTTCCGGCCAGGGCGACGAGTGCGTAGCTGCGTCGTTTGCCCCGGGCCATTGGATCCGGAAGGCGAAAAACGTACGCAATAGTGTATCCTGTAGCTGGATCACCGAAAGAAAGTGGACCGGACGACAGACCACGAGGTAGAAATTCACAGCTCAGCGTACGGATTGAAGCGCGTCGTAGCAAAGCGTAATTGGTAGGATTTGGCGGCCCACGCATCGACAAATAGGTCAGGACGTGAGTATGGCAGGAGGATTCGGAGGAGTAGGAAGACCGGACAGAGGTACCATTTGAATGATGAGCATGCGACTCGTGCGAAACGTCGTCAAAAGCAAACTGGGTTCCATGACAAGAGTAAACCATCTCTCTGGACCTCAACACTGGACTTCCATTTCTGCCCTGGCCGTTCTCCTTGAGTGTGCCCGGAGCACCTGGCGGAAGCTGCTTGCTGATATCTTCAGGAATCGACAATCTGCAGCTCGCACACGTGTCACCCTCCGCACCACCAAAGCAGTTGAACTTCTCAGTGTCGACTTTGGTGTATTGGCCATTCAGAAACCAGGGGTGATTCTCGATTCTGGCAGCCAGGACAGGGGCCGAAGCGGATGGTGAAGCCAACGGTTCCAGGTCCTCAGTACTTGTATAGCCCATCGAGGATGCTGCTATGGATGGCCGCGCTGGTTTCACGTCCTGGCCGGAGTCGCGTGGCGCGGAGGAAGCCGAGGTTCCAGGATGGGAGGACAAGGGAGTTTCGCTCGGGGACAGATCCCTCGAGTCCGGGTCGCATTGCGAGCATGAAGTAGGGGCGACTTGAGAACAGAGGATGGAGGTTGGGCCGTGGACTTCGCAGAAGTGCGTGAGAGAGAGCTAGAAATCAAACTGCCGTCAGCACATCGAATCCAAAACAGGTGCAAATGAAAACCATCATCATCGCCTAGCGCTCCGCAGCGGCTGTTTGGTAGGTAGGGCTGGCGGCTAAACAACCCCCCCCAGCACAAACGTGATGCTTCAGATGACCTCATGAGGCCAAAGGGGCCCGGGGCGGCCCTTCGATCTGAAGAACAAGAGAAAAACGAACAGACGACGGGGAGGAAACAGTGCCGAGACAAACAAGCAGAGCAAGCAACTTACAATGGAGATCCATCTTTGCATCAAGATTGTCAAGCTCGAAGAATGGAATTGCGTGAACAATGGTGGATTCGTTCAGTGCAGAGAGACATGCTTCTGAGGACAGGGTGACGTGAAGGAGTGCATGTGTGCCTGGAGTGAGATGCGGTGGAGGGTGAGGAGGATGAAGGAAGGACAGGTGAAGTGAATTGGATTAAAAGAGGGTGAGCAAGAGCGCGCAGAGAGGGCAGATTCCCTTTCCTTTGTTCGGGCGGCGATGTGAAGGAAGGTATCTGCCGATAGTCGAGGGCTGTTAATGGCGCACAGCTCTCCTGGAGTTGTGTGGGTGTGATGGTTGTGTTGGTCAGTCAATGATTAATAAAACGTGAAGCGAAGAAAGAAAATCGAACAGGTCAGGTTAGACAGGGCAGATATGGAATCATGGAGAAGAGAGAGAGAGACAGAAGTGATGGGCGGAATATAGATCGGAACCAGCTCTTGGGGGGGGCGGCGGTCCCTTGGTAAGGATTACAGGCAGTTAATAATAACGACAGGATGGCTGGACTTAAGTAACCCTCTGTATAAGCTTGGGTCGTGTTTGTCTCTGGTCTCCAGCCAAAGCCTAAAAATCCCGCGATCAAGAGGGAAAATAATCATAAAATAATAAAAAAAAAAAAAAGAAAAGACGAGTCTCTCTCGAATGAATAAATAAGAACCATAAATAATTTCCCTCACAGGGGGACGTGATCTCTGTTGATGATTATTACTGCTAATACTGCTCTTCCTCTCCGGCACGGTATCATGCACGGAATCGATACACGATGATACTTTGCTCCCCCTACATTTAACCACATCTCCCCCGACTCCAGAACCCGTCCTGTCTCGAACTCCCAACACAGACGCACACCCTCCATCATGCGACTCTCGGCATTCCAGCCCAGCGAGATGGGTTCCAGGCCAAAACGGCGACGTACTGGAGGTGATCCCCCCCCCCCGGATGCCATTGGTTGGGCAGCCCCCCGAGGGCCAGCCCTGGACCGCGAGGGAAAAAGAAGGGAAAATCTCAAGCCACTGAACTCACTAGTCTGAGTGACGGGCGATGCTGGGTTTATTCTAGGCGAAAAGCAAAAATGAGAGTAAAAAGGGAACCCACTCCCGGAAGAACTCGTGCGGATAATCTTCAGTCTGTTGCTTCTCGAAGGTCTCCACCGTGTCACTGAATCGGGTTTGTTACATCAAGATCGAACTCAAAGGGGAGAGAGACAAAAAGGTTGCTTGCAGTCCTTCTCAAGCTGATTGTAAGGACTGGCTGTGTGTTCCACGTATGTATGTAGCCATGCGTCTTCCCTCTCCCTCGCACCACACCAACCAGCTATTTTAAAATCACGATGCAAACTTGCACAGTCGATCCATCCACTTTGTGTCATTTTTCGAAAGGGCCAAAAAAGTGTTGACGCAGTGGCTTGCAGGGACGCCTGCATTGATTCCGCGGCTTAAATGGCTTAAATGGCTTAAATTGCTTTTAGCTCGAGGTCCTGTGCGACGTTACTGGCCATCTCCCCAGTGCAAGAGTGGTGAAAGCCAATATCATGATGCGCATATTCCTAGGAGCTGCTCCTTCAGCTAGTTTCATCGAGGATAACATCGGATAGGAGGAGCAATCTTCAAAAAAAACTAATAATATGAATGTAATCAAATAATATCAGGATGACACTCACACTCCTCACCTCTTTGTCTCCTTCGCTTCTCAACCCGTCTCTTGACCCCAGACTTCCTCGACGGTAGCCCAACTCCATTTCCAAAGACGGTGCAGCGACCAGCAACGACAATGAAACCATGCCTCGAGCCGCTGAGAGAATTATGAAACCGGTACTCCCTCATTTTCCTTTGTCCACGAGTGGCCCTCTGGATGTAGGGCTGGTAGCGTCCGCCGCAACCCGTCCTATAGCTACCCCGAATAATAACAGTATCAACAAAATAAAAAAAAGCGCAAGCCGGGGTTTGCTGGACAGAAAACGAGTCTTCCGTCAAATCATGGGCCAGCAACAAGCTTCCCCCTTCCCGCCGAACTTTTCTCCATATTCTTCTTTGAGCGAGGATTGCCAGCGGAATTGGGACCGTGCGTTTTGGCATCCCCATTGGATAAGAAATAATAGGAATGGCATCTCAAGTATTCAAAAATTCAGACTTTTCACTCCTGCATCAATTGTTCATGTTGGGTGTTTTTTTCACATACATATGCAGCTGCGGGAGAACCGCTGCATAGGAGGATCCGTCAAGTGCAGACGCACGATGCTCCCGTTCCCGTCCATCAAAACTCAGATCCCTCTGCTGGCCTTTTTGTCCATATTGAAGAAATTTAATTCCACCCAATTGAAATTCAGAGTAATTATTTTCTTCTTCAGATCCATTCTGGGGAAATGCCGTCGACCCCATCCTCGCCTTGTAGAAAGATCTCGGGAGAAGGTCACACCGTTCAATGGGAGGGGGTTACTGTACTGCAGGCCAGGGTCGTCCATGTGCCTGTCTGTAGAACTGTTTGGTGTCAGTCCCAGCAGGGATTGCCTGTCGACAAATCTCAACGTTGCACGTGCTGCGCAAAAGGCTTTGGAGACAGAACCTGGGGACCTGGGGTGAAGTTAGCTAGTTACCGGGTAGGTTTCTTCATCTCTCGTCGTTTCGATCCTTTATCGCCTAGTCGGTCGGAATTGAGATCTCACGTGGGCTGAATGCGATCTGAGTAATTAATCAAAATGTAAAGGGCATTTCTGCTCTCTCTCTCTCCGGCTCGTAAGCGAGAGGATATTCCCGGTATTGATATTTGAGGCTTTCTGCATTAGTGACGGGCTGTTGCGACACTCCCCTGTCGCGCGTCGAAATCTTCTAGAAGGAAGTGGAGGGCAGACCAGGCGAGTTGAGCTTAACTCTGCGACACGGTGCAACCATGCGATGCTTTGCGGGTGAATGGGCAAAGTTACTCGTTACTACTAATGATCATGCTCAGTCTGTACAACCGTTGAGCCAACCTAGAGTTGCGTGGCTTTCTGACACTAACACTTGAGGATAACTCGTTAATGCCAGCACTGATAGGCTCCGCGCCGAAACCATCTCGCGTGGCATTGGACTCTGAAACATGGCGTTCGTCGATCTGATGCGAATCAAGCAGGTCCGAAAGAGATGTCCGAAAGTCTCGTCCAGCCACTGTATTGCTGCTGCTGCTGAACAACGACCCCTGATCCGGGCCCTGGCCCCCTTTCTGAACAGCCCGAGAGATGGGATTCAGGAACAAGTTAACAACCAAGACGGCAAAGACATCATCGGAGCTCATCCCATGTGGCAAGTCAGGGTCGTTGCTTTTCAAGGGAACCATGCCGGACGGCGAATCCTCATCCCAGCTGGGCTCCATGAATGCAGCTGGATTCGTTGTGCGCAAAAACTCCACGATGCAAGCCTCGGTAATTTTTTCACCTCCAGGTTTGGATCCTTTTGCCTGCGTCTCCCCGTGTGCTGGTCCAGATTAACTACATGTCGTACTCCTGTGCACACTTCATGAGTTCCATCCGAGGATGCATCCCATTTGGAATCAGGAGCAAAAACATCAAGAAGCATAGTGCCACTCCCGAGGATCAGAGGCGGAAACCTCGAGGCCGACCCATGGGTCACCGTGCCGCCACACCGAGACTGAATCCATCTGGTCCACAGGCATCTTTCCCATGTTGTTCGTTCCGTTTGGCCCAATTCAACAGCAGTTTTTTCAAATTCAATCTGCCGTATTCCGTAGAACCAAACAAACACTGGGTAGCGTTTCCAGCGTAAGATCAGGCCCCACGAACTGCGGTTCTCAAAGGAATCAGCAGTTCCACCGCAACCTTAGCAAGCAGAAAAAGAGGAAAGGAGCCACGCGAGAACACATCCCGATGGGCACGATGGAGGTAAAGGTGGACCGGGCTTGACTTTTGGCCTGTCCATCCATACATATACAGCGATATCCAGTCAGTAGTTTCAGTGAAGTGACCGGGTATATGCTGCCGAAGTAACAGTTTAATTCTGTGAAAAAAACGCCTGGCCTTGTCGACCCTCAAACTCGGCTGGTTTTTCCAGATAGTCTACAAGAAACGGGGACTTCTTTACCGCTCAGGAAGAGTGGATAAGATCCTGGTGTGTTTCCCCCAATCGAAGCGCATCAGATGGAGGCAGCTCTCCCGGTGAGACGGCAAAAGGGATGCTGCCAGGCCTGCATCTCTGCTCTGCCCGTTGGCTTCCTGCTGTTTCCGCGGCCGTGGAAGCAGCAGCACGCCTTTTCTCGAATCAATCCCAAACTCTCGAAGAGGATTCTTGCCTGGGAAAACATCGCCAGCTCCCCGATGACGCGGGAAAGTCCCGATCGCCCTGGATCTAGGGAAATGTCGGGCACTAGGAGACTCAATCGTTTCGTTTTGGGTTCTCCTTTTGGCCTTTGAATTCGACTTGGTTTCATCTTCACGGATGTATCTTCCAAGTACACAGCGGGTATCCGGTACCTGATGAACTGTCCATCCGGCCGGGCTGACGAGCAACAAATCCTGTCCTGCGATCAAAGTCAATTGACCCTGTGCTGCCTGCTGTTGTTCTTCATCTCGTGTCCTCTTGTCCCCGTCTTGCCCCTCCCCCGCAATCGTGATGACCGCATCGAGGCTCAACAGCCCAACACATCATCGCCAAATCCGGTCCGCTTCCATTGGATCCCGGTCGATGCATGGCGCCTTGTGCTTTGGCCCGGAGCAACAACTGACTGGCCAGCACCGCCAAACGACGTGACGCTGGCCGCTTCACCGCTCTTTTGGTTTTTCTTTTCCAGCGTTGGACAGCCAACGAGGCCGCAGCACCTTGGGATCACGGACAATTTGGCCATGTCTGCTCTTGACTCACCACCCGCCTGCTGACCTGATTTCCGATCCAGGGATTGGACCGATACGATGACAGAAGATATCCCTGATTCCCCAGGACAAGGAATATGACAAAAAGTGCGGAATTTGAACATCAACTCGGCTATCTCCGTCTTGCCGTGGGTGTTTCTTCCCCAGCAGTTCCGTGCATGAGTGACACAGCGCCTGGTAATTTCTCTCCTCCGCCTCCAGATCGAGGAGAGTCCACCACAATCGCCCAGGGTGCCGGCATTTGGTCAACGCCACGCTTGCTGTGCTCGGCAAACCCGTTCCCATAGTTTTCCGTCCGCCCTACATCTCCCCATCGCTTCTGGCAAATCGCATCTATTTCTACATAGGCCTTGGTGGGAAGTCCGGGGCTGCGGGAACCAAGGCGATGCCACGTCTGTTCCCCTGGAAACATCGATACCCAACCGACAAAGGACTGACATGTGCAACAGGACCTCCAAAGGAGGGAGAAGAACTGCTTCGAGTTCGGATGGCTATGATAGGCAGGTAAAAATGGAAAACAAGGGATGACAAGACGTTCCCACTCGACACTTCTTTTTCGTTGGGCGTGAACGAGACAAACCGTGTGTCCTCATCAATAATGCCCTCATCGTGAACTATCAACTAACTAATTCTTCCAACTCCGAGCCCACGGAGATTTTTCCTCCGCTTCAAACAACTCGCTGTCTGTTAATCTTCAACAGGACCATGAATAATGTACATACATGTATATACTAGTTGTACGAACAATGCAGGTCCTCTTGCTCGACAACTTACGCAAGCCCGTCTAATATTAGACGCGCGCACATGGGGCTTGCCTTGTTTTCCTTTCCTTTCTTTTTTTTTTATTTCCCTTCTCAATCCCGCGTCCTGACAGCCATCCAGGTGCGCTGTCAGACGTCCAACCCTTGCGGCTGCGCCATCCGTTGGTTAGAAAACCATCCCATGGGGAAAGCTCCGGAGGATTTTAGGGCGGAAAGAAAAAAAGAAAAAAAAAAAGCAACTCACTTGTAAAACGAGTCATTCACGATCACGAATATAACTAACTATCCCGGGGACCGGAAGCCGGGACGGGGAAGAAAAAAAGCAACCATCTGGTTTGGTTCTTGGGGGACGAGGGCTGAATGAATGACAGTGGGCTTTTGTATTTGGGGTTGGTTCTTCTGAAGGATGTCAAGCGTGTGGAGGATATTTCTATATAGATAATGGAAGTTCTAAGTCTTGTTGAGAGAAGAAGTTTGGGTGCCAGTTGTTCTTGATTTTTATACAACGTCTCCCTCCGCCGCTTGATATTGTCAATGCTCGAATGTAAATCACAGGTTGAAGGCAGGGAAACTCTCGAGGAATGAGAATTATGCTGTCGGCAATTGAATGTTTATTGCTCTGAGTCAATAAACGCCTGGTGTCCAAGGTCACTACCTACCGGGCGCATATTCAAAACATATATACCCCAGATGCTTAACACTAAACCTCCACATATTCTCTATGAAGAAGAATGACCACTCTCCCCATCCGATCCCCCAGCCTGCGCAAACTTCTTCAACTTCCACAGCCCAGCACCGCCATGCCTCCCCTTCTCACCCTCGTGCCTCACCAACCCCATCCACGGTACCCCCTTCGTCGCTCTCCGCACCCGCTCCGCCAACCGCCTACTCTTCTCCGCGTACCGCGCCCGCACCTCCGCGTCCCCCTCGGAATCCCCCTTCAGCGCCGCACGCAACCGCCGCTGTCGTCGCTGCGCCGATCGAGCGGCAAAGTATTCTTCGCTCAGGGCCCAGTTCGGATTATCCAGGTTTCCGCGGACGAGCACGATGCGGTGGCCCAGGTCGAGAGCCCTGCGGAGCGCGCGGGGATCGATGGGCGTGGTGAGCTGGATGGTTTGCGAGTCAGTGTCGATTGAGCGGATGAGTGCGAGGCCAAGGGAGTATGAGGATGCCGGATCCAGGGGGGTGCAGGTTCCGTTGCCGATGAAGAGATACGGTAGGTTCGTATGCGGTGCGCGCGTGATGAAGGGATGATCTCCGGGCGATGCGACTGGATTGGCGTCGTCCATTGGAACGTCCTGGTCCGGATCGGAATGGTTTGCGGCGCGTTCTTGGTGATTGGTGGCAGGGAGTGTCGTGGTATCAGTTGGTTTGGGAAGGGTATCTGGATCCTCGACGGCGACGATGCCGACGATAGAGCCGTCGAGGAGGTCGTGGAGATGGGCAGGGTCGTGGCGGAAGCCTGTGACCATGACGCCTAGGATGCCTTGGGTTTCTCCAGCGTACTTGACACTCATGCTGTGGTGGTAGTGGATGGGCAAGGCAGACCAGACTGGTATGTCCGCGTGGCGTTGCGACCTGTGAAAGTATGAGAGCATGTGCATAGAGCGTAGTTGCGAACTCGACCTCGTGGCGTATTCCGTCGGCTGCGAAGGGATTGTGGTAACCGGCACCCCGACTTCAGTTGCCGCAGCTTGCAAAGGAATAATCACCTCTTCCGGGCCCTGTATGCTCGTGTAGACTACATCCGAAAGGTCGAGCGACTTCGCGAACCAGGTAGCTATCTCTAGCCCTTGCCCAAAAATCCATCCGGAATAATTGATAATCAATGGACATCGGGGATAGCTCTGAAGAAGAATCCGGTACCTATTTAGGAGGTCCATCACACATAAAATGTAGTGATCAGGGTCATCTTTTGGCGACGTGGCGCCAATATAGTGCGACTTTATAATAGAACCTTCATTCGCTGATATCAAGGCGGGATGGGAGAAGGACGGTCCAAGGACTGGCGTCTGAAGATGAGCTAGATAGACCTGCCCTGGTGGTGAGAATTCGGGTTGACCCGGGTCAAGATCTAGGTAGGCAACGCCATCATTCGAAGACGAGCTACCGCCGTGCGATGGAATTGGGCTAAGTAAATGGTTCAGGAGATACTTGTTGAACGTGGACTTGCCTGACCCTTTTGGCCCACAAGTCATCACTCGAAGGTTGGCCCCCCGGCCAGAAAGAGCTTTGATAGCAATGCTCCAATATTTGTTGAGATGGAGCGGGCGAAGGTGGCGCTTAAGCGGGTCATCCGAGGAAGAATGTAGCTAAGTTATATCAGGATGTTAAGCTTGGACGAATACATGGGGCTCGGTTACTCACAATAGCAAACGACATTTCGCTGCTGGTGGCCAGGTGCTTACGCAAAAGTGTTTGTTTTCCGCTCCATATCCGTCGATATAAATCAGACACTCGCTGAAGACGGGGCAACCCGCTCCGACAAGATTTGATCTCAATTTCTGCATAGCCATCGACTCCCGCAATGGCCTTGATCACTGGCAAAGAATGGGTTGATGGAGCATATACTCGATATAAACGGGCAGAAGGGGGCACTTTGGCGCCAAATATACTGACAACTCCTCGTTTAACCCACAAGTCATACTGCCCAAGTATCGATATAGTCTACAATACCATTTAGCAACCAGCGTAAGCCACGAGATGGACGCCGACGTACCGTTTTCTCCTTTAGTCGGATGCAAATACTGTCTTTGGTTTTGTACAATATGTCCTTTTTCGTTAAAATTCCTTTAGATAGTAGGAAATTCTCAAATCTCTCCTTGGGAGTTATTTCGATATCGTCCCTGCCTCGCGTTTAGTGCACGAAAGGACATAGCTGAGTGGCACAGTAGCGCAACCAACCCAGGATCACTCTCGCTGGTAATGTCACCATTATCCTCAACAACTGGCTGGCATCCTTCCTCGTTCGATCGGTCTTGATGGTCAACCGGGGTTCCAGCTCTCGGTGCCGCTTGCGAGGTCTTTTTGGGGTTTCTAATCACAACCGCAATTGCACTCTGTACGGGGGTCTTTTTCACCGGCTCATCAGCCGGAGAGGGTCTCGACCTTTTCGCAGGGGGCTCCGCTTCTTGAATAGCCTGCGTTTCTGGAAGGGAAGACTGCGCGGACGCAGCGGCGTTTTGATGGGCTTTTTTCCGAGCGGCGATTGCGCTGAGAGCTGTTGACTCGGGTTAGCTGCTCAGTTCTGGCTGTTTGCACGGAAATGATACGCACCGGATATTGGCTGGTCGCTCGCTTTCCGTTTCATCCTCGCAGCAATTGATTATCGGAGTGCAGGAGGGAAAACTGCTGGGCTGTGAATATCCGATGAAATGCGCGGGGTGGTCTGTGCGCAAGCTCCCAAACATTCTCAATTTGCGGTTTGAAGGATTGCAGATTTACGGATGACTTTGTTCGCTGCTCACATCGAGACTCGTATCCTCTTCTTTTGATCAAGATGCGATAATTGGTTTGCCTGTCAAGGCCCGTCGTCTTATCATTTCGTATTTTCAATTCCCCTACCGCCATGAAGCCCGCCCTCAGTAAAGAGGTCGTTTCGGAGACTGACGATTCGAGTACCGGCAGCTCCAGCAGCAGTGAATCTGAGAACCAGACTGCTCCCAAGGCGCACTCTCAGAAATCGGCTCTCAAGCCAAAACCGAAATCAGAACCCAAGCACGCACAAACACCTTCCGAATCAAGTACGTCGAGCTCCGAATCGGAATCAGAGGAGGAGGAAATTCCAAAGAGGGAACAACCTAAGAAGTCTTCCGAGAAGCGAGTGACAATTGTAGAAGAGTAAGGACGCGATATTCTCGCATATATCCCGGTGCTAAACTGGTGCAGACAATCTACACAACCTCACGTCCCTGCGAAGCCGTATCGACCCCCAGAAGGATTTCAGTTGGTGCAGAAATCAGCTTTTCCACACTCGAAACTTGGAGAAGTACTTTCAAATCTCTCTGGAAAACAAATATGGCACATCGCCGCTCCCGCCGCTGTTCCCGTCTCGTCGATCAAAGAGCTTGCGCTAGATGCAGTAGCAACAGGGGAGACCATATTGACACACAAGGGCGTTGATTATCGTCTACGAGAGGATCAAATAGGCGTCGAAAGAGCCAAGAATCTACTTCTTCCAGAAAAACATGGGAACAGTTATCGACGGCAGCAATTGAATGTTGTCCAAACGTTTCACATTGAACAAGCCGTTGAACCTTTGAGTCATGGCTCCAAATCACAGATGGAAGCTATGAAAAGGGAGACGAGACCTTTGCCATCGCAGCCTAAGAATTTGCGAATGCGATACACGCCGTTCGGCACAACCGCAGCGGAGGGTGTTGGTATGGACGATTCCGAAATTGGGACTACGTTTAAAGAGCCGAAAGGTGACCGCATCGTAGATGGAAAGAAGAAGAAAAAGAGGAAGCATAAGGATATGGACGGAGTAATAACTGTGGAAAGCGACTCTGAACCGCAAATTCAACAGGCGTCACCGCGGAAGAAGCCTAAAAAGGCACATACCCATACCCAGGGCACGCATGGTGAAAAAGAGCTGGAACCCAGTCAGCAAAGTATAGGGGATCGAGGCAGATTGGAGAAATCAGAGCCAGAAAAGGCTAGCAAAAAGCACAGAGAGGAAACCAGCCAGGAACGGAGAGCCCGGAGGGAGGAACGGAAACGAAGAAAGCAAGTGAAAGCCTAGGAGGGTAGCATCAAGTGTTTCAACGAATTGTTCATGATATGATCGGATGCCTGGAGTTACATTTTTTTTCATGTAAATGAGAGTTCTTCTTTGCCTCTGTACGTGCTTCCATACGGTCAGAGCAATGCTCAATATTAAGGGTTTCCATTTTAATTCGGATACATAAAAGATTCGGCCTACTGTTTCCTTATGAATTGCCCGCGTGTTATTTATGCCCCTGGAGTCTGGACGCACGATGTCTGCTGTTTCCTCCCACATAGCGCCAAGGCCACACCTGAGTTTGGATTCCGGCGGGGAAAAACATTTTGCTCGCAGAAAAATCTCTCCCTCAATTCCCACCACCCGCAACCTGGCCTCATATCAACCAATTCACATAATTCACACAATATCAAGCAGCTGAGAAAGCAAGCCGGCTATACTGATAATCACCATGTCTACCTACGCTCTTTCACAGTCCCACAAGGAGGTGTGTTGAAAAGCCTCCCCGCTGACTCGAAATGGCTCAATGACTGACTATCTGCAATAGCAACTCGAGAAGTCTCTCGTCGAGACTGACCCCGAGGTTGCTGAGATTATGGTACGAGATCTTTCCTTTTCAGTGTCTTTCAATTGAGAGGATTCTCTCGTTTCGCCGTGGATAAGTCATAGACTGATTCATTGGAATAGAAAAAAGAGATCCAGCGCCAGAGGGAGTCCATCGTGCTCATCGCTTCCGAGAACGTTACATCCCGCGCTGTTTTTGATGCCCTAGGGTCGCCCATGTCCAATAAATACTCCGAGGGTTATCCCGGAGCCCGTTACTATGGTGGGAACCAGCACATCGACGAGATTGAATTGCTCTGCCAGAAGCGAGCTCTCAAGGCTTTCAACCTGGATCCTGAGAAATGGGGTGTTAACGTCCAATGCTTGAGCGGAAGCCCCGCCAATTTGCAGGTCTACCAGGCTTTGATGAGGCCTCACGATCGACTGATGGGTTTGGATTTGCCTCATGGAGGCCATTTGAGTCACGGATATCAGACCCCCCAAAAGAAGTATGTAGATCACTTTATCAAGAATATTGCTTTATCCAGAGCACTAATTCGATCGTTTGACAGGATCTCTGCCGTCTCCACATACTTTGAGACCTTCCCCTATAGAGTAAACCTCGAGACTGGCATCATCGACTACGACACTCTCGAATCCAATGCCCAGTTGTATCGACCAAAATGCCTTGTTGCCGGAACCTCTGCATACTGCCGTCTCATCGACTATGCTCGTATGCGCAAGATTGCTGACTCTGTTGGCGCTTATTTGATTGTGGACATGGCCCACATCTCCGGATTGATCGCCGCCGGCGTCATCCCATCTCCCTTCGAGCACGCTGATGTTGTTACAACCACCACTCACAAATCGCTCCGTGGCCCTAGAGGCGCCATGATCTTCTTCAGAAAGGGCGTGCGAAGTGTTGATCCTAAGACTGGCAAGGAGATCATGTACGATTTGGAAGCTCCTATCAACTTCTCCGTCTTCCCTGGTCATCAGGGTGGCCCCCACAACCACACCATCACCGCCTTGACTGTTGCTCTTAAACAAGCCGCTACGCCAGAATTCAAGCAATACCAGGAGCAAGTCGTGAAGAACGCCAAAGCCGTCGAAACCGAATTGAAGCGTCTCGGCCATAAGCTCGTTGCTGACGGCACTGACAGCCACATGGTCCTGTTGGACTTGAGGCCGAAAGGCCTCGACGGTGCTCGTGTCGAAGCCGTTCTCGAAGCCATCAACATTGCTTGCAATAAGAATTCCATCCCAGGAGATCGGTCAGCTTTAACCCCCTGCGGTATTAGAATCGGTACTCCTGCCATGACCAGCCGTGGCATGGGCGACGAGGACTTCAAGCGTATTTCCGGATACATTGACCGTGTGATCAACATCTGCAAAGACATCCAGGGTAGCCTCCCCAAAGAGGCCAACAAGCTTAAGGACTTCAAGGCCAAGGTTGCCAGCGGCTCCGTGGCGGAGATCAATGACCTCAAGAAGGAGATCAGCCAATGGGCCAGTTCTTTCCCTCTTCCAGTCTAAATGACGCCTATATCCTTTTTTGATTTATTGTTTTCATTTGGGATTGGGTTTCTTTATGTGTTGTTCGGTTTTCAAAAAATGGGAAATGGGGTAAAATCTTCAACGTCGTTTACGAATATGGCATGAGCGCGTGTTATGGATTTTCAACAAGCAATCCATAGTATTGGGTGGCAATGATCGTGTTTTTCGATTTCTTCTTTAGTATATAATGAAGATGCTTGAGCATTCTTACGGCTCAAGAACACTTTGATTATAGAATCAATAAACAAAATGTTATCCACATAACTCCATATCGCCTCTGATGTTGCCGAAGGTCGCTGCTACTTAACAGTAATAGTGTCAAAAAAGGTTGCAAAGGCCGTGTCATGTCCCATTCACAACCTCACCGCTCCTCCGCCCAAAATCCTGGATGATCCCCTTTAACCGCACAATCCTCTGCTCCAACTGCTTGATCTCTGCTTCCTGCTCCTCCACCGACCTGTGTATATCCGGCAACTCCTCAACCGCACTCCTTGCCTTTTGGATCCGTATCTTCACCGCACTCGCTCCCGTCACCAGAGCACGAGGGTCCAGCGCATGCATCCCCGTCGTATCGCCACCGGGGGTAGAGAGAGACGCCGGGTCGGTCCGGGCACTGATGATGTCTGGGTTAGCTGCGGCCGCTTGTTGGGCGTGCGGCGGGGTGGAGAGGAGGCGGATGAAGAGGGTGTGGAGAGGGGGGAGGATGTCGAAAGTTTGCGGGGGCGGGAACGGGGCGGTGGTTGGATCTGGGGATGTTGGGTCCTGGGGTGCGGCGGGAGTGTTGGCGCGAGTGTTTGCACGCGTATTTGCGCGGGTGTTGGCGCGCGTTGAGTGTGTGAGTGGTGTTTTGTGTGCGGGAGAGGGCACGACGGGAGATGGGTTGGCGGACATGTTGGTGGTGATGGAGCCGTCGCGGAAGGAGAAAAAGCAGTTGGCAATGTTCAATGGTTAAGCGGATATCATTTTGAGCGACTTGCTCTGCGGCCTATATCACTGGAGGCGCTGTCGTTGCGTCGAGTGCCGGGTTGGAATGCTGAGGTCGTTTGCAAAATTGAGGAACAAAAAGTGACGTCGATCTCAACAGGGCCGGTTCCTAGCGCTTTTCTGCCGGGAAAACAGCCCCTCCCCCACCAATTCGATGAAATATCGTCGCTTTCATTGTCGAATTGAGACATTTTTCTTCATTTTATTTTTGGATTAATCGATTGACAAGATTCGTTTTCTATTCAACCACTTAATTTGTTGATAGAGAAACCGACTTCGCGTCGTCCCTTTCACTATGACCAAAGTTGATCAGAAAGTCGCGCTGAGTGAGTCCCGCAAATGCATTTTACATCCTGTTGGGTTTTCGCTAATACCCCTTTGACTGCTAAGTCGTGATCGATGGCTGGGGAGTTCCGGGCCCCAACTCTCCTTCCAACGGCGATGCAATCGCAGCAGCCGAAACCCCGGTGATGTCTTCGTTCGCCGACCCCAAAGCTGGAACCGCTCAGGGATACACTGAACTTGAGGCATCCTCCCTCGCTGTCGGCCTTCCCGAGGGCTTGATGGGAAACAGTGAGGTCGGCCATCTGAACATCGGGGCCGGCCGTGTCGTATGGCAAGATGTTGTCCGCATTGACCAGACGCTGAAAAAGGGGGAGTTGAACCAAATCTCGAACATTGTCGACTCTTTCAAACGAGCAAAGGATGGGAATGGCAGACTGCACCTCCTCGGTTTAGTATCCGATGGCGGTGTCCATTCTCATATCAACCATCTATTTGGACTGTTGCAAGTCGCCAAGGAGTTGCAGGTTCCAAAGGTGTATATCCACTTCTTCGGGGACGGGAGAGACACAGATCCTAAAAGCGGAGCTGGCCACATGCAAGCCCTGTTGGACAAAATGAAGGAACTCGGCGTCGGTGAGTTGGCTACCGTGGTTGGCCGGTACTTTGTCATGGATCGCGACAAGAGATGGGATCGCGTCGAGGTTGGCATGAAAGGTATTGTTCTAGGGGAAGGAGAGGCGAGCAGTGACCCAGTCAAAACAATCAAAGAAAGGTATGCCAATGGTGAAACCGATGAGTTCCTAAAGCCAATTATTGTTGGAGGCGACGAGAGAAGAGTAAAAGGTACGGATTGCGCCCACTCTGAGAAAACAATGCAGGGTCTAACCGTAGCTTAAAGACAACGACACTCTTTTCTTCTTCAACTACCGCTCTGATCGTGTGCGAGAGGTCACCCAGCTCTTGGGAGATTATGATCGTTCCCCAAAGCCTGATTTCCCCTATCCCCAAAATATCTCCATTACCACCATGACTCAGTACAAAACGGACTACACTTTCCCGGTTGCATTCCCTCCTCAGCATATGGGTAACGTCCTGGCTGAATGGCTTAGTGTCAAGGGACTCAAGCAATGTCACATTGCCGAGACCGAAAAATATGCCCATGTGACATTCTTCTTCAACGGAGGCATCGAGAAGCAGTTTGATGGAGAAGTCCGCGACTTGATACCATCACCCAAGGTTGCAACTTATGATTTGGATCCAAAAATGAGCGCGGCCCCCGTAGGAGAGAAGATGGCTGAGAGGATCGCGGAGAAGAAATATGATTTGGTGATGAACAACTTTGCGCCGCCGGACATGGTCGGCCATACTGGCGTGTACGAGGCAGCTATCCAAGGTGTTGCCGCAACAGACAAAGCCATTGGAAGAATCTTCGAAGCCTGCAAGGAGAATGGGTACATTCTTTTCATCACAGCTGACCATGGGTAAGTCTCTCAGCACCAGTTCGGCTCATATGGGTCGCTTGCTAATTGAACTTTCAGGAACGCCGAAGAGATGAAAAACAGCGATGGCTCTCCAAAAACATCCCACACCACAAACAAGGTTCCTTTCGTCATGGCCAATGCTCCTGAGGGCTGGAGTCTGAAAGAAAGAGACGGCATTTTGGGCGATGTTGCACCAACCATCCTAGACGTCATGGGTATCGAACAGCCCAAGGAAATGAGCGGAAGTAGCTTGCTGATCCGCAAGTAAACAAAAGATTTTGACTTCGAAGACATTGCTTCTGGTATAAAGACATAAGATTATTGAAGCTAGAGGCCGGTAAGATGTACCTATAATTCATGGTGGAGCACAAGAAACGCAAAAATAAAACACTAGAATCGCTCGAAATAAAGCTAAGCATTTTGACGACATCTGTCCCTTATATTCAACTGCCAGGAATCCGTGCCTGTAGAAGCAGCGAAACGACGTATCAGTGTGATTTTGGACTCGGAGAAAAAAGCCTCCAGCGTAATAGATATTGGTACTAGTATAGCTGCGGTGAATCAGCTTTTATGAGGAACGGGATAAGGGCTCCCAAGGTTCTCAAACCCCAAAGGCTGCCGTAGGAGATTTCGTTCGGTACGAGTGAGTTGTCACCAGCGCAAGGGAGGGGCGAGGAGTTTGCCTAGCTTGGCTGGTACCCGCGTTTAGAGCAGAGAACCGATACAAAATCGGCGTTTCCATCATGAAGATACTTCAGGAAGATGCGGCACTTGCTTGCTGCTGCATTTGCGTTTGAAATTGGATGACCTGGGCCGGTTCGTCGTTAGCCTTCAACCCGCAGAGGTGCCCTTGAACGCTCGTTGTCCCGCCGTACCTCTGCTTTCTTTTTCTCACTCTTCTCTTGGAGATCTGCAATCTGTCCCTCGATGCGTTTTCTGTTTTGGTCGGCGCGGATGCCGCTGATTAGCAAAAGTGCTCATATTTCAAAACCGGGGGGCCGGCACAGCGTACATTTCCTTCTCGATGAAATCCAGTCGTCCCTCAACGGCCATAACAGCGTCGGATTTATCTTGTTTTAATAGAACGGGCCCAATGATTTTGTAGACAGTTGAATCTTCATCGAGGGTAGAGAACTCCTGTGTCCGCAGATTAGCGCCCTGGTTCGATAGACACTTGCTTGAGTTTCTAGAGGAGACGAGCCATGCCACACCTTTTGAACACTTTTGTTCTCTTGTTGTTGGGCTTCGAGTTTCTCGCGACCTTCAACGACTCCTTGCAGTTCTGGCCGGGTGGTTATCAGTTTGGGGATGATGGCGGCAAAGGGCTGGTTGGAACACCGACCTAATTGGAGACTCTGATAGTCATCACTGAGGGTTTGGAGCTGCTTTTGGGCATCAGCCATTGTGAAACCAGTAGAGGAGCACTCCCGCTGTCGAATCTAGATCGAGAGGGTGTCTTTGGAGCCGATGATGGAATTGTTCTGGGGATAGCTAAGATAGGGTTGCAGCATAGCAACAGCGCTAGCGGGGTGACATTACAACCAACATGTTTCGCTTCAATCAGCAAAACATCATCGTTCGATCAAACACCCACCACCCGACATTGTTGAACATTTGCTCTGAGCATATTCGCGCGGGTTCTGAAGCTGCCTGGTTTTGTTACGGAGTGGTCGTTATGCCAGTTTGACGAACTGCGATTGACCACCGCACGAGACTTTTAGAAAGCTACTGCCTACAGCAATCCACTCCCCCGAGTCCATATCCCCGGGGCTACTTTCGAAACTACACGCCGAAGCGCATTTGCAATTACGATGAGCAATACCGACTTTCTTGGCCGTGCCATTGACACGGTCAGGAAAGCTATTGAGCACGACAATGCGGGGGAGTACGAGAAGGCCTACCAAACATACTATTCCGCCCTTGAGCTCTTCATGCTTGCGCTTAAATGGGAGAAGAACCCCAAGTCGAAGGAGATGATCCGTGCCAAAACCGGAGAGTATATGGAGAGAGCGGAAAAACTGAAAAACCATCTCGCGGGGAGTGATAATAGGAAGAAACCGAGTGCGGTGGGCGCAAACGGAAAGGTGGCGCATGGAAGTGGGAAGGGAGGGTAAGTTTCCATGCTTGTTGGAGCTGGGCCTGTCAAAAAGAATGTCTAACAGCTGTTTTGGTTCTAGGAAGGACGACGAGGATGACGATGCCGACACGAAGAAATTACGGGGTGCGCTTGCGGGTGCTATACTGTCGGAGAAGCCCAACGTAAAATGGGATGATGTTGCCGGTTTAGACGCGGCAAAAGAGGCCCTCAAGGAGGCGGTTATTTTGCCTATTAAGTTTCCGAATCTTTTTACTGGAAGACGGCAGCCCTGGAAGGGGATTTTACTCTATGGTCCTCCAGGGACCGGCAAGTCATATCTGGCGAAGGCTGTGGCAACTGAGGCAAACAGCACATTTTTCAGTGTGAGCAGTAGTGATCTCGTCTCAAAATGGATGGGTGAGAGTGAGAGGTGAGTATTGCGATTTGGATAAGTCACTTCGTCTGCCAGCTAACGTTCTCGGAATCCAGACTTGTTAAACAATTATTCAACATGGCGAGAGAAAATAAGCCCGCCATCATATTCATCGATGAGATTGATGCTCTCTGTGGACCCCGTGGAGAAGGAGAATCCGAGGCATCTCGCCGTATAAAAACCGAATTACTTGTGCAAATGGACGGTGTTGGCAATGACACTAAAGGCGTATTGATCCTTGGTGCCACAAATATTCCATGGCAACTAGACATGGCTATTCGACGACGATTCCAGCGCAGAGTGCACATCAGTTTACCTGACATCGCCGCACGAATGAAGATGTTCATGTTGAATGTTGGCTCGACGCCATGCGAACTGACACAGGCAGACTACCGGGCACTAGGCGAAATGACGGAAGGGTATTCTGGTAGCGATATCAGCATTGCAGTGCAGGATGCTTTAATGCAACCTGTGAGGAAAATCCAGTCTGCTACTCATTATAAGAAAGGTTAGCATGTCCCTTGCCCCTGAGTGTACACTGGAATCATGCTAAGATAATACAAAAGGTCCTCATCCAAGGTCAGGAGAAACTCACACCGTGCTCTCCCGGCGATCAAGGAGCTATTGAAATGTCTTGGGTAGATGTGGATGCTGAGAAACTCCTCGAGCCTCCACTCCTACTCAGAGACTTTGTTAAAGCCATCAAATCCTCCAGGCCAACCGTGAGTAAAGAGGATTTGGAAAAGAATGAAGAATGGACGACACAGTTTGGAAGTGAAGGCGCTTAGTTTGTCATCTTCAGTTTCAATCCCTTGTTCCTTGTGATGACTCTTGTGATGCAATAGACCCAATATGTCCTGGGCGTTTTTTTCTTTTTGTTCCTCTCGTGTTGGGAGACTCATAGCGTTTTCTTTTCTTTGAGACATGAGTTTGAAGACATCATGGCATCCTATTCTTGTCTGTGTTCGCCTTCTTGTAAGTGCTTCTGCTTGCCCTGGATTTCCGCGGGACCTTTTTGTTCATGATAATGAGAGATGTCTGGTAATGCTGTGTTGATTTTGGTACTTCTCCTGTACTTCACTGGAGTTTTAAAGAATTGACCCTTGTCCAAAAGACGAATTCAGGAAGTAAAGATATCGGGGATGCCCAGGCATGAAGCTATGCAACTCTCGTTGAATACACGGGCTATTTACAATTGCTGCCTCCAAAATGTTCAATAATAAAATCAACAAAGAGCGTCAGGGGGAATAATCCATCTTAACCTATCCAAGCGCCATTTTCTCCTAGCAATAACAGAGTCCTGTCCAGAACCCTTGCCTCAAACCTTTTTAGCGACAAAATACCCAAGAAACATTCCAATCAAAAAGAGGTATCATCTTAGATAAACAACAGAGTGCAAACGGGCTTTACTAAAAATTCAACCCAACAGCCCGGGTACAGAGGCATTCCTGGCGAGTTCTCTTCGTCTTACCAGCTCACTCTTTGCTTTCCGTAAACCTTCGCGAATTTTCCGCGATTTTCTCCATTCGGATGCCATCTTTTGCATACGGGATGTTGCCATGATTGCAAAAGCAACGCTTCTAAATTTCTTTCTCGCATCAAACTCTGTCCCAGCGAGGCCGGGTTCAACTCCCATTTCCGCAATCATCTTTAGGTCCATTTCATTACTGGAAATCTCGTTAGACTTCAAAATCACAAGGAGGTACGCGGTATCAGCGGGCAAAGGAGACATACCAAGCAATCCTAACCCGTTCCCCAAGCTCCATGATTCCTTTACTCCAAGCGAGATCCTTCCTAAATTTTTCCTCTCTTGACAGTCTGGCTCTAAGCCACAATATTTCCTTGCTTAGTCCTTTCAGCTCTTTCTCATGCTGTCCCTTTCTCGCCACCTGAGATGACATGTCATCCAGCACAATCTCATACTTGTCTTGCAGTGACTGTAGCTGGCTATTCGCTGCGTCGGCTTGTTTTCTTGACAGAGTCCTCTCTTCGCGGACTCGATGGAGATGATTCCGGAGTTCATTGACACGGGCATCGCGTTCCGACAACTTGACCGAGAGAGATTCTGCCTCAAGGGTTGCAGATTTGAGTAGCTCATGAAGATCTTTTCGTTCTTCTCCCATCATCGCATGTCTTTGAAGATCGTGGGACTTGACCCGTAACTCCTTCATCTTCTTATGAGCTTCAAGCAGCTGATTGCGGAGCTTGCGGTTCTCTTCGAGGAATTTTGACGCCGGTGATGTGCCCGCACCCGAGGTGATTGGATCGAATTTCTGAGTCTGCAGCTCATGGTTCTCAGTCTCAAGATCCCCAATACGAGCTTTGAGCTGTCGAATAGACGACTTGAGATCCACTTCCCGCTGAAGAGCTGCTCTTTCCTTCTTGCGGGATTCGTCTAGATGATGACGGATAATGGAAGAATCCGACGTTATCGGGGCGATGTCGAGTTCAGTTGGCCGTTGTTGGTCAAGAATAGCTTCCAGATCTTTAACGCGCTTCTCTAGACGGTCTGCTTTATGTTTCGCAGATGCCAGCTCGCGATCTCGCTTCTCGGAAGTAATGAAAAGCTTGTCTTGCAACTGGTCAATCTCTGCTGAGAGCCGATTCTCCTCAGATGCAGCCCTCTCAACTTCATTATCAAGCTCATTTCTCAGCGCAGTCTTCGCCTCAACCAAGAGTCCCTTTTCCTCCTTCAAGCGTTTGAGTTCACTTTCAAGGCGCAGCTTTGCTTTCCGAAGCTCGAGTTTCTCCTGATCAAGTCGATACGTTTCATCTACCTGACCATGAATACGGTTAAGCTGGCTCCTTAATTCGTCGCGATCTGCTTTCAAATCAGGAATTGTAGCTCGAAGTTGGCTCAGTTCTGTTTCTGCTCCTGTTAGCTGATCACGCAAAGATTGCCTATCGCGGATAGAAGCTTGTAATTGCTTCTCAACTTCAGTAGCACCATTTTTCCGCTGATTCTCAAAGCCCCGTTCCTCTTCAAGCGTTGCCTTGAGAACAATGGCCTCGTCTTCCAAGTTCTGGATTCTCTCCCTCAAGGTCTCTACCTCGCGCCTGGCAGACCTTAAATCTTCCTTCAAGGAAAGTAATTCGAGCCTTTGTCTCTCAGTCAATTGTCGTCGAGAGGCGACGTCATCGTGAAGCTCTTTGATTTGGCGACTTAATAGATCCTTTTCCTGCAGGTACTGTTTTTTCTCACTGTCCATGGCATCCTGCAACTTCTTTTCTTTGTCTGACAGAGAAGTTTCCGTGTGATGGAGCCTGTCGATGGTCCGCTTGTATCCGCTAGCTTGTTGTTCTGCTTGATGTTTTTGCAATTCCAATGTACGCTTGATGCCATCCCATTTATCCCGATCAACATTATATTGAGCTTCGTTATCTTCAAGCCTTCGCTGAAGAGATTCAATGTCATCATGCAACTGATCAATCTTGTCTTTGTGAAGTAACCTGACATCTTCGATACTCTCGAAGGATCTCTGCTTCTCATCCGCAATCTGGCGTTCCAAATCGGCAATAGTATTTTGCGCTCTTTCTAGGTCCCTTTGTAGCGCTTGAGACTCGTCGGTTAAAGCGTCGTGCCGAGTTTGTAGTAGGCCTTTGGCATCTCCCCTTGCTCGAAGTTCATCTTCCGCCTCTTGTAGCCGGGATGAAAGCGAATCGCGTTCCCTTTTCGCTCTGTCACGTTCATGCTCGGCCAATTCGATTCTATCTTCAAGCCTAGCCTTTTCCAAAATAAGATCCTGTTGGAGTTCGTGTACATGCTGTTCAAACTGGCGTTCGACCTTTCTTTTGTTTTCCAGCTCTTCTTGAGAGGCATTGAATTGTCGTTGTAAGGTGCTTAAATCATTTTCGAGGGCACTTGCTTTCTCTTCCAGTTGACGACTTAATCCCTTCGTATAAAATGACTTGTTAGCCATCTCGTCCTGTAGCTCTTTTAAGTCTTCAAGTGCCCGGTCCTTTTCTTCAGTGGCTTTTTGGCAGGCGGCTTCCGAGTATTGTGTCTCGTTTTTTAGCTTTTCGATGCTGTCTTTCAGTTCATCTATTTGATTCCTGGCCCGCTCAAGTTGGCCTTCCAATTCGGCAAGTGAACTCTGTTCATGTGAATCTTTATCTTTGAGCTCCTCAATCTCGCTCTCCTTCTCATCTAGGAGTCGGTCCTTTTCTCTAACGGTGTATTCCAAGTCGCTAATTTGGTCACGCAGCTCCTGCAATTCATCCGAATCTTTGTTTTGAGCGGCTTTTAGCTCTTCTCGTAACTCGTCGATTTCTATATCTTTTGACTCGGCCTCCTCCTTCAGCCAACTCAATTCCTTCTGTAGCGTGCCATCTGCTTGCTTTCGCTTCCATCGTTCTTGGAATTCTTCGAGTTCACTTTGACATGCTTCTGCCTTTCGCTCAGCCCGCATTAAACTCTTTTTGCAGCGAGCCAGCTCCCGCTCCATTGACTTCCCGCTGACCTTGAGCTCTATATTCTCTTGTAGAGCGGTTCGGTTCAAATCTGGTCCGGATTTGTGTAGCTTGTCTTCGAGGAAATGGATTTTCAGCTTCAAGTTGAAATTTTCTTTGTCAAGTTTGTTGATAACCTGAAGAAACGCAACTGTTAGCACAACTTGATTCCTTCGGCACCGAAATATGTTTTGAGATGAGATCATACATTTTCTTGCTCCCTCAGAGTCATCATATTTTCATCCCTAACAAACCCTCCACTCCCATTTCGTGCAGGAAGCAGAGGTAGAGGTGTGCTCTGTGGGCTACTGCTTGCCACCTGCGGAACAGGAGTCGCATCATCTCCATCCATCGAGCCATCCTCGTATATATCACTAGCTTCTATCCTCGGCAAGCCTGGCGTGTTTGGATCTCTGTAATCATCTCGCAGGAATACCGGCGTCTCTGGGCCACCCTTTCTCGCATTCCGCAGAAGATTGTTTTTCGTGGTACTCTTCATAAGCGGAGTAAACTCTCCCTTCGGTATGGCCGCATTAGGAAGATTCCGTCGGCTCTGCAGAGCATTTTTCGATGATCGGGAAGCTGGTCCCGCCCGAGGAGTTCGTAGTGAGAAGTCGCCGCTTTTACGGCTTCGCTTGTTTCCACCTAGCTTAAGTAGTTCTCTATCGTCAGAGGGTGACTGAAAGGAGTTTTCGACGGAATCTAATGCTGAGAGGTTATGTCGCGTGGTGCTTCGAAGCCCGTTCGTTAAGTATGTCGCGTTCCCGATTTCGGTGCGCGGTGTATCGATATAGTTGTAAGCCATTATTCGCCGACAGTCGAATTGATATTATTTTTTATCGATTTAAATACCCATCGCCCGGTTGGAAGAAAGCCAACGCGTTCATCACAAAGACCGCGATGGCAGTTCCCCCGTATTAACACAAGCGTGTTGGTTGATTTGGGACATTTGTTTATCTCTAGCCTAGTCTGGACTAGTCTCATATTGCGGAACGGAATATTGTTGTGGCGGTAGCTTGACGTCATTCCTAGAGATTATATAATCTGAACATGAGAAGTTTGCGTTGAGCGAGAAACAGCTCGCAGATCAACAGTTGCCCGACAAGCAACATGGCCCCAATGTCGCAGGAAGATATTGAATGGTTCAAGTCGACGTTCCATCCTATTCCGAAGCCTGAGCTGCCTGATGATTGCATTGAGTACTCTATTTATTGCGTTGCCCAGGACACCCCGCCAGACCAAGAAGATGAACTAGTGGCGTCCCGCGCAGAATTGAGCAAGGTTCAAAAAGTAGCATCTGAACTAGTTAAGAAGTATTTGAAGGATTATATATGGCAGCGTGACAGCTTCAAGCTGGAGCTGGTAAAGGAAGATGGTGAGCATGAGCAGGTTTGTTGTGGGCGAATAACATGCCAAATCCCGTCTTTTACTAAGAGCGCACGTCTGATCAAGTGTTTGTTTTAATAGGGGTCAACCTTCTTCGCGGACGAACCGAGTACGGCGATTCAATTGAAGATGAATGGGTCATTGTATATATCCTGCGCGAGTTGACTCGCCAGTTTGACAATCTCTGGGTGAAGGTAACTGACAGCGATGGCGAATTCTTGCTCGTTGAAGCCGCGGCAACGTTGCCGGCATGGCTTGAACCAGAAGTTGCAAACAATAGAGTCTGGATTCACAAAGGCGAATTGATTATAATAAAACCAGGAACGACGAGGACATCTAAAAAGAAAGTCACGGAGACAATGACGTTCCGCGATGCAAGGAAGGCTATCCTCTCTGAACCAAGCAGGCTTATGCGATCACCGTCTATCGAAGAAGAAGCGTTTTATCGCTTACGAAATTATCCAGATCAGATCAACAAAAATATGCATTCATCGCTTGTCACCATTCCCCGCACCATTGCGCATCTACTACGCCTTAAACCTGCTTATGTCTCGCCCGCAGTTGAAGCCTTCTACGTTCGTGACCCGATATCGTTACGCGCCTTGCGATCAAAAGAGCAGAGCCAACTTATTTTAGACCCGGAGGACCTTGTGACAGTAAGCGTGAAGTTCACCAAAGTCGGTTTCGCCCAATTGAAAAGCCAGGATTTCGATCCTCCAAAACAATGGAAAGGGAAACTCCTGTTTGATCCAGGATCGAAAGAGTATGCCCGCGCTGAAATAGGAATGAAATTGGCTTGTGGCTTTGAAATGCTATTATTTGACCCACAAAATCAAGACAAAGCAATAGTCAGAGAGATTAAATTGATACTGGAGGATATTGAAACGGGCGATGAAAAACTCCCAAACGATGAAGATATTGATAAAAACTGGGGTAAACAGGAGGACGATGAATCGTGGCTGGACATTAATTTTGAAGACTTGGAAAGAGAGCTCAAAGGGAGAAAAGGCGCTGACGGGGACACCAAGATGGGTGACTTTGGTGACAAGGGTACCCAAGAGAATCTTCAACGGATAGTTTCTCAGTTCGAGAAATTTCTTAATGACGACAGTGCCGGTTTCGAGGGAGCAGACTTTTCAACGAATCGGATGATGGCGAAATTGACGACGACGACGAAGAGGAAGAGGAACTGAGCAGCGACGGCGAAGACAAAGAGGCGTCATTCGACGAGGAGGAATTTTCAAAAATGATGCAGGAAATGATGGGATTACCTTCGGGGGCTTCGAAGTTTGCGACTGGGTCGCGAGAAAATGCACGGATTGAGGAACTGGAGTCTATTGAAGAGGAAGATGAAAACGGTCCTGTGGAGCAAGCTCGAAGGCCATCGAATATACCCAAGCCAATCCCCGACGGATTCCGAAATTCTAGATTCGAATAGGCCGCTGAGAGAGGAATTATATCAGAAGCGACAGGGATTGAAAGGCAAAGAGCTTCGATTTAGTGACGAAGAGGCAGATGCAGAGGAAGTCGAGCCGCAAGAGGATGAGCATGAGCTGGAAGAGATCGAAGAATTGTCCAGGCAAATGGAGGCCGAGCTGAAGAAGGCCGGAGTTCTGGACCCGAACCGAGCTCTTAGAGAAGAGTCAAAACAGAGAAGCAAAGCACTCAAAGGCAAAAGCCGCCTTCGAGACATTGACGATGATCAAGAAGAAAACGACGAAGACTACGATGACGGTTCTGACGTCAATATCAATCTGGCTAGAAATCTCCTTGAGAGTTTACGAAGCCAGGGTGGTAGCGCAGGGCCTGGAAGCAACCTCCTCGGGCTAATGGGCATGCAAATTCCGAAAGACGATCGTAGATGAAAGCAAATCCAAGTAGTATCATATAATCTGCTGGAAATTGGAATATGAAAAAGGGGTTTGTCTCCAGATTCGAGAATCGACTTCCCACAGATTAAATCACAAAAGATCGTAACATCTCCGCTCCAACCCGTACCAATCGAGGTAACGAAAGAAGGTTCTCAAACATCCCAAAATCGTACAAACGCGGCAGAAGCCTCCACGACCCGTATATATCTTAATTCCAAAGGCTCTCTTAAGTCACAACAACCGCTTCGCTGTCAAAAGGAACAATTTCGCCGTTGCCGTTAGTCATGACTGGCAGGGTATCGCCTCCTACCAAGAACTAGGTTTAGCAGATGGTCTCACGAACAAATGGGCAGCTGCTGTACATACGCTTGCGGCTCACTGGAACTGCGATAGTAACAGCAGCGAGGAGAGAAATGAGGGCCAAAGTGAACTTCATTTTCAAAAAATGCCTTTGACTCGTGATATATTCTCACTAGACGGAAGCGGGACGCAAAAAGTCGGCCGGCGACCACGACTGATCAGAGTAGAACAACGAATGAGATCGTAGAAGAGAAAAAGAGCGGACTAAAGGAAAAGAACTCTTAAGCAGGGTGTTTTGCTGGGAGGATGGCTCGGATAAAGAATGGAAAGCATGATTCCGCTCTCGCCGTCCAAAGCGAGCTTTTAAATACTGTGGTCTTCAAAACAGTAGTTGCAAATCGGTTCCTGGGTGTGGACATAGTCATCTCCGACTTGATCAGACTCTTTCGGTAACAGTTTGGTTTAGGCCGAGCCATAACTGGGCAGGTTTGGAAATCCTCAATGCATGGCAGCCCGGGCCTCAGGGCCACGACGGATGTCACTAACTCCTGTTGTCTCAAATGGCGCAGAAGGACCTGGTCCTTTTGCTAATACTCAATCAGAGTTCAGATTCCGGCCGTTCCACTTCTACTAGACCGCTGGTGAATCAGGAAAATCTGACACAGTTTCTGAGACTGGGGTTGTTTGAGGTGACTCCATCGATGCGGCCTTCTTTGTAGGCAGTGCAAAACGAATTAGGTCATTCCGGGACAAATTCACTCAAGTTTGTTCCTGGTTTTCAGCGGATTTGTCCCTTTCCACTCTCTGATTGAAGCTGTTCGAGGTTGAACGCGTTGGCTGCAAAACCTGCCCCACCCAATCCTATATACTCATGAATCGATGACAAGCGAAGTTCGGGAATCATCTCTTGACAAGCTCAAATAAGGGTGTGAGCGGGATGGATGGCAGAGTGCTTAATGGCATTCCCGGTGCCCATTGTCCCCAATGGTGTTGGGATCAGGAGGCTGTTGCGAGAAGGGTCATGACATTGATATTCCAAATTGGGTTAGCCCATTCCAAGCCTCACGTGAGGCTGGCTCCGGACATAATCGACCGTCCCAGGATCCCCGCGTTCAGCCTCGAGACTTCTCCTCCAGACCTCGGGGGAAGCGAAGTGATACCAGCTACACTGCCACGGGAGGGCCAGCAAACTGACCATTCTCTGCTCCGATACCCCAAAGCCTATCGGTGAACTCTCATCCCTAACATTGGTTTCTCCGCCTGGTCCGTCAATCAAGTGCTCCTGGCCCTCCCCCGCTTTTCTCACGGGCGCGGAACAGCGTTTGCAGCAAGGGTTTCAAGAACTGGACGACCGGTATCTACGATATAACTTATTAATGGCTTCTCCAGCCCACTGTTTCTATTGCTTTGAAATCCTACATGCTTCATTTAAAGGCACCGAGGCCCCGGACCTTTCGTCGATAGAATGTTTGTGGGAAGAGCACGAAGCGTTCAAACAGCTCTCTCTGAAATCCACCTTGGAAAATGCCAGCGGCGAAATAGACGAAGATGAGGAGTGGGAGGGGTTTTCGGACCAACCCACAGGGCAAACCAGAGATGAAGTACCTGCAGTCAGCAGCGACTCAGGCACGCAGGATGACGAGGCTGAGGATTCACGAAGCGGTCAGACAAGTACGGTTCGACCTACTCCGTTAAAGCTACCAAGCATTTCTCGCCTCCAGGGCCGGCAGTCGCCTGGATCCTCCAATTTATCTACGCCCTCAAGCTTATCCACCACCTCTTCTCACTCAGCCCTTACACCTGCTACGTCTATCTCTTCCCAAACTACAGAGTTTGCTCCCCAGGCTTCCCAGAACAAGAGCTTTAGCGCTATAACCCAAAGAACTGCTAACACTAACTACCCCTTATTTGTTACTTGGAACGTCATCGGCAGGGCCGGTCACAAAGAGCTTCGCGGATGCATAGGCACTTTTGAACCTCAAGATCTTCCGTCCGGGTTAAAGTCGTATGCCCTTTCATCGTGAGTTTTTCCAGAACCCCCCTTTCTTTTTTTCCCCGCTCTGACACATTGAATAGCGCGTTTGAAGACACCCGTTTCTCGCCGATATCGTTTTCCCTCCTACCCTCCCTTTCTTGCTCCCTAACTCTCCTCTCATCTTTCGAGACTTGTTCCCATGCGATGGACTGGGTTTTAGGCACCCACGGGATTCGCATTTCTTTTACCCATCGCGGAAGACGGCATGGCGCTACTTACCTCCCCGACGTCCCGGTTGAACAAGGTTGGACGAAAGAGGAAACTATAGAGAGCCTTATGCGAAAGGCAGGTTGGGATAGTGTCCCTTTTCACGGCAGTGTTGCCCGTCGATTCATGAGAAACAGTAGCGAACATGGTACGAAAAGGCCTTGGGAGGAGGTTGCAGACTTTAAAACTATTAGATACCAGGGCCTCAAAGCCAGCGCTACGTATGCACAATGGCAGGAGTGGAGAGCATGGGTCGTATCGTCTCGGAAAAGCCAAGAGGTGCTATGACCAGGCTTTTGAAGGCAGGAGGTTGCACTCCCTGCGAATGTTCTTCCGTTGAAACTTGACACATGAATATATGAAGATCTGTCGGATGAGTTGCATCTGAGACTAATAGATGCTCTAATGACATAGCTTGCAATAATAACTCTCGAATTCACGCCAACTTTTCTGTTCCGTTGCCACTAAATATATATGTTATATGCACCGTGCCTAGTTATGAAAAAGCAGAGCAGAAATCTGTTATGGTAATAAATATGAGTTACCGTAAGACAACAATGCAAGTGTCCAAGATAATATCTCAACATGGAAATCACCTTTTAATACCCATATCTCTTGAAGAGCTACAGATATCATCCTAGCCCTTTCATCAATCAATTTGCCTAAAGCAAAAACAATACCCATCATATAGAAACACGTCATCTTCTCCTCGCTGCAGTTTGACTCCACAGCCCTGTCACGACTTCCTTCACCTTCCTCTCCTGCTCCCTGATCTGCTCCTCCGTTTGGCCCCTCGCATTACCTCGGCTGTCTATTTCCATCCTATCATCCGTAGCACCTTCCTGCACCACCCTATCCCCGATAACCTGCTCCGGCTTTGGATCGAGGCTCATGGCACCCTCCATCATCAGCCCACCTCCTTCACGCAACTTGTTGATGGCCCGCACCGTGTCGATTGCCTTGTGCAGCGTCCGTCGCGCGTTGAAGTTCTTCTTGACCACTGGAAGCAGATCTTCGCCCGTGCCGCGACGGACGGGGACATTGGGATTGAGCGGATCGGCTGGGGGGCTGATCCATGGGTGCTGGAGGGCTTCATGCGCCGTGATGCGAGCATGTGGATCAATGGTGAGACAGCGTTTGATGAATTCACGGGCGGTCTGGGAGACGTTGCGCCAGTATTCCAGGGGGGTAAAGGAGTAGTCTGCATCAAGAATTGCTTGCATCTCTTCGAGGTTGGATTCGCGATCGAAAGGGGTATAGCCGCAGAGAAGGAAATATGTTATCACACCAATCGCCCAAATATCGCTTTATTTTTCCGTCTATTGTTAGTGAATCTCCCACTGGGTGGACAGGCCGTGTTGATATGGCAAATAAAGTGTCACGAAGAAATAGCGAGGGTATACATACACAGGTTTTCCATGCCCGGACTTCTTGAAGATTTCCGGCGCCATATATCCTGGGGTACCACATGTGGTAGTCAGGACATGAAATTGCTCCTCATCCATGATTCTCGATAGCCCGAAATCTGCGATGAGAAGGTCCGCATTGTCCTCCGGAGTCCGGAACAAGAGGTTCTCAGGCTTCAAATCCCGATGTACAATTCCATGGTCGTGGAGATATGCCACTGCTGAAAGAGTGGCGCGGATAAGATCTGCCGCGTCGGACTCGTAGTAGCTACCCTTGCGGCAAATTCGGTCAAACAGCTCTCCTCCAAGCGCAAGGTCGGTGACGAGATATACTAAGAAATCATAAGCATGAGCTCTCGTATACAGTATAGGAACAGAGCAATATGTCCCCGTTTCCAAGCTTACAGTTGTTCATGGTCTCAAAATAATCCACCAGGGTCAATATATTCTGATGGCCCATCGACACCTTCTTGAGCACGGCGATTTCATTTCGAACCTCGTAAACCAGTCCTTATCAGCTTAAATAATCTCTATTTTCAGCATGAACGGCGGCTGTGTCACACCATGTGCTCCCTCCCGGCCATCAAGCGCTTGTTTATGACCTTTGCGGCATAATACCGACCGGTATCGATGTGCACGCATTCCTTCACAACCGAGTAGGAGCCTGCTCCCAGTGTTTTCCCCGTTTTGTATCGACAAGGTTGAACTTGGGGTCGTTGACCGTTTGGTGTTTGCGATGCCATGAGGATGCGAAATAGCCAGGTTTCCCCTCTTGAAGTCGGCGGGGGAGTGCTATAGCAGGTAGTTACAACGAAGTGGAGGGTGAGCTTGTCGAGGTGAGGAGAGAAGCTTCACGGCGCGACGGACCTAGCTCTACCTATTAGTTTAGAATCTGTCAGCGGTTTTAATAGCAGTTCCAAGACTGGGAGCGAAGAGCGAGGGCAAGGAGTTTAGCATGCTGTGTAGATTGGGCACAGAGAGAGCGGGGCGCGGATGGAGCAACAAAGTTACATAGCTCGCTCTCGACCTACCCAGAGTTCTCGACCGCCTGCGGAGAGGGATGCATATGCGGTGGAAACCCGATGCTGACAGTCGTTTTGATGAAGCTATTCGCAAAATAGACCGGGATGAAGCAGACTGAAACTGCTCGTCTCCGCGGCTGTTTGAGGATCGCCATCTCCACACACACACGGCCACTCTAGACCGGCCATAACACGGTGGTCTCTGGTAACAGGGCTTTCAGGAACCAGGGAACAAGGCAACGTTAAGCAGGAGGAAATCTATATGGGCGACTGTATCTACACATCATTAAGCATAGAATGCCATAGGGCCTAACAAAAGAAATTCCGTATAACTCCTGAACTGCGCCATGCACCCGTTTAAACGCCGTCATAAAAGAGCAAGGTAAGCGCTCACAACCCATTCAGAATGTCATTCGTAACAATCGTAAGCATCTTCAATCCATAAAACTTGGCGACGCTCTGGAATATCCGCAGCTTTCGTTCTGTCGAGCGCCTATCGAGCATCGTCGTCCAGCTACCACCACATGAGCAGTGCTCCATGAGCGGATTGATCATTATCCCTGCGCACTTTGCGCACTTCAAATCCTGCGTTTGCCACTCCACGACCAGGCCCTGCACTTCGCCAACCATCTTCTCTTCGAGAGCGAGTCGATTATACTCTGTGCCGCAAAAGAGGCAGCACCAGGGTTTGACGGATCCGCCCTCTTCGGGAAGAAGGTCGCCATCGCGGCAAAGATCCAGATCCCGGGTCATTGTGCAATGATTACATATAACCTGCGGGAGTTTTAGACTGGCACTTGGGTTCTCGAATTTCCCTGCATTACTGAATTCCTTGATATCGAATAGCGCTAGAAGTTCCCGGCGGAGAACTCGGACTTCCAAAGATGTATACCTTGAAAGCCCAAGAACATGCATAAGATACTTCACAAGTTCCAGCGTTGGGTTTCTTTGACGTTCGGTGTCATGCCAATAAGCTCCAGGAACCGTTGGGAACTCGTAGTCTGACGCTAATTCAGGGTGAAGCATCTCATCACGCTGCCGGCGGATTAATCCAGTGATCTGCCGCTTGAGAGCTTTGGAGTAAGATTCAGAAAGGACGTTTGTAATCTCAAAGCCTTCCGTTTCCGTCAGGGATTTAAACTGGATTTGCGTCGGCCTTGCTTCGTCCGGGTCGACGGACTTGCTGGACTTCTTGAGTCCATGCATGATTTCAATATATTCAACAACCCAGTCATTGAATATCGGTTTCAACGGGGTGGGGAGGAATCCGCCCATTTGCCAGTGCATAATGGTTTCGAGCTCCTGGTTGTTCGATTCAACCACTTCATGACATGCTTTGCCTCCAAAATTGAATTCGTCGTACCAAAGCAGGTACTCCCAGTATTCTTTGATTTCGAGGTCCAAGAAATTGAATAAGGGTTTGGCTTTGATCGATTTCAGAATGTATTGACTGTATGCGTAGGCATTCCCGACTTCCGTTTTCGTGGTCTGCAATAACAGCCGATTTGGACTGGCAAATATCACACTCGAGCCGACCCGTCTGAAATCACCGATTAACTGCTGTAATGCTTTCTTAGACATCATCTGAACATATTGGTGGAGTGCGTGATCATAAAGATGACAGTCCGGGCTTTCGACCCATCGTATCAAATGCTGAACCATGACATCGGCCATCACCTTGCCTTGACATGCCTCTGACCACCAGGCCTTCACCATATCACGTAGGACGATAATACCAGTTGATGAGAATGCTGTATCTGAGTATAGCACCCCAGTGCCGTCGGATATTGCATTGCCATTTGGAGCTGACGGGTTAAGCAAAACAGATTCGCTGCCTTCAAGTTCATTAATGAGAGACGACGTAAGGATCGTGTTGATAGCAAGGTTTCGAACATCAAGGTCGATGCAAACAGACGAATAAGCTCCAGGGTTATTGATACTCGGCATGTCCACCTTCTGCATAAGTCGATCAAGACTGTCCTTTTCATAACCAGCATGGTCAGGAAGTGGATCGGGCGACCACCAGAGAACGACGTTATTCTTTTCCAACCGTCTTGCATACGCGATATCAATCAGGAATTTCGGATCATCTCGTTCAAGGTTGCAAAGTGGAACGTCTCCGTATCGCGCGAATTCAATCAAGTGGTTAAGCCATGAATCCAAGGCAAGATAATGCATGACAATTTGCTTTGCCAAAAACGGCTGCCAGCCAAGCGGAGGTAATTCATTGTCCGAAGGATCAGACTTCAAGGGCACAACAGGGACGTCCTTGAATGCTGGAATGGCGTGTAGTAACTCTTGTTGTTGAGGCGACTGGAGAACGAGCAGAGTCGGATAGGAGCTTTGGTTCCGAAATTTTCTCAGGAGATCGCCAATTTCAAGGTGTGCCTTACGTTTGGTCGTGACTTGCGTGGTTCTAAAATGCAATGTAGCTTGATATTCGAGAACTTGCTGCCATGTTTCGAGATTGCCTTGCTCAACACGCCGTTGTAGGGAGTCAGTGTAGATTTTGTCGACATTGGGGAAGCCCTGCACATCTCGTTGTTTCGAAAACATGATGATATGCGCTTCGTCCCTCCGCGTTGAGAAGAGCGAGAAAATCTGCCGTTGCCCGGATACAACATGATAGAGATAAACGTATTCAAATTGGGAATCAGCAAGGTACGTTTGATTTGGTGGAGCTCGGAGTAATGTGGACAGCTCAAATCCATGTTCCAAACCTTTCCCTAATACTCCACGTTGACTTTCATCAAATGTGCACAGCGTACCAAGCCTTAGAACAGTGCGAATATGCAAGGGGACCTTGGATTCGTAAACTCCTTCAACGCTCGAATGATCTAAAAGCGCAGAAATAGTCTTTGAATCCTTCACATATGTATGTTCGGGCATCGTCAATTGAAATAAATGAACAGAAGGATGGCCGTTTGGTAGCGTATGGTTGACCTTTTGGACTGTGCAGCCTTCTATATCGACATTCGGAAGGTTATCATTTTTAAAATTTATGAAAAGCTGGCGTGGTACCTTGATGATTATGGCGTGTATTTTTCGGTCAATGAGCACAAACGCGCGTACTTCTCCACGAATGTCGGTCTCCCTGAACTGCAAAATCTGCCAGGTACTAACATAGGTCAGCTCCGCTTGGTTCCTAAAGAAATTACTGAGAGAGTCAGTGGCGGCAACTGTCCTTTCGCCGAACAACTTGCGGCGCCGAAGACGAGCATGCTTTTGAATCTTCCACTTTTGTTTTTGATATTTCAGCCATCCCTCGTAATCTTCGTTGATCGACGGCATTTTGGCCGGTAGGCTAGCAAACGGATCTGCCGACTGTGAAGACTCTGGTGCTTTCCTCTTCTGCGAAATTTGCGTGCTCATCCTGAGCTTCTGGGTCGAAATAGCATCCTCTATATCCCCTGCAATAGGGAGGCGATGATCCAGTAAATTCGTTGAGGCGTTTGAGAGCGGAGCTTTCCCAAACAGATCCGTCATCTTCTTCTGCTTGAACTTATCATCCTTTATATTTATTCGTCTCTGGAGCCAGTCGGGGTGGGCTACCCTTGGAACTGGATTGCGAACCTTTTGCAAGGCCGCAGGGATTGTGATGAGCTTTTGAATCACAGAGCCTAATCTTTCAAGATAATACCCCCAATCGATAATGCTTCGTGGATCCATGTCGCCAGGATCTTCTTTTAGCCATTTACGCAAAAAAAACCGTTTTACGCTAGGCTCTGCGGAGAATATAGCAACAGGGATAGCTCGTTCCGTGGTGGACGAGTTCTTCGGAGCCGCGGAAATGATGTATTTGCAATTCAAGCCCTTGTCTTTGACCATTTGATCTCCAAGGAACTCTGCCAGTCTCCTAGCAGTGGTGATTGACGTTGATTTCTGGGAGCCATACTCCTCAAGAGTTTTAGTCATGCTCCGGTTCTCACAGATTAAGTCAATTAGCTCTTCATCTGCCAGCGTAGATCCGTGTAGGTGGAGGACGTCAAGCCATCGGTTGGCGACTTCAGCAACCGCTGCATAAGTCTCCTGTAACGTCGTTCCCTCGAGGAAGAATTTAAATATCTGAGTTTGGAAAATTTTGATCAGTTTCAGCTCTCCCCTTCGTTTGACTTCAAAGCCTTTGAGTTCAGCTAGCGAGCCATCATGATTGAAAACAGCGTATCGCTTTTTCAAGTTTTTATCTTCTTCTTTTGACGTAGGCAGAATCATTGCCTTATACGGGCCGTCGACCTCGAAAAAAATAGAATTGTCGCTATGTGTCTCATATCGAAACGTATGAGGATCAACAAGCGTCTGATATTGATGATTCGTGAATCGCCCGTGAACTAGGTGATTAAGCATGACGCATGGGTATGATATTGCCATTTTCTTCCCATTTTTCAGGGTGAATGCGAAATTCTCCGGGAATGTGGCGGGGAGCATACACCAGATACCATCAGTATCTAGTTCCAGGGGCCGACCGATCCTCTCCACGAGCTCCCTGGCCATTTGGATGATGTGAGCTCCGGTAAGACAAGTCACACCCGCCATCTCCATGGAATACCAGCGCGATCCTTTTCGCATGACGTATCCATAGAAACTATTTAAGATAACTTTGTGAGCCAGTTGAAGCGAGTCGAATAGGATGACCATCTTCTTTGCTTCGTCAATTTCCGCAGGGGTAGCACCGGAGCCCTTCAGGGCATCGACCTTCCCTTTCCACACTTTCTGCTGTCCCTTGAAATCGTAACGACGATCACGGAAATTGCGGACAGTATCGACATAAAACGGATTTTCCCTTTGGCAGATAATTGCCTCTCGCTCAATCGTTTTACTGTCGTGAATCTTATGGTATATCTTCTTGCTGTATTCTTGCAGTCGAGATCTGATAATTTTTGCCTGTTCGGCTTCTCCAAGGTCGTCGAATGCCCGCAAAGGAGCGTCCCGCGTCCTTCCCGGAAACTTCTCGTTAGCGACTGCGCGCCGAATCATGTTGTATTCGTCACGTTTGGCTGGGAGAAATTCCCCTCTCCATGCCCATGGAAGGCGCCTGTCACACGTTTTCCCGGGTCTATTGAAGTCGCAGACTGCACAATCCGACTCCTGGATCATAGAGTCTGGCTGTAAACGATTTGTAGTCATGATATTAGGGTACATGGAGGCGACATCCAGATGGTAAATAGACGGCCGTTCGAGCCTGTTAGGGGTGTCCCTTAGATTCAAAAGCCTTTCAGCAATTTGCGCTTTAACGTCCTCATAGTTCGTCACATCTTCGAGGGATTTCTTTTCTTCTACCGTAATACTAAAGGTTAGAGCAGCGTCAAGGTCACGAAGCAACTCATCGACGGCAGTAGTATCTATCGAGAAATTGACGGGGATATCGCTGCGGAAAACTCCTGCTTCAATACTTTCGACGTGCCCGCCAACATAGGTCTCGGAATCCAGAAGGTGGCCGTCCCAGAATGCTTCGACTGGATCTTTATGCTTATTTGGCAGAACGATATTGTTCTTGTAGGCCTGAACCATGAGTAGCATTTCGCAAAGAGTACCGGTACCCTTTCGCAGGACGTCATCGGGGCTTAGCGGAATAATTGTGCATAGAGAGAAAATAAATGGATGGACGTATTTCATGTAGAGATAATAGGTAGCGACAGCATCTGAGACTGAATACTCGGCCAAAGTTTGTGGCCGCTCACTCGCATATCTCGTCATGACTTCGGGGTCAAGTTCATCAGGGTCATAGCCAAGCTTCGCGACCGTAACAGCTTTCAAACCCCTACTTCCTTGCGGCAAGTAACTATCTCTGTTCACCCAAGCAAAACAGTCCATGTGAACACAGTAGTCGCTTTGATAAATGTCTTCACTGTTCTTTCGAAAACCGATTTCTCTATACATGTCTATTCCTAGGACGCTTGCTCGGGCTTCGACAAAACTCCAATCGAAAAAGTCACCGTTGTAAGTTGCGATGACAGTTGGTTTTGCATCTTTAACGTGCTGGAAGAAACGCTCAATAACGCCTTTTTCATCTGATTCATTAAATATTGTGAAAGGTCCTTCGTACTCGGGCTTCGGGGTATATTCGAAATCACTGATATCCTCAGAAACGATTTCCCTATTTGTGATAAGATATCCTCGGCCATCAATCATATAAGAGATCATCATTATTTGGTCAATGACGGGATCGGGGAACTTCAGAGGAAGTTTTGTTGTTTCAATATCAAAAGCAAGAACAACAGGGTCCGCTCGCTGCAATCTTTCTTCAATACAAGTCAACGAGATAGCACCGTGGGTTGCATCTACGGTATACCATCTCCCAATTCTAATGTCTGGGATTTGTCAGATAACCAACCAGACTTCCACAAAAAAGGTGCCAATTATACGAACCCTTATCAATTGCAACGCGCACATGGTACGGAACATCATATTCTCGAATATCAACAATGTACTCGCTTGCTTCAAGATACGCGTTTCTGCTCCTATTCGCCCCGTCTTCCTCGTCGATGATATCGAAGCCAGCACTCGCACTACACACTTATTAGCAATATACAAAAGATGCAGACGTAGTATAGATCAGACCTAGCCATTTCTGCATAAGTATCCATAGCATTGACGTTTTTCTTATTCTTCTCTGCAATTGGAAGAAGCGTACTTCGGACCGCAAGCAGGTCATTGACATTAGCAAATGATAGCTGCAAGAACCGCCTTTTGTGCCCGAGTAGATGGTTTGGCATCTGTAAATCCTCCTTCTCAACTTGCTTTGCATCTTTGACCAGTCCTTCAAATTTCCTTCGACACCACTCTTCAACCTCGGCTTCGTACCCGCGCTTTATCGCGATGAGAAAATATGGATCATATTCAACCGTGGCCTTGAAGTTATCACCATCATCCCCCAAGAAGTAGAACTCTACCCCAGCTCGTCCACCTTTTGAATCCTCAACGGTAGTACTGTGCATATTGCAGAGCCATCCTACTCTCTTTTTTCCTGATTCAAAGCGCGGAAACCCCATCGACTCGTCAATGCTGTTCGCCAGCCGCAATGATTGGTATTTCTCATCGTGAGAGGTAGCTTCGCTAGATCTAAGGGCGGAGAATTCTATCGTTTTGGCGCGCCTCGGCCTAAAAGTCGCACCAGCAGATCTGAATTTCGCTCCATATTTGCTCGGTCGTCGTGTCATTGTCGATGTCGACCGCGATTAAAAAGTCCGTACCAGGAGTTCAATCGAAGTAGCAAGGCATAGTCTATGAGAGCATAAGATCGGGAAGGGGAGGCTAGTATCAAGTCCCCGTCAACTGTCAACAGTCGTAAAAGTCGTAAAGAAACAAGGCTGAAGAGGCGTATCGCATATATAACTAGCAATTCACCCTCGTCGACCGAATAGCTCCTTGCTGCCTTGCATAAAATCACTGTCAACTTCAGGTTCTCATCACCAGAACTTCTGCGACGAAAAGCTTCAGGTGGATCGTTCACGCGTTTCGCGTTCGGAGCAAATACGCGTTTGGCGTTTTAATTGGCTCCGCCGGGAGCCATCGGATAAACTACCTCGTTCGAGTTAGTGGCTCGGAATAACTTTGTATTAGTAAGACTGGATCTGCGGGCTGGCGCGAGAATTGCTTGATGATTCGAAGCGACAATTTGCGAAATATCACAGCCATGGCGGACGACTCGCGGGATCCGAGCCAAGCGCTTCCGGGCGATGGTTCGCATCACACTACAGATTCAGAATCGAAGAGGCCGAAACATGAATTTCCAAAATCGCAAATTGGAAAGCTATGGGATGCCTTTGGGAATCCCGAACAGCCGGTCAACTTGATGCCTGGAGGGACGTATAATTCTGCGGGAGGGAAACCAAAGGAAGTAACCGTCATGGATGCAGTCAAGTCGTTATCTACGAGCGATTTCACAACCTTCTACAAAGCACCATGCGCACGAGACTCCCTTTTAGTCGGTATTGGTACAGGTTTTGGTGTAGGGAGTTTGAGGGTCATACTCGGAGGTACGTTGCGATTTGCACCAGGTTTTCGAGAACTTCATCCATGGGCGCTCGTTGACACATAGAAGGCATGAGGTCGTTGTGGGCCGCTAGCAACTGGGCCGTCGGATCCTTCGCCGTAGCATCGATGTTAACACACCAATACTGCCAGAAACAACGTGTCAAAGAAATGGACGGAATGAAGGAGGCTGTCCAGTTGATGAGAGAGCTAAAAATCAAAAAGCAACAGGAACAAGCGGAGGCTAAAAGGAAGCAGGAGGAGGCTCGCTTGGCCGAAGAAGAGCGAAAACGAAGAAGTTGGACGAATTTGTCGAATTATAAGTTTTGGTAGCATTTCCTGGCTGGGCGCGGAGTTTTGGAGCGTGCATATTGAACCGGAAAACAACGGCGTTGGATATCGCTCAACTGTGTGGAGGGAGACAGTTCCAAATGTAAATACCCAACTCCATTGTTACAATATAAACGCCATGCGGTGTCCAAAATGATTTCAGGTGTCAAATTTGACCCTTTTGCGGCTCCCGCTATCTGTTTTTATGTCCATCTCGAGAACAATGCCATCACGCCTCGCTCGTCGCCTATCGCGGTCATCGCGCGCTTCCCGAGCTTTCCAGTCGGCAATCTGCTTCTTTCTCCGCTGCGATCTATCCCAAGCAATAGCAGTTGTTGGCTTGAAGCCGACTCCATTCAAACCGTACCCGTCATCATTTGGGTCTGTAGGATCATAACAAGTTATTTCCGAATCATGCCACGTCAATGGGTTCTCATCTGGTTGTGTAGTCAACGGTGGGGATTTCCTCCTTGACTTAGTTCCTCGTTGGGGCGTCGAGGGAGACTTTGAAGGTGAGGTTGATAGGTCATTCTGGCTGGCTGATACCTTTGCTTGCCGTTTTTTGGCAGCTTTTGGTAACGGCTCTGCGGTGGAATCTCGTTTGCCAAATTGCGATTTCCGGTTCGGTGTGGCTCGAGCTGTTTGGGGGGACTGAGCCTGGTTATCATCCAGTGTTGGATGGCGATCATCAGTGGGAGAAACTGCAGTTGTCGCTCCTTCATGGATATCAAGGCTTTGCAACTGGCCAGTGACAGCAACCTGAGGGCTCCCTCTTTCAGTGGTGGCCTCGTCGGGCAAAAGAACCTCCGCTACGCTCATGGCGGACCGAGACGGAGTCGAAGCTGCGGGTGATTCACTTCGAGCGGAATCAACAAGATCATCGCGCTTTCGCTTCGTAGACCTGTGCGAATCTATTGTCCCTCTGTCCATCGTTTCATTCTGAAAACGGCCTGGTGACCCCATGGGGTAAATATCTTGAAGAAGTCAAGATCGTTTTGGGTGATTTGCTGCTTTCGGTAGCCGTTGATTGTGACGTTAAACTTCAAGTCATGTGAATCTCATTTGAGGTTTATCAGTCAGGTAGAATGAAAATATAATTCACATAGTTATAGACTTGAGCTGACGCATTTTTGTGGTCAATCTCAGATCGTCTTTGGTATGAGGCTATGGAGGTTTGCTGCCTGATGCAATGTCATCTTGAAGCGAACAGCCATCAATGCCGAGACCCAAGAACTGCACTATGAAAAGGCGGGATTGAGAATAGGTTATCATTCAAATTGCTCCAACGCTGAGCAGCACAAGTAAAGTAAAGAAATAACTACACAAAATGAGCAGCCAGAAACCTCCAGTCCCATAGAGTCAGACATAAAAAGTACATAAACGCCACCATGAGATCCTCCAGACAAATATTATTCAAGACTTATGTTTCTTCTTTGTGACGCCAACCTCGCTATCTCTCTTTCTCTTTTTCTTTGGTGTATCCACATCAGCCTCCTCCGACTTGGATTTCTTTTCCTTCTTCTCTTTCTTCTCCTTTTTGTCTTTTTTATCTCTCTTCTCCTTTTTCGCCTTCTTGTCTTTCTTCTCGGCAGTATCCGCAACGTCTTTCATTTCCGCATCGTCGTCCACTTCAAGGTCAGCAAGAAGCGAATCCATGGCGCTTTTCTGCACAGTCGTTAGAATTATGTTGGCACTTCGAAGGGGGAAACTTTGTCTGAGACTTACCATGGCAGCTTCGTTTTTAGTAGGCGGGGCGCCGGTAGTGTAGAATTCAAGGCGTTCTTCAACTTGTTTCCGTAACACATCTCCAAATTTCGTAGATGGAGTTTCAGAGAAATTGTCTATTCTGGAGGCGATGGAACACTTGTTGGCCAAGAATCGAGAAATTCTGCCTTTGTTCTTAGGGCCAGCCCGTCCGATAAAAGAAGAGTGGTAAAGTAGACCGTATTTAGGCGTATTTCCTTTCGTTTTTAGAGCTCTGAAAAGAGCTTTTTCGGCTCCCAAAATTTGAACAGTTGACGCCGGGTATTTGGAAAGGTTCGTTAAACTTCCTGCATGGGAGATTAATCGCGCTCCGACGACCTCGCCAATCAACGCTGCTAAGTTTGGTGCGACGACACTCATTTTGGACACTAAGTATGCGTGAAGACTCTTGCGGTAAGTGGCAAGACTGACGACCCTCTCCGCGAATGAAATAACGTTTTCCATGTCTGCCTCGGAGATATCTTGTCCCATACTATGTTTAGCGGCATCAATGATACTCCTTGCAATTCCTTCGTCATCTTCGACGATAGCAGCAATATCATGCAATTTGTCCTCCGTGAGTTCCTTCTTGTTCCGAATAAGCAGTGCAAGGCGGGCATATCGTTGGTTGTCGGAAACGATCTTGATAAGTTCAGGGAAGTGCCATGAATACCACTCCCGAGCTCTCATGGAAAAGGTGTTAATAGCTTTGTCCAATTGATCCAGAATCGCAATCGCTTGGATAATGTGGTTGTCGTCGCGCTGGACAGAAAACTTGACTTTCGCTCTAGAGTATGCATGGCCAAGGCCTAGTTGGGCAGTGCTCAGGTCACCTTCGCGAAGCTGTTTCAAAAGCTTCGCTGCGTGCATGCGGATCCCTCGTAGCATATCTTGAACTATTTCACTGGTGTCTCCAGTCTCGCATTCAACGAAAGGAAAAGCGGCCTTGATGCTTCCCGCAAGCGCTTTATCGGAAACTCCCAAAACAACGCTCTTTTTCTTATTCGGCTTCGGCAAGTTTAAGTCGAGGAAGGAAATGAGTGTCTCCGATGCGACCCCTTCGGAAACGTCATTGATTTCACCAAGCGCCTGCTTGTTGTTTCTGTAAAGTTGTGAGCAGCGGTAAACCAATTTGACAAAAGTACTTACTCAAAGGGCAAAAAGCTGACAAGGTCAACCATTTTACCAAATTTGGCGAGATCTTGCATTCCGTCCTGGACTTCTTTCAACCGGTTTCCCACAGTATCCGCCTGATGGGCAACCTTGAAAATGGAGTAGCCCATCGGGCCCTCAAAAAGAAGGAAGTCGGCCATTGCACCTCTAGTCGAAACGGCAGGCTATATACTTCGAGGAGTGTCAATGGTGCGCGCACGACTTGGAGAACAATACCCAACTTTCGGTCTTCTAATTACTGAAAAAAAGTGTGGAAAATAAGAAACTTTTCTAGGTGGTCGAATCTGGACTAGCGCACTTGCTCCGGCTCTCAAGCCACAAAGTGGCGCAGGGGGCTAGTCTGCTAACCCAGTGCGGTTTAGTGCCCATTAGCTACCAACCCTGCACCGAGTGGCTGACTAGGGGAGCATCAACCCGCTTGATCAGTGATTCGTAGTAGGTCTCGCTTGACTTGGGCTGGTGACCATTCATTGCTGTGTGCTATGGCTTTCCCAAATTTATGTAGAATACCCTTTCTCATTGATGTATGGATGAGGAGCACATTCATATGCCCACATTTTGACCGCCATTTTCAACTCCAGGCTCTGCCGAAAGGCTGTCCTATTGTTAAAAATTTGGGCCAGCTCTCGCGAGGCTGATTGTTGATAAATCACGGCTATTTGCATTTAGATGTGTTGCCCAAATTCTGGGACCCATTACACATTGATGACCCTCTTGACAATGATAATGTAGTTTGCAATTTAGTCCTATATGTCCGAGGCCATTGAATATTTTGTAAGTCGCCATTCACAATCAGACCTTGAATGAACCCCAAGTGAGGAATTTCAAGGTACGCTGACGTGTGTACATACATTATTCTTGGGAGTCTGCAGAAATCTCCTTTCCACAACCGAGAGATACCGGTCGCGATTGCTCATGTCAAAAGAGCCAGATCTGAAGAGTGACCGTGATAGCACCGGTGCGAGTAGGCCGGCCCCGAATCTAACAGCATAAAATCAAAGAGTCGTTGTGGGTGCATAAAAAATGCGTCCTTAAGAATTCGGAAGGAGTAGTAAGCCATGCTCAAAGCAGGTTGCTACATCATAAACGCCTATCTGGAATCCTTTGATACTGGCCTCGTTAAGGCTAAAAGCCCTATTTGGATACTGGCCTGGTTTTTGTACGCAATCGAGGCCACAATACAAGCCGCTAGTGTAGAGTGCCAGAATATGTCTTCAACAGAGAGGCTCTCCATGTTCACCTCAACGGGCAACAAAGACTGCCAAAGTCCACAAATTCGACGTGATTTTGGTGCATGGGGCACTTTCCGGGCCAATATCTTGCAAGATCGAGGGGTATGAAAATGGGTACTATGGCCGAATCCCCTTAGTCTGAGTGGCTCGAACGGACAAAAATATGTTTGCATATACGCAAGCAACATCTTGAAAGGCGAAGTCAAGCTCGAGCAGTACTCGTGAGTTCGAAAGTCCTGGATATACGTTCGTACGCCTAGGGATAAGGCAAATTCCTGCGTGGACTGAACCAGAGAAGCTCAGAGATGATGGCCATATTATTGCGATTGCCGAAACGTTGCAGACAATCGATTCTCCCCAAATGTTGAAATACAAGCAATTCTTCCAAATGATCACACTATGTGGCCGGGTATCTCGTTCGTACCAGGAGATTTGAACTGTTGTGGTACTTTGCCGTCGCCTGGGAGCCAAATTCAAATTCTTGGCACGGTCACGCGTTTTCAATATTTCCTTCCTTGAGCTAACTATTAGCTAATAATTCAGAGCATCTCCAGCATCTCTTTTGATAGACAATTAATACATTTCGCTGTCATTTCATAAGAGCAATAATCATTGAGCTCTTATTGCAGCCATCATGTCGGCTACGCAACTTCTCAATCCCAAAGCGGAGTCAAGGGTGAGCTGTGCCCCGCCGAGGCTTTTTGTTTCTCTGAGCTCGTTTACTGACGCCCACACAGCGAAGAGGTGAAGCTCTCAGGGTCAATATTAGCGCTGGAGAAGGCCTTCAAGATGTTTTAAAATCAAATTTAGGCCCCTCGGGGACAATTAAAATGTACCTATATACCTTTTGATCTTCTGCCTATTCCTCAAACTAACGGCTCATAAACAGGCTTGTTGATGGAGCTGGCGGGGTATGCCATTCGGTTCCCTCTACATGCGGTCGGTTATCAAATACTTACGGCTCCCTCGAATAGATCAAACTTACGAAAGATGGCAATGTATTACTACGAGAAATGGTTTGATTTGCACACTCCTGACTTTTGTGATTCTCTTGCTGATCTCGGAATAGCAAATTCAAAACCCCACTGCGGTACGCTTCTCGCAACGGTTCCTCTCCCATAATAAAGTCTAACGATTGGTATTACAAAGGTGATGATTGCGAGAGCAGCCACTGCGCAAGATGATATCACGGGCGACGGCACGACGTCCGTGGTGCTTTTGGTTGGCGAGCTGTTGAAGCAGGCAGATCGATTTATATCCGAGGGACTTCACCCGCGTGTAATAACTGATGGATATGAAATCGCTAAGACTGAAGCGCTAAAGGTAAGCCTTTCGCGTGCGCACTTGAACAATCTTTCTAAAACGAAATCATCATAGTTTCTCGATTCGTTTAAACTCAACCGCGATATCGACAGAGAACTTTTGCTCTCCGTTGCACGAACTTCGCTGTCGACGAAACTCAATAAATCCTTAGCTGAGCATTTAACCCCGTCAATTGTCGACGCTGTGCTTGCTATCCATCGTGCCCCCCAAAAGCCAGACTTGCATATGATTGAAATCATGAAGATGCAACATCGCACGGCGTCTGATACACAACTCATTCGGGGATTGGCGCTAGACCACGGCGCGAGACATCCAGATATGCCGAAACGTGTGGAGAATGCCTTTATACTGACTCTCAATGTCAGTCTCGAATATGAGAAATCAGAAATTAACTCCGGTTTCTACTATTCAACCGCCGAACAAAGAGATAAACTTGTAGAGAGTGAGCGGAGATTCGTGGATGCAAAATTGAAAAAGATTGTCGAGTTGAAAAAACAAGTTTGTGGGAATGATCCCAAGAAAGGTTTCGTCGTTATTAATCAGAAGGGTATTGATCCATTGAGCTTGGATGTGCTTGTCAAGAATGGTATCTTTGCTCTGCGACGAGCGAAGCGACGGAACATGGAGCGATTACAATTAATTTGCGGTGGCACTGCGCAAAACAGCGTTGAAGACCTCACCCCGGATGTCCTCGGTTGGGCCGGCCTCGTGTACGAACATCAGCTAGGGGAAGAGAAGTACACATTTGTGGAGGAAGTCAAGGATCCTAAGTCTGTCACGCTCTTAATCAAAGGGCCAAACCAGCACACAATCGCCCAAATTACCGATGCCGTCCGTGATGGCCTTCGGTCAGTGTATAACACGATAGTCGATAAGTCTGTTGTTCCAGGTGCTGGTGCCTTCCAAGTCGCCTGTGCAGCACACTTATTGTCGAAATATTCATCGTTCAAAGGCAAAACCAAATGGGGTATCTCCGCTTTCTCCGAGGCTCTTTTGGTCATTCCAAAGACCCTTGCTGCGAACTCTGGTCACGACGTTCAGGAGTCACTCGCTGCCTTGCAGGCCGAACATGCTGGGGGCAACGCGGCAGGGCTTGATTTGGCCACAGGGGAACCAATGGACCCGGTCCAGGAAGGGGTGTTTGACTCGTACAGAGTTCTTCTTAACTGTATTGCATCGAGTACTGGCATTGCTTCGAACCTACTGCTTTGCGATGAGCTTCTCAAGGCTAGACAGATGACAAGACAAGGCGGCCCAGGAGGAATGGACGAGCAATAGGATGGACGAGTGGTATTGCGGTCAGAATAGGACAACAAGACCAGTTAGATGCGTTACGGATGAAGTCGGCTTTTGTTCAACTCGTTAGATAACTAAGCTGGCGAACTAGATATGCGAAATAAGTTAAAAACCTGTTCCACCGTCATTACTATCGTTAGGATCGTAAATCTTTTGTAGTAATTTTATGACTCCCATGAGAAAATCTCCCATGCGTACGGAGTAAAAGTTCATGATACGTTGAAGAATATGGTACATAACGACAGCAACCTTCTTTTATACAGGGTATCATCCAAAAGCGCAAATCAGTGGCCTTCCCTTTCCCCATTAACGCCTGCTTATGCATTTACGAGTTCGTAATCACACCAGCCTTCTCTTAATCACTTCCAGATTGCTCTTGGTCATACCTACGTGCCCATTTCCCGACGAATCCTTCCTCTTTGACCGGATCCTCCAAGCTTATGCCACGAGCCTTGGCCCATTCAAGGACTTTGGACTTTTCTATGACCGCCACACTCTCCTCCTCTAGCTCGTTTCCATCGTCAGCCGCTGAGGCTTTTCGCTTCTTCTTCAGTTTTTGTTCCCACGAGATTCCCATCGATTTGATGGCAGTGATGACATCCTCTGCTAACATTCCTGTTGCTTTTCCGAGTTCCTCGATAGTCATCTGTTCTCGGGATTTACCTTTTCTTCGTTTCTTTGTCTTGGGAGGTTTAACAGGCCCTCCGTTCCCATTCGTTACTTGCTGAAGGTCTCGAAGGAAGTATCGTGCAACTCGCTCCTCCCAGAATCTGATGTAACTTCTTTCTCCCATCTCGCTGAGCGGTCGCTCAGGCCCTCCGACGGTGCCAATTCCCCTTTCCGATTCCCACATACTAAGCCTGTAACTGATCCCCATGAGAAGTTTGCCCAATTGGTTGTGCTGATATGGAGGAAATATAAGAATACAAGCGAGGTTGTTTGCATCCCAAGACATCTTCTCTTTCGAAAAGTATCCTAGAATATGATGAACTCCAGGATTTTCGGGGTCAATGTATACCAGGAGATAGAAGAGAAACCCGGAGACATCGAAACACACCGACTTCTGGTCTAAGAATAGCTTGGCGAATAGAGACAGGTTCTGGGCGAAGAGCTTCTGGCGCTCCCCGTCCACCTCCCATACCGAGTAGCCAGCGTCATTGTAAATCTGGGTGCCTGGCGGTGTGGACCGGAGTTGGCAGACCCGTCTGTGGCCAACGTACGCGGACTTGTCACACGTGTACCGGAAACACCAACCGCAAACGTATAACGTGTCCGTCTCCTTGTTCACAAGCTCCTCTGGGTACAGGGCATCGTACCAAGTTTTGAAGAGCAGATTTCCGAGGATGACTTGATTGACTTTCGTGCCGGCGGGAGGGGAATTTTGGGCATGTCGAGATGAGGTGGGAGGCATTATACAAGGGTGCAGAAGCGGATCTATAAATTTTAAATGAGTAAGCGACATCAATGGAGATCCCGTCTGGCGCGTCAGGCATCGGAACTGTTACGCGACTAGAGCTCTACATACAGAGGGAGCTGGTTCCCCACCTCACTTGGCTCGACACAATCTTGTCTGGGAATATGGTAGCATCTCATTGGTGCTGAAAAGAATGCACTTGCTGAGAGAAGAGTCATCAGCGTTGCATCTTGGGAGCTCAATTGGGAGCGGCGCTGTGAAGCTCGTGTCGTGTCCTCCTGTCGCTAACTTTTTCGCTAACAAGTTCAGGCATCATCGATGGGGGCGGCCATGTGACAGCTGAAAAGGGGATAGCGTGGTGTGGGGTGCCAATGACGAGGCATCAACGCTTTCAACAGCCTTCCACTTCACATCGACCTTCTCGCAATCCTGCTGCCTGTTGGGCTATGGTGTCGTTGGAGCTTGTGCATTGACACGTTAAAACGAAGACAGAGGGCTTGCCAGGGAAGCCTGGCCAACCAGTGGACAGCTCCTTGCCCATTCCACTTCTGTCGCCACTTTGCCCCTGAGTCTGTGGTGAACTATTAGGCTACCATTTTCCTCGATCCGACTCCGTATATTGCTCGAAAGAGGGCTTTCACTGAACAGACCAGAGACTTTCTTCACTCAGACGAAAGCGACTTGACGTCTCTGCGTGCCCTGCACCTTTTATACAGATGCTAAAACCTTTCCGTATCAAGGATCTTCTTGATCCTGCTCTGGACGAACAGCCAGGCCCATCTTGTTTGGGCGTGAAGGATAGTGAAGGCAACTCTCGAACAGACCTCCATGCCGCTGGGCAAGAAGACGACAAACCATCAGAATGCCACACCTATGACGGTATCGTGGAAATATCCCGAACTGAATACGATGCAACAATTTCTCAAATTCCCGATTCTAAGCTCCGCTACACCGATGAAGACGATGGCGAGACAGTTACTGTAGGCAGTTCTATGGTGGAAATTTTTGTGCTGCGCTAACTACCCTATAGGTAGGATCATCCTTTGAACTCGCTCAGCGGCTGGACGAGACACCGGCAGAATCAACGTCTCCACTGGGGCTATCTCCATTTGGTCAACTTGAGACAACTCCGATGCACCTCTTTGACATTGGCAAATCTTCTACTTCTATCAAGACTTGGAAAGCTTTCGAAACGAGAACGTCATTGCAAAAGTGTCAACCCTCGGTATCTTGCCTATCCGACATACCGGAGAAACTTCCTTCAGTTGCTACCTCCTCAAGCTCAATATTCACGCCAAAATTGAATCCTACCAACATTATAGACCCGCGACAACATTGGTTTGAAGCTTGCAACCCGCCTAAACCTCCTACCAAGGACAAGACTGAGATGCCTGAGGGAAAGCACTCACCACAAGAATTGAACAGGGACAATGTAAAAACAAATTCTATGCGTTCTTGTGGGTCTCTTACAGACGAAGGGAAGAAGCAAGCTCAGGCTGCTGGCGCTAAATTTCGCAAGTCTCGAAACATGTGGCAAGGATCACGTCCTCCGTCTCTAACTCCGGTCGGTGCTCAAAACTTTTGGAGCTCTTACCAAGTCTCGCCGCCCGTCAAGGATGATAAGGATTTGACCGAAAGAGAACCAAGAAGCCAAGAATCACCCATCGAGGAACAACCACAATCGTTTTTGGCAGCATTTGAAGCTGAATTATCGAAGCTTGTTGAACAGAATCCGGACTCTGAAAATAGCGTTGAAACGGAGACTGCTCAAACAACCATAGAGCCGGCTATAACTCCCGCACCAAAGATCGAACCACCGACTTCCCATCAGATACCCCAAACACAACCAATCCCTATGGCTACCGAGATTGTAGGCAAACATGTGCAAGCACTGTTAGGTTCGATAGGACACTTGACATCAGAACTTCGTGTACGACTCCCCGAAGTTGAACGGCGAATTCTCAGCGCGCAGCAACATATGCCACTGCAAATCCAAACTACAGCTCAAGAGACTCTAAATACCATGAGGAGCCATGTCCAGACTTTTGCCAAAGCGGCTTTGAACGCTGCTCAGGCTACGCAAGAGGCAGCCGCTCAAAGTCAACACGCCCAAATGCTCGCTGCAGCTCAAACAGAGGGACTACGCAATCTTGCTTCTGAACTTGCAGAGACGGGCAGAACAATGTTTACCGCACTTGAAGTTGGAATCTCCGCCGACTGCCATAATGTGAATGAGGCATCGTCCCTCGATTCACAATCGGCTTCTGGATTAAACATCACTCCACCTTCAATGGAAGGTTTGACACCAAAATCAAATGATAACCTGTGCGCTACTTTGCCAAACCAAGCTACAGATTCGCCAGCGAAGCCGTATTCGAGGAGTCACACGACCCCAGAAACTGTTACTTCTCCGTCTAGTACTCTCTTCATTGGGGGGTTAGGGCCCAGTACCGCAGAAGAAACCATTCGCAAAACACTCGTGGACTACGGATTTTTAGGTGATGTAAAGCTGCCGACGGATGCCGTTACCGGAAAGCACGCTGGTTTTGGCTATATCTACTTCCCTTGCCACTATGCAGCTACAGGTGCTCTACATGCCCTAAGAGGTGGAAGTATTGATGGACATACGATCAATCTTGAATACAGTCAAGAAACTCCCTCGGACAACACCCATAATATAACGCCCACGGCAGAATCCCTATCGAATTCCGACATTTCTAATTTGCCTTCGTCATCTACTAGGAATATTCAACTTTTACAATCTTGGGCTTTAGATCAGCCCGCAAATAAAACTCGGCAGAAACACTGTCCACCTGTAACATCGGATGTTACCAGTGATGAAAATCCTCACGCTGCAAAGATTCGACGCGCAAAGTCTCTTGGTTCATGGTCTTCCAGCCAAAGAGGTAATGATGCCCGTCGTGCGGTTATTCCGCCACTCCATCCCGTGAGAGTGGGCTACCGTGGAGTTCGCAGACAGAGCGCGCATGATAACTCTACGAGTCGACGCTCGGACCTATATCGCTTAGATTCACCCAATCCCGAAATGACAACTCTACCTATTGTGGAAGATATTGATCGCGATTTTTGGGCGCGGTATCCTCCCCTGTCTACGTTGCATCGTCATCCGACACCTTCAACGGCCAGTGTTAGCCGTATCGAACCCGAACGTGCTTTAGACCCGCGCCATTTTACCAAAATAAGAGTGCCCGATCTTCTTCAGCCCGAAAGCGAGTTGACGAAACAGGCATCGATTCGGGACGCACCAACTTACAAAACCCGTGGTAAAGGCCCTTTACCACCGGCAGTCCCGGATAAGGTTCCTGGCGCCTGGCCTAAAGAACGAAATGCTCCAGGCCGTTCTTCCACTGCGGGCCCTCCACGCCCTATGAAGGAGGCACGGATTCAAGATAACCGTAAGGTAGGATCTCCTGCTCCCCTAAATAATGAATTGTCAAATGAGAGTGACAGCCCACACTCTTTCATATCCCCTGTTGAGCCCCATACTTTCCCGGGGCCTCCAATGGAGTATCCATATAACGCCCCAGGAAGCTTCCCCTCTGAGACTTTGAGGACCAAATACTCAACTCCTCACTGCGATTCTTCTCCTCAAGGGCTGGCAAGGACCAAACTACAGGATGTCAATTGCTGCATACGCAATCTCACTTCTCTTGGGTACGCGACCGGGAGGAATAGAGATCGCTCAAGGCTAAGAGTATATGCGGAGGCTGCTGGCGGTAATCTCAACGAAGCCATCGAGATCATTGAGGAGGAGAGGAAAGCTTATGAGCAGCGATATTCGCATGAATAGGGCTCTGCTCTTTGCGAGCCCGAGTTTGGAATATTTTTGGGATAAGCCTGGCTCTAGCGTGCCTTCGTTTTCCACGATTTTGTCGAATCCATAATGCTTGTTTAGTTATACTCGCACAATCCTTTATATATGAGTGTGTATATCCGAATATGAATGTTATCTCTTTGAGCGCCTAAGCAGATAAAAGAGAAGACGGCTTCGTGTTTCAGAAAGGAAGAAACTGAAAGTACATAAGAAAATGTGCCTATTCAAAATTTACAAGCTCGAAATGCAGTAACCAACATCAGTTATGGAGTATCCAGGCGACTTATGTAATAACTACCCCTGGCAAAGTCGCAGAGTGAGTTTTGTAACCTTATCTGCCAAAAGCTAGAGAAACTGATCGCATTGGAGAAACAGCTGGTGGACGCAACTTGTGCCCTCGCAATTGGCACCAGTTCAAAAATGCAAACATGGCGACGCTGCCTGACAACCAAGAGATCAACGCTGAACTCGCAAGCTACAGGTCCTCTTGCATTGCGTTGCGCTCAGCTCTTTGAGGCCTCAAAACGGTCTTCGGGCGACAATATCACGACTTCCGATAAAACCGGGTCTTTCGACCACCGCGAGGTGTCAATTCGGGGTTTGGTACGATCAGTACGGCAGCAGAAGCATATCTCGTTTGCGCAGATCTCAGATGGCTCGACTTCTGAGCCGGTCCAAGCTATCTTGGAGCCAAAACAAGCTGCAGAGTTAGTTGGGTCTTTGGTCCGAACTGCGCTGAGAGATGTTGCGCTTTTGCTAATATGTCGTCGTATGATATTAGCCTAACCACAGGAGCGGCCGTTGAGATATCCGGCATTTGGAAACCGTCTCCCGGTAGAGGTCAGAGCCATGAGCTACAGACCCGTACCGTGAAAGTCGTGGGAGAAGCTGATCCCCAGGTGAGTGCAAGCCGTCCGGTTTCCTTCCCCTCCATCACGTTCAGCTGGCTAAATCGTCTATCAACTGCAGACATACCCTATTCAAAAAAAATACCATACGCCAGACTTCCTTCGAACAATTCCTCACTTGCGTTTACGAACTCCTTTCAACTCCCTTCTCTCCCGTCTCCGTTCTGAATCCATATACCATACAACGGATATTTTTCACTCACTGTCTGACTACGGCTTCACTCAGGTTCAACCACCCCTGATTACATCCTCGGATTGCGAAGGCGCAGGTCAAGTATTCAAAGTTAGCCCACGCGAAATCGCCGCACAAGAAGAACAGATTGAATATTTTCGGTCACCCAAATACCTCACTGTTTCATCTCAACTGCATTTAGAAGCATATGCCGCGGAGCTAGGAAATGTATGGACCCTGTCACCTACATTTCGTGCTGAGAAAAGTGATACACCAAGACATCTAAGCGAATTTTACATGCTTGAAGCGGAGCTCAACTTCGTGGACGATTTGGATAAGCTGACCTCGTTTGTTGAGTTCTTCATTCGCAAATTGACTCAAAGACTGCATGAATCGACTGTGGCGCACGAACTTCTTAACCCGAAGCGGACGGGACAAACTGGCCACGCCGAAGACGTAGACCTGGTCCAGCGCTGGAAAAGTTTGATGTCTCCTTCCTCGTGGCCACAGATTCATTATACAGAAGCCATGTCCTGGTTGCAAGACGCACCATCAAAGCGAGGAAAACTAAAAGCCAAATTTAACAGCTCGCCCACCTGGGACACAGGAATCCAGCTCGAACATGAGAAATATCTCGTCAATGCCGTGGGCAACGGCTTACCAATATTTATTACTGATTATCCAAAACATCTAAAACCGTTTTATATGCCCCCTTCAACGGGGTCTTCTGCGGATGACCCTCGCAAAGAAACGGTGGCATGTTTCGACCTCATTCTGCCGGAAGTCTGCGAGGTTGTCGGAGGCTCTCTGCGTGAACATAGGTTGGAGCAGTTGCTCCGAAATATGCGTGAGCGCGGGATGCTACAAGGCCGTGCTGATGAAACTCCTGCTTCCCCCGAGATGACATATCCGTACCTGGAACCGAATGAAGACCTAGGTACACTACAGTGGTACGCTGATCTACGACGATGGGGTAGCGCGCCGCATGGAGGATTTGGGCTTGGATTTGATAGGCTGTTGAGTTATTTAGCGGGCGTGCCGAGTGTTCGAGATGTTGTCCCGTTTCCAAGATACTTTGGGAGAGCGGACTGTTAGGATATATGGCCTTTTCTTTTGGCGTTCTCAGTCGTACGACGGGACACGACCTTTGTATTATATCTAGGATGTAAGATACATGATTGAAGAGAATAAAATAAACCCTCCAAGCAAGAGACAAATGGGAATGATGCGTATCTTTAGTATCATTCACACCTTCTTTTTCTCGTCTCCCCGGCGAAGCATGTATCCATGCCTCAACATAACATGTGCAACCCCGTACAATCCCATAAGCGGCCAGATGCTCCAAAACACGCTCTTGAGCCAGACAATCCAAGACTCGTCCCGTGCTCTCTGCTCTGCTGCAAAGTCCACGACAACTTTATCATAGACACTAGGAAGATGCCCCGCGTGATACTTACTTCGCAGCGCATCGTATGGTCCTTGGTCGTATATGGACCAAAATTCATCTTCCGTGTAGTACGCATGGGCGTAAAGGCATTTGAATCCATTTAGCTGGTGAACTTTGTGCTCAATGTCACGGTTTAGTTGGACGAATTTCTTCCGATTCGTAGAAGCAGGGCACCAGACACCAAAGTTCAGCAGCATCTTGCAGCCATTCGCGTCTTTGATCTTATCCATGGTCTTTTCCGACCACAAGGAACGGTGATTGTCGGCGCTTATAGGACAAAACCAGAGAGGATAACAGCTCAAAGTCCGGTCCAAGTAGTCGAGCAACTCCGGGGCTTGTTGGTAGGGGACGGCCACGTCTTGTACAAGGGATTGCATAGCCAGGCCACTCTTGTGAAGGGCATGATACATGACGCGTGAATGCATAAACCAGTCTAAAGCCCAACGAGTAACGCGGTTAAACGGGGCGAGGAAGTATCGGAAGGCGAAATAGCCTCCCCAAAAAACGCCGCGGTCGTAACGGAAAAGATAAGTCTTGAATAGGGACGGCATCTGAAACTGGCTGATGTTGGAA